AGAAAAAAAACCATTTTAATCTGTTGTCTTGAGAGTTCACATCCTCTCAGCATTTCAATGCATTGTCATAGATAATTTTAATCAGCACTTCTATTAAGGTGAATGGTTTAATTCTGATAAAATTTCGTCCAAAATCTCAGTTTTAAAATTATCATTTTGTGTCTTTTTGATGTTTCATAATTGCTTAATTTTCTAAGAATTTCAATTGTAAATTTCATTGCATTACTACGCATTTAATATGATGACTGAGTGCAGATTACTCATAACAGTGACAGAAACGTTTGCGGTTTTTCTGTCAGTGCACCCACACACAATCGTTGAATGGTAACTGGTATACTTTTGTGTATCAACACACTGTAACATATATACTGAATTGACATGTTTATCATATTGACTAACCACCTCTGATATGTTTTTATTTATTTTGTACTTGTCAGACCTATCCTGGTAACTACATGAAGATTTGCTCATTTACTTTCCTCCTTTTTTATTAACACACTGAAACATTTGACATTTAAAACACATTGTTTTATGGTGTTGTTAATCTATTTGTTACAAATATCAATCCTTCAGCGATCTCCACCTTCAGTTCCCCACTGATCTTCTTGAGTCTAAGGTACATTTTAAAATTATAATTTGAGGCTAACTGTTAAGCGACAGCTTAATTCCAAAACATTTTGAAGAGTTATTACTTAAGTGCTTTCAGCATTAAAACCTTAAAATCAGAAGGACCTTTCATTGATACAAACCTTTATTATTTTATAAACCAAGGTTTGGAGATCTGTCTTGGTTTCAGGCAAGCTATGATCTGTGACTTTCACAATCACATTAAGAGCTCAGAAAGGTAAGAAGAGTTCACCCACATATCACATGATTAATTTCTGCCAGTCTCATGCAAATGCTTTATAAACTGTGCAAGGAAAATGTTAGGGAGTGATTGTTTGTTTTTCAGCAAACTATTTATGACTACAGTAGAGGTCTAATTCATGGAATAACAAAGTATAGGAAAGACAAGAATTAAGTTAATTTACTGATTTGTTTTCCATACATGTTCAAAGTCTGGGTTTTGTCACACGCCCAATGACCTAATCACGTCTATGAGTTGTACTTGTATATTAAGTCTAAGTGGCCCATCACAAAGGGAAATTGTTCACCATCGCATTGTGTAGAGGTGTACCTTGTATTGTAATCTGTGGTAATTTTCCCTCAGCACTTAAAACATAAAATGTCATTCACAGGATATTCTCATCGAGACTACATCACCCACTCAGTTCTGTGCAAAAAGTAAACAAAAGGCCTAACTTCCTGAACACATTCCACTGATTTTAATACCTATTTCGACCAACTTTGATTTCCCTTAGTCATCCCATATCATTATGTTCTGCTTTTCTACTTCAAAGTTTGTGTTGAAAAGTGCTATTCACTTGTGTGTCTTTTTCACCATCAATTATAGTTGTTTTCATGAATAGTACGATAGCTGTTGATAAGCTGTCACTATGTAGATAACAACACTGACTAAACTAAAGTTCACATAAGCCTCCTGTACATTAATTTTTAAATTTGTCCTAAAGTGCAAAAAAAAAAAAAAAAGATGTGTGAAAAATATCCATCATCAGCAAGACGTCAATCAATCTATTCATGACAAAATGTGTAAGAAAGGTGGAAAATGTATCAAAAGTTTAGATAAGTACATAGGTACAGTGACTGTTAAGAAATAAACCTGTACATGGTAATTAACCTATCTGTATAGTGCTGTTGGTCAAAAATCACAAACCAATTTTCTGTAAACATTTGTGAACTGCAGTAGGCTTAAGGTCTGATGGAGTGAGGACTGCTGTAGGGTCAAAGACTGATGTGGTAAGAACCGCAGCAGGGGTGAGGACTTCATTATGGTGAGCACTATACAGTAGAAGTGAGGACTGCATTGGGGTGAGCACTATACAGTAGGTCTGCAGTAGGGGTGAGGACTACATTGGGGTGAGCACTATACAGTAGGTCTGCAGTAGGGGTGAGGACTACATTGGGGTGAGCACTATACAGTAGGGGTGAGGACTGCATTGGGGTGAGCACTATACAGTAGGTCTGCAGTAGGGGTGAGGACTACATTGGGGTGAGCACTATGCAGTAGGGGTGAGGACTTCATTAGGGTGAGCACTATGCAGTAGGAGTGAGGACTGCGTTGGGGTGAGCACTATACAGTAGGGGTGAGGGCTGCATTGGGGTGAGCACTATGCAGTATATCTGCAGTAGGTGGGGGTGAGGACTTCATTAGGGTGAGCACTATACAGTAGGGGTGAGGACTGCATTGGGGTGAGCACTATACAGTAGAAGTGAGGACTGCATTGGGGTGAGCACTATACAGTAGGTCTGCAGTAGGGGTGAGGACTACATTGGGGTGAGCACTATACAGTAGGGGTGAGGACTTCATTAGGGTGAGCACTATGCAGTAGGTCTGCAGTAGGGGTGAGGACTACATTGGGGTGAGCACTATACAGTAGGGGTGAGGACTGCATTGGGGTGAGCACTATACAGTAGGTCTGCAGTAGGGGTGAGGACTACATTGGGGTGAGCACTATGCAGTAGGGGTGAGGACTTCATTAGGGTGAGCACTATGCAGTAGGAGTGAGGACTGCATTGGGGTGAGCACTATACAGTAGGGGTGAGGGCTGCATTGGGGTGAGCACTATGCAGTATATCTGCAGTAGGTGGGGGTGAGGACTGCATTGGGGTGAGAACTATTCAGTAAGGGTGAGGACTGCATTGGGGTGAGAACTAAGGTTGGACGAGGTCTGTGGTAGTGTGTTGTCTGGTTGGGTGAGAACTGCAATAATGTGAGGACTGCAGTGGGTTAAGGCCTATAGGAGTGAGGGCAGGCGGGATGGGGACTGCAGTAAGGTGAGGAATACAGTAGGTTGTGGACTATGGGGAGCGGGGGGGGTTACGAACTGGGTTGGGTGTGAGTACTAAGGGTGAGGGAGAGAACTGAGGTAAGGTAGAGGACTGGGATGGGGTGAGGACTTGGTAGGATGAGAGGTATGAGATGTGGAAGAGGACTGGTGTCAGTGATCATGTATGTGAGGGGTGAGAGGACTGGTATGGAGTTCTAAAGGACAATTTGTTGTAAAGGTCAATAGTTAGACTGTCACTTAATCTTAAACTTTGTAACATCTTACAGAGTAAAATATTATATAAACACCACCTCACATATATTTATTTACATTGTTCTGTGACCTTGTATGTCACTGTACCTGTACTGTATATATATCTATATACATACATACAAAGTAAAACCTACACCTATTCACCTATACATGTGCATGACTAAAAGTGAACCTTGAGTGAGATAAAGAGAACTGAACTTGAACCTATGGCCCATGCAATCTAATTTATACAAATAAAGAATCAAATCATGTAAAGTTTACACAAACAAGAAGTTATAAATCCCAATGCAAGAGAGAAGAGTTAAAATTTATCAAGTAGAAGACAGTTTATGTTTAAGTAGCTCTTTTTAATATGTTGTAATGTAATACAAGGCAGTTTTTATAAAAGCCATAAAAACATATGCAGGCAAACCTTTGCACTTGTCATAAGAACTCACAGAACAACGGGAATGAGAAAACATACTAACTGACAGAACCTCAGAATACAAACCTACGGCATATTTCATTTATTTTGAGGATTTAGAAACCGAATTCTTCAATTAACCAGATTTTCTTTTAAAAATTGTACATTTCATATCCCTCAAAAGCTCTGACAACTGAATTTTCAGATCAACATTTAGATACATGTACTGAATAGTCAGTATTATAACCATATCACCTTGACATTTAACAGTCAATATCATGATAAAATGAGACTTAAAAAATTCCTATTTCTACATTTCTAGAAATTTATATACAATCTGAAAAAAACAATTGAACACATCCATGATACTTTACAAGATTGAATAACATCAGCTCAAGACCATTACAATCAAAAGAAAATAGAGGATCCTCTTTAAGGGTTGAAACTACAAGTCTAATTTGGATTAGATTAACTTGCTGAAGATTTACTATTATCAAATTAAAATCCTTCAAATTTCATTGAAATCTTTTTGAAATATGATTTCCATCAAGTGGTTATTTTTCTGTTTGTTTTTGTTTTTATATCTCATTTCAGTCAAATTCTTTTCTGTATTAAAATCTGATTTCTGTTAACAGAACCAATAATCACAAGTTGTAAATAAAATTTGCAAGATGGTTTCTGTAGTTTCCATGTCCCAGCCCATATCCTTAACCTTCCCATGATACTTCATTGAAATCCCCCTGACAGGACTGCAGTCTTATCTTTAAATCAACCTTTTTACATAATTGCTTTGTTGCCAGGTAGTCAATTAGTACCTACTCAACCTAATTCAGGGCTGTGATAGCTCTCAGTAGGTCTGCAGGTGGTTTGACACTCCCAGCTTTTGTTTCTTAGGATGCTGAGAAACACACCTGTCTGTGCTGCTTTGGTTGTGTCTGTAGGCAAGACACTTCATCCTGATTGCTCTTAATGATATGTGATGGGCCTTCTGTATGTTTTTCCATGAAGTTACCACCAACTGTACAAAGATACTTTACCTCAAAATGAACTTGGCTGTTCATGAGACAATAAACCCGGCAAAGATCAATACAAATGTACATGGGCGACTGTTGATGAAGACACTACATACTACTATCCTTGATGATACATTATTTAGTATCTTACAGGACAATTCAGCAAATTACAGTCCCCTACCAACACACCACCTCACCAAGGTGATCCTATTCCCAAGGTATGAAGTTTCAGTGACTATGAGTGTAGGCAATAGAGCCAAGACGACCTATTCTTTTGATGTAGGTCAGAGGTCAAAATGTAGGCAATGACCAGCTTTTGATACACAACAACCGCCACACCAAGAGAACTTTTTCTCATATCAATCTAGAGTCTATGAACGACTTTGGTAAACTGGCATCAAGAATAGACAACATACAACAGTATTTATATTCCATACTGGACTAGTTTTATTATAAAGTATTAGAACCGTCATCATTCATAAAAGGTTTGATACACATATAACATGAATAAAGGTTATAATGAAAGAACTGGTACAAAAATCCAGCCTGATTGTATTAATGGCAATATGTACATCTACATAGAACATGGTGCAATACAACATTGGGTGGATGGGATAAAATAACTCATGTAGAGTAGGGTAAAAGGTACAACAGATGAATTTTTTATCACAATAAAACTCAACAGTTATTTAAAGGAATATTCAAAGCAAATAATTAAAAGTTTTAAAATACATGTATTCAGATTCCATGAAAATTCTTTCAACCATGTATCTACATTATTTTGGCTCTAGATGAGAAATTGACATTTCACTGAATTACCTCTTAAGATTTTACAATATCAACAAAGAAGTCATATTTTCTCTAAGAGCTAGACTTTATAACAATAAATCAATAACAGACTAAAAAGTTCAGAAAAATATAAACAGATTGAGATATATACACATGTGTCACCTACCACCCATGCTAACTCTATACATTATTTAATACATCACCATGGTGTGTAAATATGTAGTTTGTTACCTAATGATAAAAACATTTTTCACAAAGACATGATTAATGTATCTTGACATATTATCAAACAAACATCAATTGTACAAGCAACCTAATGTCCCTTATCTGAAAGCGGTTTTAATTAGCTCACATTCATTCTTTTGTTTGTTTTATATTTGCATGCTGTCTTAAACAATTGTTTTGCAAAAGTTGAAAGCAAACTTTTGGTATAAGTATATGCAAATGATATTAGTTCAAAAATATAAGTTACTTTAGTTTATGCAGTGTTTGTTAACTTTAAATCTTAATAAAAAGTATGCAAATTCAATTTAGGATTATAAATCACATTTTTAATAAAGACACAGGCTTAATATTCTTTGTCCATGATAAAGACAGAAAAATCAACTTCACATCTGTCCTTGAAAACACTGACTTGATCAATTAATGTTTTCTAAAGGTCATGATGTATCTTTAATAATTGATAGTAAAACCTGTCTACAGTATGTAGATGTACATAGAGTTCTATACATAAAAGGACTACAATCTGTTGTATACTGCATATTAGGTAGATTATCAAACAGAAGTGAAACAAAATTTAATAAAAATGTTATCTGGTAGTGTTCCTTTTGTTTCACTGAAGTAATAGTATCTGGTATATGCCTTTACTTAAAAAGAAAAAAAGACAATCTTCAGTAATGGTAATGTACTGCATCACACAGTACAAGCACTATTTTCACCTGTTACAAAAAAACTTCATAAAAAAATCTACAAGCTTCTTTTGTTTAAAAAAATATTCAACTAAATCACATCAGCATTTGTTCTCTTTAATTCCCAGCATTTGTTCTCTTTAATGCCCAGCATTTGTTCTCTTTAATGCCCTTAATATAGATATAAAGCTTCATTTATCACTGTTTGAAACTATATAAATCATGATTTTGGGACTTCAAAAAATTATGTGCAAATTGAATTTATCTACATTAGCTTTTCATATTGCCATGAGAAAATTTTAATTCACTTAAATGTTTATCTGGCAAGTATTTCTAGATCGAAGGAAAACTATAGATTAAAACATTGCTTTCTATTTGACTAACGAACACTGTGTTTAATACTGACTGTATCAGTATATTATAAGTACATTTTGAAGGTTTGCTTTCTGTATAGACTAGGTAGCAGTGATATATATTTACAATGTACAATCTGTGATTTCCACTACATTATAATGGGACTAGATACATTCTGATTTTGTTATATACATATATACAGATTCATAAAGATGCTACTGACTAGAAACATGCATTGGTCCTTACAATATACAATGCTACATCAGGATCTTCATCCCATTTCAAAATAAAACTGTTTTCATAATCAAGTATCCCTAAATCTAAAATCATGTTGTTAAACAAAATATCAGTTTTTTCATCTAAATTAAACAATTCAAATCCATTTTTGTGACTAAATCCATTTTTGTGACTGTCACATTTTTACTATTAACAAAAAATGAGCTGATGTCTCATGTTCAAACTGTTATTAATGTTTTTTTTGTTCATTTCAAGCAGACATTAACAGTGAGCAAAAAATTAACTTTTTTAAGTGAGAACATGAAAAAACTGTGGACAAGCATTTTCCCATACATCCACATATGTACAAAGCAGTTAAGAATACAAAAAACTGTAGAAAAATGGATGAAGTGGATGTAGTGGATGTAGTGATTAAGGAAGAAGTGGATGTAGTGATTAAGGAAGAAGTGGATGTAGTGATTAAGGAAGAAGTGGATGTAGTGATTAAGGAAGAAGTGGATGTAGTGATTAAGGAAGGAGTGGATGTAGTGATTAAGGAAGAAGTGGATATAGTGATTAAGGAAGAAGTGGATGTAGTGGATGTAGTGATTAAGGAAGATAACAAAACATGATCTCTTGTAATACATCAGTGTAACATTAAATTTCTAGTGAGTTTACTTCAATGTTGTACATGTATACAGATATCCTTTGGAATGACTGACTTTTTAAAGAATCTGTACCATACTAAAGAAAAACACATCAGTACAACATGATGAATTGCGCAATTGTCAGATTTCATTTTTCTTTTTACAAATGGTGATAAAAAAAGAGGCAAAAGGGCAATAAATGTCATCTAGATTTTATAAAAAATGTTGATTTGTTGCAATTAGATATGAATCAGGAGTATCAACCCCAACAAGTAAGAGACAGGTTCTTTGTAATTTATTAGGTAGTCTGTCTACCAGTTTTGCCCTCAGTATTAGGCTTTTCCTGGACCATGAATCCATGAAGAAGCCCAATACTGTAGACAAAACCATTTCAAAAAACCTTTCCCTAATTTGTTGTCATTGATTCCCCTGATTTGAGCTTATCCTAATTCACCAATCCCCTGCATACCTTCAAGTATCCAAGGGAGAAGCAGAGGAAATCTGCTACTTAATACTACACAGCATTAGCTCTACCAACCAATATTAGAAATCATTTTGTTGACAAAGTCAGATAATTCTAACTACATTCTACATGTAGTGCAAAGTTGAGAATTCTAACCGGAAATGATTTCTAACAGAAATCAATCAACTTATGCTCTGAAATGTAATTTTCCTATAATTACATTATTAAACTTTATCCCTGCCCAAGGGGAAATATGAGATCCTTGGCTGATGAATTTTAAGATTTTTGTGAAGCACTGTATGAACCCCTTTGACCCAACCACTCAAGGGCTGCTTGGGGCAGAACCATATCATTCATAATTTTGGTTAATCTCTGGCAATGGAGTATTCTACTAAATTTTATAAAAATTGGTCAAGGGGTTTTTAAGAAAGAGATCACAATTGGTCACTTGGTATCCCAGGTGTCTGAAAAAGTCAATAAATAACAAACAACAAAGACTAAATAAAAATAATGACTAAAAATTCTGACAAAAAGGATAAACTGTGTTACAATTTGCATCAGTATCAATATTGCTGATTGGTTTATATCATCCTTGTACTGCCAGGTAACATTAATTTAACCCTAATATTGACAGGTTACATAACACTGGAAGCCCTGGAGGATCTATTTTCTAGGTCCTTATTCTACATTTACCATTTTATGGATGAGTGTGAAATTACTGAGGCAAAAGCAGACACTTGCACTGGCACATGAACATTTACAGTGTAAGAGTAACACAATAATTGTACATTAACAAGAATAATATCATATACTCCTATATCAAGCAGCTGCTTTGATAACTTTTTACTTTTTACTTAACAGCTCACCTTCAACAATATCTTTGTAATATAGGCATTTTAAACATCCTCTTTACATATTCATTTATCAATCTCACTCAATGTATCACAGACCCCTTTATACAATGCCGAAATAGTGACAGTATAAAATGGTTTTCCTGTGTCTGTACAAATATGGCAAAATTCCTCCTCACTATGGCAGTTAGAGTCTCTAATATAGCTTAGGTGTACATTTCAAACCGAGATCCATTATCCAGAGAAAAGAAGTGAACTATACAACTTCTGAACTAGTACATGGTCACAAACGAAAAAGCTCTAGTTAGTCGGGAAAGTCTGAATACATTTTGTAGGAGTTCACAACTTCTGTTTTATGTTAGAAGTTTCTTTCTGAAATAAACATATAAGCACAATCCAGGTTAGCAGGCAGCTAATAATACCATATTTATCTAGTAATAAGCCCATGCCTAGTAATAAGCCATATATTGTTGCTCAGCAACATTAAACAAATGCTGATTTATTGTCTCTAAGCCCATCCCTGAACTCTTATTAATATGATGGCACCCTTAGGCTTATTGCAAAATAAATACAGTATGAAGTTAGCAACACCCACTTGATGATAATGATGAACACAGTGGATGTTTGAGATTGGGCCCAAGTTATCACTGCACAGTCTCATAGATTTGTTCTGCCTCTTGTGCTGTTGTGCTCTCAATCGGATTGTCTTGGAGGAATGGCTGGACACTCTCATCCTCACTACCATGTTCCAACGCTTCATTGACAGCATTGTCATTAGCATACAAGGGCTGGTCTGTGGATTCCACTCGCTGCTCCAGATTACTTGGCTTGCTTGGATCAACCACACGATTAGCCTCGTTGATGAGATTGGTAGCTTTTCCTTGTCTGCTTCCTACGGACATATCCACATATTCACTCTCACGGACTGGTAAAGGCCTTCGGTTGTTCAAACAAGGGAGAGGAGGGGCTGGAGGGTTGTCATCTCTTGAAGGTGCACACTTCTTAATAGGAGTCTCGTAATCTGGATCCTCACTACAACACATGTCTTTGCCCCCCTCTGCACCCCCCTTGGCCTGCAGGGTAGATGTGTACCGAGTGTCATAGCGGTTGACCCCATGGTCGACTTGCTTGGTGACCACATCATACAGTCGATTCATATCACTGGTGTCCATGTAGATATTACTCTGCGCCCGTTGTGGTCCCTGATCACGCTGATCTATACGAGCATAGTTGAGATTTTCAAACCTCACTGACATTTCATCCACAGGCTTCTTTCGATGGAACCTAAAATATTCAACAGTCATACTATAAATAGTCAAAAAAAAAAGTTTATTTATATTTGAATGATCCTACACAAAAAGCTTTCAAAGACAAGAGGCATGAAGAGCCTGTATTGTTCACCTGACTTTGCTTGGCTCACATTTCTTCATCAAAACTATAGGAAAAGAAATTACATCCTCAATAAATAAATCACTTAAAACTAAAAGGAGATCAATGAAGGCTCTTCCTTACCTCTTACCACAGAAGATGAAGCCAAACACTGCCAACAACAGAACCGCCACTGTTCCCGATATAAACCCTATCAGCAGACCTAAAACAGATGCAAATCAGTGTCATAAAATGAAGAATCTTGCACTCATTATTAATTTTCAATAAGACTGAAAAAAAAGAAATTGTTTATAGTAGGGTAAAATCTGATTGTTCTTCAAAAATCTCAACAGATTTACAGATTTTTCGGTTTTGGAAAATCAAACATCAAGCAAACCAATCAAGAGGGTTTTTTTTATTTAATATTTTCACTTTGTTTGCTTAGAGTGAGAAATTTTAGCTAAGACATATTAAACAATACACATGTTGTGGAAGTATTTTCAGAAATTATTTAAATGTGAAGGAAGCACATGTACTATATGAAACATAAAATGAAACACATACTGTCTTTATCTGTGTGGGTCTCTGATTCCATATGGCGATCACCTGTTGACGAGGCTTTTTCAGCATCAATATGGGCATTTTCGTATGCTGTAAATACACCAAGCATTGCACAACATCAAACTAGTGTTGTCAGGATCAGTGTGTATATTCTCATAGGTTGTATAAAGACAAAATGCAACATCAAACTGGTGCTGTCATGATGTATGTGTATTCTCATTGGCTCTATGAGGACAAAATGCAACACACAACTATTCAGATTTCTGTGTTACAGATCCCACGAGGATCTTAGTGCCAATAGACACCATATTTGGTGTGTGAGCAATTTTCTCCTTTGATTTTGATTATCATGGTATTAACAGTTCATGTAAAATCTGCAGTTCTGTCTCAAAAATAGCTATAACAAACTTTTCAAAATCCAAGATTTTTCAAATCAGCTTCAAAACTGATCATGCAAACACAAAACGATGGAAATCTAAATATGAAAATAGAAAAACATCCCTCCAGTGTTTTTCTCTGGGTGGAGGATAGTAACATTAAAACATAACTATTACAAACTTTCTGTGTATTATACATTGCACTTACCATAGTGAAGTTCAATGCTTCATGCACATATACATGGTTTGATTTAACAATCATTTCAACATGATTGCACATGCATGCACTTAAGCACTAAAGGAGTGTAATAGGTACAATTTGTTATCACATGTCACTCATTACCATCATGATCAAATTTAACACATGCTGCATGGGATGGAAAAGAAAATGTTCATATACATATCCCCCCCCCCCCCCCCCCCCCCCCCGCCTCTGCAATACACAACAACAAACTAGTGTTGTCAGGGTCAGTGTGTATATTCTCACTGGCTGTATAAACACAATGTACAAGATACAACATCACACTACCACTGTCCGGATGTATGTGTGTATATTCTCATTGGCTGTGTAAACACAATGTACTAGATACATCACACTATCACTGTCCAGATGTATGTGTGTATATTCTCATTGGCTGTATAAACACAATGTACTAGATACATCACACTACCACTGTCCGGATGTATGTGTGTATATTCTCACTGGCTGTATAAACACAATGTACAAGATACAACATCACACTACCACTGTCCGGATGTATGTGTGTATATTCTCATTGGCTGTATAAACACAATGTACTAGATACATCACACTATCACTGTCCGGATGTATGTGTGTATATTCTCATTGGCTGTATAAACACAATGTACTAGATACATCACACTATCACTGTCCGGATGTATGTGTGTATATTCTCATTGGCTGTATAAACACAATGTACTAGATACATCACACTACCACTGTCCGGATGTATGTGTGTATATTCTCATAGGCTATATAAACACAATGTACAAGATACAACATCACACTACTACTGTCCGGATGTATGCGTGTATATTCTCATAGGCTATATAAACACAATGTACAAGATACAACATCACACTACCACTGTCCATATGTATGTGTGTATATTCTCATAGGCTATATAAACACAATGTACAAGATACAACATCACACTACCACTGTCCATATGTATGTGTGTATATTCTCATAGGCTATATAAACACAAAGTACAAAATACAACATCACACTACCACTGTCCATATGTATGAATATTCTCAAAGTTAATGCATGCTGCATGAGATGGAAAAAGAGAGTACATGTACTCTGTATTACACCACCCCACTCCACGGCATATAAAGGGTCTTTGAATCAGTGTCATATACCACATTTATGCTAAAATAGTCCACGGTGGGGGGTTAATATATATAATAAAGTTAATATCTATATTGCCAGATAAATGTAATATCTTATATCGACTTACAGAACAGAGAATTATAAGGATTGCATCTAATCTTTCAGAGGTATGGACTTTAATTCTATAACTCTTGCGTTTCTGCAGCTGACATATGTTAAGTTGACAGCTGTCTTTTAAGATTCTTGTTTTGATTCCAGGATGTCGTATATATTAAATTCTATACCGAACTATACTTCAATACCATTACATATAGTCTCCAGTAAATCAACTATGTCCTGACTCTAATTGCGGTCCCATCATTTTTCTTTTTCACCAAATCATTTTTATTTTATCTGAAACAAATTCTTAGAAAAAAAACAAAAACAAAAAAAAAAACAAAATCAAAACAAAACAAAAGATTTGTCTGCTTGTGTTTTTATCTATCCCAAAATTTTTTTGAAATGTAACCAAAAAAAAAGTGATTCCAATGCAAAAGAACTTCTATACACAAATATTTTCACTCCACCATCATTGGAAAGTGAGTCAGACTCCAGTGTTTATATAAGATATATAGAAGTACCTCCATACATACCAGTACAATGTACTTGATATTTATACATGTCAATGGTGATTTGTCAAACTTACTATGAGTCAGAAAATGGTTAAAAATACACATTTTAACAACTACAAATACGGACTTTTTTCGAGATACGGCTTTTTCTGCCTTATTTTAGAAACAGTATTGGTTAATTGGGAAATTTTGGAAATTGGTATAAATATGAAATAATTTCAAATACAAATTGGGCCCATTATTGACCCAAAAATGTCTAAAAAGAAAAAAATCTAAAATATCAAATTCAGTAAGGATCTATAATTTGTTTCACAAACAGATTGATCAATATAAAGGTGATTAGAAATCCATTGAGGGGTCATAATACAAACTATTAGAGGTAGAAAAAGTGGACATTGAAATATCCTGACCTAGAGTAAGGCAATAAATGATATGTGGGTTTTTATTAACTGGATATAAATGTAGGATTATTTATACATGCATCACATAGTTTATTTTAAGTGTTTTAAACCTGAATTACAAAAAAAAAAAGTTACAGAAAAGAAACTTTATGAAAACTTCAGTCACAAACAAATGAACTCAAAATTCATGCATATCATGAACACCGGCTCAATTTAATTCAAGTTATCCAGAAAAGTCAATGAAAAGTTGATAAGGTATTTGTCTCTGTTTTTTGTTTGAACATCAATTATTGTGTTATATCTAAGGTGTCAGGTTGTCATGTGATGATGACTTGGCTGGTTACATTATCTTGTCCCCAATTCTCTCCCCATATCAAAAGTACAATTACTGAGAATCACACCACTAAAAGATAGCTGGCCCTCATCAGGCGACCACAGATCCAAAGTCCACTCCTAACCCTCGCCTCAACACTAGAACTGTAAACAAAAGGACATGTATACATAGTACTCCACCAACCAGCTGCCATCTAAAATATCCATTTAATATGTAGAATTTCAACTGGTTTCCAGATAAAAGACCAACAATCATGTCAGATCACATTTTCTTGTAGACAGAGGAGATACAAGTTATCTGATCACAGATGTGGATTGCACATCTAGGCTACACCATACCAATCCTACACAAAGAGGGGCTACTGAGCTAGGGACTGGGGCACACAAACATTATATGCATTTTTCTATCAACACCTGTACTCATACTACATGATGAAATGCTCAGGGCTGGGGCACACATGCATAATATGCGTCTCTCACTGTGCACCTGAACACACACAACATGATGAAGTGCCACAGGGTTGGAGGCTGGGGTGCAAACAAGGCTTTTTCTGGGGGCTCTGTGGGGTTTAATATGGGCCACATACCCAGTTCGATGTATTTCATAATACGGCCAAATTCCGAAAAATATATCTTACTCCTTGAAATTTCCTTCCCAGCAGATGGATTTTTCCCATATATAGAAGTAACAAAGCACTGACTATATGTTACTTCTAAAGTTGTTGCAGAGCATTAAAAGGTGAATTCCCAAATGAGCAGAAATAGATAATTCTCCCTTTGCACCTGTATACATATTACATGAGAGGGTCTACAGGCCTGGGAGCTTGGTAGACTGGTTACCACCTCCTAAGCTTTCTTAAGAAATACTCACTGCATTTCTCTGCTAGCTCTGCACCTGTACAGATACTACATGATGGGGGCTCAAGGACACACATACATATTCATCTCTCACATAATCAAATTACACACCATCCATAGGTATGAGCTAGTATGACTACAATGATACATTTTTGAAATCTATTTCATTATGAATACTGACAGGTAGTACAATACAAATACAAAAACAGTTAACATGCACACATGATCTTGAATGCTATGAAATGGATGAAAATACAATGCATAAATAGAAAGAGTATACACTTTGAAAAAAGTGAATGAATTGAAGAAATGGAGGTAACATGGGGTGTAACTATAGCACTGAAGGTTTTGTCAGCAGACAAATATATCAAAACAGAAGCAATATATTTACATGTGTATGGGTTTGATATGAAATCATACACTTATTTCATAACTCAGCAAAGTAAGCTAAAATTTGTTATCTGATAAATCTATGGACTGCATGCTCTGAAATTCATTTTCTGGTAATGACAGGGAAAATATTAATGAACTACTTTGAAAAAGTAGGTGTCCATAAGCTATCAAATGCTGCACAAGTGCTGGCAGAAATATTCCTGTCAAAACTTCTCTTAAAAACCAATATCCTGATCATGTAAATGGTTCACATTTACACCAAGTGAAGGAAATGGTTAACACTGAAGTTTTATAAAAACCTGTGAGATAATTAAATAAGAACAGCTCTCTGGCTGAATAATTCAAAAGCTCATCCTGTGGCAGATTGCACAGCTTGTGTGTTGTGTAAAGATGATGTTCAAGAATGTGCCTCTTAGGCTTCACTTGTCTAGCGGGTCTTAAATTGCTGTGTCCCGAAATGCAGTAATTTTTTCAGGAGAGGGTCAAGAAGGGAGAGTGTATACAAATGTCGCAAGACATAGCAAAGGGAAGGACTGGACTTAATACATTGCCAAGATTTTATAAATACATCATCAATATGGCTACTTTGGAGTGTTATCTTGGCTACATATGTAGTATGAAACACCAGAATTATGAACTAAAGGTGAGTATATGGCATGAGAACACAACTGCAGTATACATAGTTTCAGAATTATCCATAAAAGAAGAAAACACAGGAAAATCCCAGGTTTGTTGCCTCATATGTTACAGCGGGACTATTTCTACATGGGTAATAAGAAACTGAAGAACTACAATATTTGATGTCAATTTTCAGATAAAGGAGGGGTGCATTGTAGAATGTATTTGTACTTTTTTATATTATTACCAACTAAACCTCTTTCAACTACATCCATTTCTTTTGGTTGACCAACAATGCAGTGTAACAATACCACACCTTTCTAATAATGATTTAAACTTCTATATATATATATCCCTGACTAGAATCCCCATTTCCATAACAGATTTCTTAAAACTACAAATTCAACAAATTACTTCCTCAAAAAATTAAATAAACTGATGTATGTGTCTCTCCTGTGTAAACCCTCAAATTAATCTGTTGTATGTCTCTCTCCAGTATAGACCCTCAAAATATCCAAAACACTTCATGCTATCATTTAAACTCTCAAATTAATCTGCTGTATGTCTCTCTCCAGTGTAGACCCTCAAAATACCCAGAACACTTCATGCTATCATTTAAACCCTCAAATTAATCTGCTGTACGTCTCTCTCCAGTATAGACCCTCAAAATACCCAGAACACTTCATGCTATCATTTAAACACTCAAAATAATCTGCTGTATGTGTCTCTCCAGTGTAGACCCTCAAAATACCCAGAACACTTCATGCTATCATTTAATTTAAACTTTTCCGCATAAACAGTAATTTTAAAGGCCAGCACTTTTTCAACCGAAATTAGAAATATCATATATGCCAGTGAACACAATTGTTTACTTTTTAGTTTGAATGAAATGTCAAACGAACTGACAATGATCACTATTACCAATACTTCCTGTTGGCCAGTCATGTACTCTATGAATGAAGTATTATAGGTGGTGCGTGGGTACAAAGTTTGTATTCTTTTATGTGTATACATTGTAATACATAACCACAAAAATGTCACAGCATGCAATTCAATACATTTTCCTATTAAGATATCCGTTAATTTTCCAACGTAAAACATCTGAGCTTTACTTCAGGGAAATTGATTCACTAATCTTGTGAGTAATACGCAAATAAAATTGTGTATGCAGTATTCACAAATTTTTTTTAAAGAACTGATCGATTGATTGATGAAATGTCTGGATGTTCAAGTGAATTATTCACATTTTTCTTTTTCTATTTCATATTAAAGATGAACTTATAAATTAATTTTTAACAAATGTGAAAAAACTGATCAAGTGAATTTTAATATTAATAAATCAAATTGAAAAACAAAATAAATATTTGATAATAGAAGATAGATGGAAAGCTTTATAAGAACATTAATGACGAATGTTTCACCCCCTGACTACACAATGAAGCCTTAACCACAGCAGACAATCTCAAGAGCTCCTGCTTAAATCCAATTACAAACAGGAATGATATTTGAGGGCATATTGTTGTTGAATTAATATGAAATTTGAAATAAGAAAAAATAAAAATAAAATGAGATTATGTGATGAGAGTTTTACCCAAATTTTAATAAGTCTGTCACTCAGATTTAATCAAATCTAGTATACCAAGATTGTATGTGTTTGAGTTGTGGTTCCATTGTGCAGTAAGGGTGGTGTTGTCAAATAACACCACTAACCTTTTTGATACCCTGAATCCATTTTTTGGCTTTCCAATATCTTTGGCTTATCATGATTAGAGCCTAACTTCGGAACATATGCAACAACCAGTTCAGGCTCCTGACTAGAGGGGGGTGATTCTGCAGTTGGGGCAAGGGTCATGTTTGCCGTGGTGCTTGCCTCGGTGGTAGTGGTGGTGGTGGTGGAGGGGGTTGTAGAGGTTGAAGATGTGGTGCTAACAGTAGTGGTGGTTGTGGTGGTGGTAGTGGTAGTCGTAGGAGGTGACATACCTTCATGAATGAACAAAAATGGAAAGAAAAAAAATAAAACTTAACAAATGAGTAGAAGGTAGTAGTTGTAGGAATTTCTTCAGCTCTTGTAGCTGATTAACACTTAACCTATATAGTGGATTAAATTTTGATACAAGTAAATCCTTCAAAAAGTACATCTTAAACTTAATGTGGTTTTAATTATTGTACATAGCAGGTTTACACTGACAGATGTACATATTTGTGGTCAAATAAATGTGGATTTACATGATGTAACTTTCCATAATATTTTTGAGAATTCATCATTGTCGATTTCTAGAAAAAGTGTAATTGAAATTCTTAATTCTGAGAATTAAACTAAAGAAAATAGTTTCAGTCTTTTGATTGACTTTTTAACAACTTAATTTTCAGAACTGACTTTTACATGGAAAACAAATGAACTATAAATAGTCAATTTTGATGTATGTTTGTAAATCATCTGATACCATTACAATTTGTATAAATTCCTTCCATTGGCCACCACAAAAATGAAGAAAATGACAAAAACAAACAGCTGATAGCATCAAGGTTGATGAACACAAACAGGCAACAGAGGTAATTATGATAGGAGCTGTTGATGATGACAGAAGCATGTGCAGTGCACTTTTGTAAAATGGGAATGATCCACACATGACCACTGTTGTTCAGTACAGTCAGGATGTTATCCAGCAGCAGCAGCAGGATATAATGTGCTGCTTCTATCAACAATTACACTGTAAACACATGGTACTGTACATATACTATACCGGACACAGTCTAACTGACTGCCTTCAAGGTAATTGGTCTTCATTCCAAACATCTGACATGATAAAATATAATGGAGCTGGGAAGATAAATATCTAGGACAATAGCATACCATTACATTGAAAAGGTGGTTGCACAATCAGACCTGAAAAAAATATGCCTTTAAAAATAGTCTTGGCTCATTATATTGATCTAGTTCCAACCTTACAATAATTCAGTCTGAGAACACTGTATGGACCAATATATATGTTAGTCTTTGAAAGAGGAGACTAAAGGGCCTGTACCACTCATCAAAATGAAAAAATGATTTTTGAAATAATTTCCCTATTGGGTCTCGACTTTAATATCAAATAGAAGTCAGATTCACAATTCACAAAAACTGCTTCAGGCCAAAAGACAACAGAAGGATTTTCCAACATTCCGACTCAAGAGAACCAAAACCCATCATTTCATATCCAATTCATTCTCCTTCACCCAAGCATGTTTCAGACCAAATTGGGACAACATTCAGGCACTATCCTACTGAAGAAGTATTTTAAAGAATTTGTTCTATTTCCCCTATTTTGCCCCTCCCCTCCCTCCCATGAGGGCCAGGACTGAACAATGAGTCCTGCCCCTTGTGCCCTACTGGGCTGATACCTATGTAACTTTTATACAAAATTGAATTCCCTTTGCCATAGAATGCTTCAAACCAATTTGGGCAAATTCAATCATTCCTTCACAATGAGTATGATTTTAAAGAACTTGCAAAATTTCCCTTTAGAGTACTGCCCTTCAGGACCCAGGGGGCCAAGAACCAATTTTTATAAAAAAAAACTGTTGGTCAAAATCTGTTCAATCATTCATGACTACAAGCAACATTCAGTAAAAACTGACAGACAGTAGATGCCAGATACACAACAGATGCTTTGCCATGGCATAAGTTTAGGACCAGGTGATGAGCTAAAAAAAGAAATTTTCTACTGTTAAATGTAGTAATTTAAATAAAAGAATATTGGACTGTACAATATCAGAACAAAGTGTTGATTCTGAAACTTAAAGTGTAACAACTCCATTTAAGACATGCCTGGTAACAGTAAAAAGCTAACTCTACACTAGTCAGCGTTGTCGTTCGTGTGTTATTAGTTTTTTACAAACTTTTCAATTAATTTACTCCTATCATATATATCACTTCCTTATTTCAAATATCTATTTGATAAATCATGTCAGAAACTCGTCTACAGAAAGGAAACATGTCCAAAATCAGTTGTGCAACATTAATATCTTCCTTAAAATAATCAAAACTGTTATAACATATTTTTAGTTGTGTTGGAATTAAGATCTTATTACAAAATCACTAGCATAGAAGAAACTTCAAAAAAGTATTGACAAAGTAGTCATATAAACGATGACATTTTATAATATTTTTGTGGTTTTTTTATCTGTTTATTTTATATATATGTATTCAGTCAGTCACTACAAATGTGTTAAGCATTTAAACTCTTTATAAGCATTAACACCTATTGAAAAATCTGGTATGCTAACTTACATTTTTATCAAAGTGATATATAGGAACACATGGTGTAGGTAAACATGTTTTTTAAAATCTAGTATTGTGTGTCACACCATTGACTAATTGCTGACTAATCTTTTGTGCCTTGACACTTTTATAATTACAACTAGTATACAGTCATGATCAATACTGTATTGACAAGATGCCAGGAATGTTCAGGAATATAGATGGGAGATACAACGAATCACTGATTTCCATAATATCTGACTCAAGCGATGATGAAGAAGCATTTTCATGAGGAACAGTTTCGCAATCCTGTGATCAATACATCGCAAGAGAACAGCTATCAAATAGTAATATGTTGGCCAGCAAACAAAGACCTACCTACCATCATGCCTAGTGTTTTCTAGCAGTATCAGTGAGGGTAGTGTACATATTAGCCTATATATACTACTGCAAAGCCGTAGTTTTCTCTACAATGTAATCATAATTTCATGTCATTATTTTGTTCTACATTTATAATGAAAGTCTACTTGCTCACAAATGATATTCTATCTAAAGAAATGTGCAAGTGGATCCTCACCTTTAACCGATTTTTTTTTAAATAGATACAAATTAATTATGAAAATATATTACACTTACTTACCCTGCATTAATTAATTGTATAAGCCAATAAGGTACTATCATGCATCAAAATAAACCCATCAAAATCTATTCCTGTACACTTACAAGTAAATATGCATAAATGATATTTGGCTCATTGTCATGCGATAAGCCCATCCCCAAATTTTGCATAACAGTTTGAATGTTGGCAATTTGAACTTAATACAGTAAAGATTAAGTATGTATGATTTACCAGTAATGAAGTCAATAGACACAAAATTTGACCTAGATTCTTCATGAACTTGCAGTTTGTTGATCTTTTAATGGACTTCATTACTATCACCTTCGCTTAAATATTATCATGTGAAGAATGATTTCCAGTTAAGTACCATCTATAGAATTACAAAACTTGACCTTGGCTTTTAACTTGATGACTTCCTGTGATGATTTAACTTCTTGTTTGGTAACTTAATTAATTTGTTCCTTAATGTAGGAGATACATAAATTTGACCTTGAACTTTTGTCTGCAAGTTGAAAAGTTTCATTTCTACTGACTTTGAATCAAACATCAGAGAATTTTCACCATTCCAATTAATCATCATTAAGTGAAAGATGAAGCCCTACAAAACTTTGGCCAGTCCCTATTATAACTTAAACTAGAGATTTAGGTCCAGTTTTTACTCTTTAATGTTTGAATGTCAGATCCATGCAAAACCTTTGTGTTCAAACAATATCATAATATCCAGTCACAAATAACAAATTCTCCATCAATTCCAATATAAAGAAGTGAATTGATAAAAAAATAACCACTTTATCATAAATATTCAATTCTGTTTTAACACCATCAAGGGGAAAGTCTTTATTGTGTAAGTGATGATAACACAATGTAATATTTTGCATATTCACATTGGCATTTGTGTGTAGTTGCAAAAACACAGATGCTGTAAAAAATTATCTATCATATATGGTAAGTACATGTGTTAAAACAAGGTCAAAGTATTGTCTCTTTTCTTAATTTACTGGGTTCATTTATATATAAACTTAAAATTGAATGATTTCAGCAGTTTATTTTTTGTTGTTTTTTTTTTCTATTAGGTATTTATGTACCATATACTGAACAGGAAAGACAAACTTATAATTATTGTTATTAAATATAAATATCTATTTACAACATGTATCATATGCAGGGTTGTATACAGACAAATCTGATATATTTATTCCCAACAAGTAAACAGCTAAATCAAAATTTCCTGTATGAGTTGGTGAGTAATATCTATAACTATCTTTATATATGCCTAAAATGAACACCATCAAGTGCCTTATAATCATAAATGTATATCTTCCCACTTAAACACTGGGTTTGGCAAGTAACACAAGTGCTTTCAAACAAAAACACTTACATTGACAGTGATTTTCATGACAGTACACGCATATATATATCTGCAACCAACTATAGACCCCACAAACAATACGTATATATATATATATACAAATGTACATAAACTTGGACAATTTAGTGTTAATCTGATGACATATCCAGAAAACTATTGCACCAATAAAAGTACCCCAATAAGGAATGAAGTACCAATACATCAGAGTATGAAAATAAAAGAAATCATTTTATTTACACAACAATATAGCTATGACCAGACTGTTCCGATACCTCAGACATTAAAGTTAACACTTATTCAGGGCTAATTTCATATCTGGCGGAAGTCTCCCATTGCCCTCGGAATGTACTATATTTTGTTTCACAGACATTTTGGTGATATTTAACCCTGTTAGACAGGGTCTGCTTGTAAAAAAGCTTGGGGAATTTCAGCTGTGTCCTATCAAATTTCCACACCCACATCACTGTCTGCCATGTCAACACCCATGTTTGTCTGTTAATATCACCTTATGATCTTGAGACCCAAGTTTTCTCACTCCGCAGGGGTGTATCAAAAATATTGATGCTCCAGGGTCACTTCAAGTTAACTTATTCCAAATCTCAGAATGTTTATCAAAATCATCTATTTCCCTCTCTCTCCCTCTCTTTTCAATGAAATTAAGCCATAGCAGCTTCACATTCACATGGTCTAGAAATACATGTATCCTGACGATGAACTATCACTGGTATATATTATATAAAATAATAGAGACATTTTTTAAGATAGATGTATAGTGACAGGATCACCAACTGTTACATTAAAATCTGTCATAACAGACAACTTAATTCAGCAGACACCCTCCTATAACGGACAGATTGTCCAAGTCCTGATTTACAATACTATATCTCACTAGTAGTGTCCATTTCAAATAAGTGGACACCTCTCTTATCCAGACAACAGACACACCTGTGGGCCCCAACATACATAATTTCTTTATGAAAGACCTTGAATTAGAGGACAGTCATTTTATGACAGATTTAACTTGCCACCTGCAATCGTCCATTTTGACTTCTGTAGAGAGCAGCACTAACATTATCATATGATACATGTTAGAGCAACCAGCTCTCAGGTATAATTCACATTAAGTTGACCTATCATTGTTTGAACTCAGTTTGCTTATTAGGCAAACCATTTTAAAGCTGTTATTCAAGTGAACAAACATTCATCAGAGATCTGCCAGTTCTATCAGTCTTGAAAGAAATCAAATTTGTAATTAACTTTTGTAGCTCTTTTTAATAAGTGTTTTAATGTCATTTATGCAGTGTCCTTATATCATAAATCAGTATTTTATCATGTTACAGGGCCAAGTGGCTTGATCAGATCTATCAATAAATTCTTTTTATAAATTTGAAATAGTTATCATAAAAAACATGTAATTAATATTTTCTTTATAATTTATGAAATAAATCTTTTATCATTTATTATGTGTTTATGGTTTCTATCTGTCCATTACAAGTACATCATAACCATGTTTATTAAATGATTGGATTGATTTTAGGCAGGGTGTATGAAAGTTTTGACAGAGGCCGTCCTTAATTCAGCGGACACCTCTATATAAGGGACAATTCACTTGGTCAGGTAACTGTCTGCTAAACACAGCTTTTACTAAACTTCCAACTAACCTAGAGTAAGTTATACATCTGACATATCATGTAATAAGATAATGCAAGGGGAAATTTTCCCACAAAACCTCTGACATTGCCCCTATCAAGCCTCCATGATGCTAACTGGAACAAATTAATGTTCATGATAATTATCTGCTACAGGTCAAAATACATTTATAAACATTTTCATCAATATTGAACTTTCATTTCTTGAACTGACAAGTCCCCATCCATTACACAGTGGTCTTGAACTGAGCGGGCTGGCTTTCCACTTCAGAGATACTGATGACAATATTATAATAATACTATAACAACTACAGCTAAGAATAATGACATGTTTTTAAGAACTTCAGCTAAAGTAATGGTCAGACCTAACAGTTACAATATGGTCAGTGACACTCCTGACCCAACTCTAACCAGCTTTATATTTCAATTTGCTCTTTAAATCACTTACATGATGTAATAATGTCCTATATGTATATATGTTTACCAGCTTGAAGTTAATAGACACAAAATTTGACCTAGATTCTTCATGAACTTGCAGTTTGTTGATCTTTTCTTAATGGACTTCATTACTATCACCTTCACTTAAATATTATCATGTGAAGAATGATTTCCAGTTAAGTACCATCTATAGAATTACAAAACTTGACCTTGGCTTTTAACTTGATGACTTCCTGTGATGATTTAACTTCTTGTTTGGTAACTTAATTAATTTGTTCCTTAATGTAGGAGATACATAAATTTGACCTTTAACTTTTGTCTGCAAGTTGAAAAGTTTCATTTCTACTGACTTTGAATCAAACATCTGAGAATTTTCACCATTCCAATTAATCATCATTAAGTGAAAGATGAAGCCCTACAAAACTTTGGCCAGTCCCTATTATAACTTAAACTAGAGATTTAGGTCCAGTTTTTACTCTTTAATGTTTGAATGTCAGATCCATGCAAAACCTTTGTGTTCAAACAATATCATAATATCCAGTCACAAATAACAAATTCTCCATCAATTCCAATATAAAGAAGTGAATTGATAAAAAAATAACCACTTTATCATAAATATTCAATTTTGTTTTAACACCATCAAGGGGAAAGTCTTTATTGTGTAAGTGATGATGGCACAATGTTATATTTAGTGTATTCACTACAAGGTGACATTCCATTGGTAGATAATAGTGATACAGGTGTAGTTAACTGCCACATGAATAAGATTAGATAACACAGCACCCTATATATCATTACTATCTTTCATTAAATATCATTGTTTTCATTATATATAGTGACATAATAGGTGTTTATACCTTAATGCAATAAAATGTTATGTATTTCATACGGTGACAATATAAAAATATTGTACATGTGTTTTCCTTACCAACTAAAACTGGTAGCTGGTGTAGATACCATTAAAAGATCTTGAATGCCAGGGGTTTTATCCATTTAGATCTAACAGACAAATTCAAACAAGATGATTTCTCAATTATTTTACAGTCCATCATGTAACATGTGGCCTAGTGGACAGTTATCCTTATTCATCTACCATTGATGGATTCTTTAACCCATGTGATCTTGAATGTGTCAAGGGCATTCTTTTCAGAAAACATGTTAGAATAAAATTAAAACCAAAAACCTTTTCGTCAAATATCAAGATTCAAAGTCATTTGAAAAATTTGAAGAAGTTGTTTGAGTGTTATAACTTTGAATATAAGTCGAGTATGTCTTTAAGCAAATTTTGATAAATCTTGTTGTTTTCATTCTGCATTAACACCAGATTACCATTATGTGCAGGATACTTACGGAAATCACATACAGATCTGTATCTGAAGAACATGTCTGTGTCACAATGGTAGTCATGCCAACGATAGCCATCTTGTCTTTTCATCAGGGCGCAGTCCTCAATAGAAAACAATCCAAGTGATTTGCTAGGCTGGCCAGGGGCCCAGTAACCCCACTGGAGTCGTTCACCTTAACATCAAAACAATTTTTTCTTACATTCATACCACACATTTTTGTCATTCATCATTTCTGGTTGTCATAAAAAAATCCTAATGAAAAATGCCACCTTATATCACTTCAATCATTCTTTTTGATAACTTACTAAGTTATGACATAATGTACTTAATTTTCACAGCACTCCTAATTGAAAAAGGAAAACTTTCACTCAAATCATGAACTATACATAATATTTTGTATATGGTACATAATATATATAATCTTTGTTTCGTATATAATATATGCATTACATATAAATCAAAATTTCATAAAATCCTATCATATATAAACACAATTGATACGCCAAACTGAAAATGACATACCAGTAGTCCATCTCCATACACCCCCACTTCTACTATTAGCACCAATCCATGTGCCTGTATTTGTCCATCGTAAACTACCCAATGTCCGTTTCAAGAAATTCATTATATGTTCATTAGGAATAGAAACAAGCTCTCCTCCCCATCTATGGCATTGTTCTCTTGCAGTAACCCATGTTCCTTCACGGGAAACAAACACATAACACTTGTCCTGGAAAGTTCTCACACTATAATGTTTACTGAGGTCTCGTCGAACAACAACAGGGCATCGGTACAAATCTTTGGAAGCTTCAGCTGCAAAACAGAAAAAAACGTCCATACGTAGTGTGAAGTGTAAGATCATATTCTCTTTTGTAATCGACACATACAGTACTACAATACTGTACAGAATCTTCATGTCTGAATAAATATCTTACATCACTGGTTTCCTATCAACAGGACTAATGCTGCATCATAACCTATAATGCACAACTAGTAAATCTTATTCTATAACCATTGTACATGCCCCCTGCTTGGACATACGAGAACTGATTAATCTGTTATGAGTATAATGCAACCCACTGAGGACTTTCCTACTGTGATCAGGGCAATGATAAGAATTTCAGTGTGATGGCACTATATAAGCCTCCATCAGCGACCCTATTGTCTATCGGCACTATCTACGTATGTCCTTGACTCTTGAGAAAATGTGAAATCTCAAATAAAGAGAAATGTCCTGCTATATGTGACTTTTATCTAACTGGTCTTTTGCAGATATAGCAAGGATAATCTTTTCCTGCCAAATGCAAAATGGCCACCTGGAAGCTATTTTGTTTCTTCTGATCAGTTCCAAAATCAAACAAGCACAAGGAAATACCAAAGGGAACATATGTATGAAATTTGAGAAATATCCATTCAGTACTTCTTAAGAATAGCAATAACAATCTCTCCTAGACAAAATCCAAGATGGCTGCCTGTCGCCAATTTTCTTTTTTCTGGTCAGTCCTAAACTTAAACTGGCACAACTAGGGACCTAAAGGAACCTATACATGAAATTTGAGAAAAATCTCCTTGTAAGTTTTCAAGAAATAGTGATATTAAACTTTCAAAGTGAAAAATCCAAAATGTCTGTCTGTTGGCCCAAAATCGAATGGGCACAACTAGGGACTAATGGGAACCTTCATATGAAATTTAAGAAAGATCTATGAAGTATTTCTCAAGAAATAGCAAATAACAAACTTCATTAAAAAAATCCAAGATGACTGCCAATCAGCCAATTTATTATTCTGATCAGTCCTAAAATCAAAGGGGCACAAATAGGGACCATGGGGAACCTACATATGCAATCTGAGAAAGATCCATCCAGTTCTTCTCAAGAAAGAACGATAACAAAAATTGTTTACGGACAGACAAACAGATGGATGGACAGACCATGGATGCAGAGATTTGAATAACTCATCATATGGTCTCTTATATACATAACATAGAGAAATTCATACCTAAAGTAACGCAAATATTGTACTCAGATGTATATCCTTAAGAGTAACAAGTTCTGTCATCATTATTTAAAAAAAAAAATTGATAAATATGTGCTCATGCACATTCTACATTGGCAAATAGTACAGAGTTGAGTAAGGAAAAGATGACGGCTGTGGCAAAAAGCAATACATACAGAACCACACCTGTAAAATGAAATATAACTTGCACTTCATATAAATGTATATGTATATCAAGTAAATGTATTAAAAATCATAAACACTGTAAATGACGAACTGGGATTTTTATTAATCTGCATTGGTGTGGTAGTTATTGCTAGTTTTTTTCCTAGAAGATTTATGATTAACAGACTACAGTGTATTTTGTTTTGAGTTCAGTTATTCGACTCAACAGTGTCGAGTCATCTGTGTTTAATTTACGTAGTTAAAGATGAGAAAAAAACAGGACAGAACAAAATGTTCAACTTTTCCGATGTATTTGATTCAAGCAGGTTTGACACAAGTGAGTTTTACTGTATCTTAATTGATACCATTTTCTATTTGGGTTTTCTGTACTTAGCTTGTATCTGTTAGTGTCACTCCATGGTGATGAACAAGCTGTGTAAGAGTGATATCACACTGAAATGCCATAACCGAATGTGACAGCATCATACTCCTAGTCAATTTATACTAACTCTAACCTATCTTCTTTTGCATTTAGATATATGTAATCTGTAATTTATACACTATCCAGACATCTGTGTTAATTTTTTATCGGAGACTTAAAAAATACATTTCTAGTTCTAGCAAATATTCAATACATCAAAGGCTATGCAGGAGACATGGTATTGCAAAAAAAAAATAAGGATAAATTCAAACCAAACGAAAAGATGGACTTTATCTTTGGTTGAACTACATGTGTTCATATAATGTTATGTGTAGCGTAAGTAATAACATTACGTATTTGTAAAACAAATATTTTAAAAAGAGAGATAACCCTGAGTTATCAGCCACTCAAAAATGAACTGGACACTCCATATTTTCACTTCACAATTCTATATATGGACATTTATTTGATTTTTGCTGAAAATGACCCATTACCAAATAAGATCCTTAACTGAATCCTTAACTGAAGTATTTTGCAACAGAGCAAATACTTTCGAGTGTGACTGTTTTGATGGCCTTACTACCGGGTGTCTGCTTAAGAGCGAGAGATCACTAGTTTGATCGCTAGCAGGGACCAGAAAATGAACATTTTTTATTCCTTCCTGTGACAATATGATATGCTCATTTTGATTGAAATAAGCTTTTTATACAACTGAACATTCTTCAAAGCAGGAACCTACGGTTAAGTCTATAAGACGGCAATGAGGCCGTGATATCAGACTGCCAATGACTTAGAAGGACCGCGTGGGACTCTCAGTGACTGACTATCTCACGTTTTACTGTTACAAAACCATTTCTCAGTCCACCAAGTCTCTTGATTTAGTACACAGCAGCAAGCGAGTACTCAGTAGCACAACCAAGTTTGTATGAGATTATAATCAGGAAAGTTCTAGCGTTATTTTCCGGAAAGTATCATCCCTAAAACAACACAAATTAACAATACAGTCATATAGTTTTGAAATTACTTACCTAGTTTAAATGATAAGAGCATACAAAAGGCTAAACAACGGGAGAAAAATCGTGAATCCATAATCACAGTCGATGTTGACAGCCTCCTCTACGACGATAATAATATGTTCGCAGTGAAGTGGGTCATCCTAAAGGTCAGGCAGCAAACTGATAGTTGGTTTCTGATTGGTCAATAATACGTTGGATGTTTATTAGCCTACTGTTTGGAATAACCCAACCAAGAGTTGAAATTTTGATAATTTGTAAATGAATTGATATATAGTATTTGATTTAATTAAAACGTGCCTGTTTTGAAATTAAACGATTTGTAAATATTATTTGTTAGAATATAATTTGACTTTGCATCCAAAGCAGTTCCGTGTGTCTACAACCCTACAACATGTCTATTTCGGAGAGTGTTGTTCCCAATGAATTAAAAATAGCCAAGGTTAAACCACTTTATAGGAAGAAAGATAGACTAAATGCTGAAAACTATCGTCCTGTTAGTATTCTAAGTATTGTATCTAAAATTCTAGAACGTGCTGTATATAGCCAGTTAGAGACATTCCTAGTCAGAAATAACTTACTGTATGAATTCCAGTCAGGATTCAGAAGCAAATACTCAACAGATACGTGTTTAATACATATGATTGATCATATTAAGTCTCAGAATGCTAAAGGTATTTTTACAGGTATTTTTTTACTTGATTTGCAGAAAGCATTTGATACGGTAGACCATAAAATCTCATGTGACAAACTCTCTGTTACTGGTTTCAGTCTTATCTCACTGGAAGGAAACAAATTGTGAATGTAAACGGAACAGTTTCAGAGTCTTGTAACATAGGTTGCGGTGTACCCCAAGGCAGTTTGCTAGGACCTTTACTATTTCTGATATTTTAATCCAAGCCGACGACTCTGCAATATTATTCTATCACAGAGACCCAGCAGTTACTTCTCAAACTTTGTCTTTGGTGTTGAAGTCCTGTCAAGATTGGTTAGTAGATAACAAACTTTCATTGCATTTAGGTAAAACAGAAAGCATTCTATTTGGTCCAAGAAGGAAATTAGATCCAGTGGCAAAAAATTCGGATTTTAAAATTGTGTGTAATAATCATGTAATTGAAGTCAAAAGATATGTGAAATATCTTGGCATAGAGATCAACGATTCATTATCGGGTGAAGAAATTGTAGATTCAATTGTCAAAAAGGTCCACCAACGTCTCAAATTTTTGTATAGAAATGGACAGTGTTTATCTTTTAGGTCAAGAAAAACTCTATGTTCTTCTTTGATTTTGATGTCACTTTGTCTACGCATGTACTAGTTGGTACGAAGGTTTATCGAAAAAACTTAAAAAGAATTTACAAGTAGCACAAAACAAAGTAATTAGATTTATTTTGAATGTTCACAATAGGTACAGTCTGACACAATGATTTTCTTCGGGTAAACATGCTTGATGTTGTTTCAAGAGTAAGTCAGCTCAGAGTGAATCATATGTTTAATATTTTCCATGAAAAAGCTCCGAATTATATGTATGCATCTTTTGAAAAAAATCCGTGTCTGCAAAATACTCGTTCATCAACATATAATTTTACTCTGCCAATGATTCATGCAGCTGAATATACATCCTTTTGTTTTGTCGGAGCTAAAGAATGGAATCTACTTCCAGAAAATACAAAAACAATACCCAAAAAAGTTAGATTCAAATCTCAAGTAAAACGTCACTTTCAAGACAAAATGAAAGATAAACATAACAGTGATTATGTTTACTATTGAGACATATAATGGGTTTTTTATCTACATTTCGAAGGACCCCAACGGAAATAAGCGTATATTGTTACGCTTTTTGGGCTATCCTTGGATAGATTTGTTTAATATATATATCAGCTGTCTTTATTGTGATTTTATGTTCCGGTGTTGCATGTTTTATTTATGTCAATTTTTCACCTTATGTACTCTGTAACATGTATTTTATTTATCATGCTTTGTATACATTTGTGCAAATCTTTCCTGAATAAATTTATTATTATTATTATTATTATTATTATAACCCTTCCAAGTGGAATAGTCCAAACTGAGGGGGAATTCAACACCTACGTCTTAGGTTCATTATATTTCACTGACTCACGAATTTCATTTGTCATACGTTCATTTTGTTATCCCCTGCGAAACGCGTTTGCAGGGGATATTAATTTGGGCTCCGTCCGTACTTCTGTCCACCCGCTCGCCGAGGGCATTAAACTTCACAATTTATTTTATTATAGATTATTGCCCTAGTTGTGCCTTTTGTTATTGACAACATTTCATTTTTCCTCTTACCATTGAAACATAGTAAAAAAAACCCACAAAATTAATGTTTCCGGGCTACAACTTCGAAATCATTCCACTCAACTACACAAAACTTCCTATATTAGGTTAGTACCTAGTTCATTGTTTCCTGTAACCATGAAAACAGATAACCCTCATTACAAATTTCAGTTTCAGTCTGGACCAGTGCTCTGAACCCTTTCAAGATAATTGCTCAAAACTTTTTACACTCATTAAGCTAATAGTATCATTTGCTATGGGGATGTTCTCCATTTAAATACTTTTATCTGTTACCACGGAAACAGATACGTCAAATCACAAAGTTCAGCTTTTCCAGGCCAGTTCTCTTAAACCGTTCAAGGTAATTACCCGGTACTCAAAACTTTGTACAGACATGAAGCTAGTACTCTAGTAGAAATTCTTAATTCCAAAACTTTGTATGGAAAATGATAATAATAGAAATTAACCTCGTTGTAATATTATTTATATATGATTGTGTGTCTTTCTTTTAAACAGAGCTGTGCTGGGATTATTTCACGTTTTGCGTTTTATTATTTGTTATTTGTATCGCCCTGAAACAATAAAGACCATTTTGAGGCGGAGACTCCAGGTAGTAGACAATGGTCTACCTGTACTGATTAACATACCACCGGAGGCTCGTCGCATACAATCCAAATCAATTCAAGTGTCTTTCCCAAGTACACAATCAATCCATCCTCGAAACTCAAGGGGTTACAATCACTTTCTGCGTGAGAGAAAGTTATCGTAACCCCTGGGGTATCAGCACCGATTGCTTTGTTTCTCAGTTTTCAGAGAAACACAAAAGGCAACAATAGTACATCTCGATACGTAAGAGGTTACGATCACTTTAGATCTCTGCACCCCTGGCACATGTCACGGCAAAATTGAAGGTTCCATGTGGGACACCATACGGACAAGACGATGAGACTCATTTGATCCTTTGATATACATCAAACGAATTCCGTGGTCGTATAACGGTATATTGTAATGGATTTGAAACTGAGTGTCGTTCCTTCGTAATCTTCAAAATAAGTCTGTAAATAAGGTTTTTTTTCTCTCTCCTGGAATCAATGGTATTATTTAACTTGTGCCTTCAATTTTGCTATGACAGAGGTGCAAGGAGAGAAAGTGATCGTAACCCTGAATTATCGAGGATGTAGTGATCGTAACCCTGAATTATCGAGGATGTAGTGATCGTAACCCTGGAATATCGAGGATGTAGTGATCGTAACCCTGAATTATCGAGGATGTAGAGATCGTAACCCTGAATTATCGAGGATGTAGTGATCGTAACCCTGAATTATCGAGGATGTAGTGATCGTAACCCTGAATTATCGAGGATGTAGTGATCGTAACCCTGGAATATCGAGGATGTAGTGATCGTAACCCTGAATTATCGAGGATGTAGTGATCGTAACCCTGGAATATCGAGGATGTAGTGATCGTAACCCTGAATTATCGAGGATGTAGTGATCGTAACCCTGAATTATCGAGGATGTAGTGATCGTAACCCTGGAATATCGAGGATGTAGTGATCGTAACCCTGAATTATCGAGGATGTAGTGATCGTAACCCTGAATTATCGAGGATGTAGTGATCGTAACCCTGGAATATCGAGGATGAAGTGATCGTAACCCTGAATTATCGAGGATGTAGTGATCGTAACCCCTGGACTATCGAGGATGTAGTGATCGTAACCCTGAATTATCGAGGATGTAGTGATCGTAACCCTGGAATATCGAGGATGAAGTGGTCGTAACCCCTGGACTATCGAGGATGTAGTGGTCGTAACCCCTGGAGTATCGAGGATGTAGTGGTCGTAACCCATGGAATATCGAGGGTGAAGTGATCGTAACCCTGGAATATCGAGGATGTAGTGATCGTAACCCTGAATTATCGAGGATGAAGTGGTCGTAACCCTGGAATATCGAGGGTGAAGTGAACGTAACCCTGGATAATCACAGATGGCCGCCTGTCAGGATCTTTTGTCTTTCTTATTAATGTAGGATCCACATTACATGGTTTTCTTTATATTACACATCTTTTTATCCACTTTTTACCGCGACTTAAATACGTACGGCAGGCTGAATCGTGTGCAAACATATTCAAATTTGTACAATTAAAGAGAAATAACTCGTGAACATAGACAACTCAAATAATTGTACCGACTGCACAAATCTATATACAACAAAAACAACCGTTTGTTTTATTTAATCATAGCCAAAGACAAAAAAAAGGCATGACCTGTTAAACAACGAAATCACTTCGTATACACTCTGTATTATACGCCCCTGGATTATGTTAGTCAGACAGGGGCGTGTGAACTGATGTCACGACGTTTACTCAGACAGGGGCGTGTGAACTGATGTCACGACGTTTACTCAGACAGGGGCGTGTGAACTGATGTCACGACGTTTATTCAGACAGGGGCGTGTGAACTGATGTCACGACGTTTACTTAGACAGGGGCGTGTGAACTGATGTCACGACGTTTACTCAGACAGGGGCGTGTGAACTGATGTCAAGATGGTAACTCAATTTGGGGCATGTGAAAAAAATGTCACGACGGTAACTCAAGTGGAGGCATGTGAAAAAATGTCACGACGTTTGCTCGAGCGGGGGCATGTAAAAAGGTGTCACGACGTTAACTTGAGTGGAGGTGTGTAAAAATGGCACATTTATCGAGTGGGGGGCGTATAAAAAGATGTCACAATGTTTACTCCAGTGGGGCATGACATATGATGTCAAGACGTTTACTCTAGTGGAAGCACGTGAAGAAATTTCACGATGTTTACTCGAGTGAGGGCGTGTGAAATGACGTCATGACGGTTACTCGAGTTGGGGCGTGTGAAATGACGTCATGATGTTTACTCGAGTGGGGTCGTGTGAAAAATGTCGCAACGTTATACTCCAGTGGGTCATGTGAAATGACGTCACGATGTTTACTCAGAAATGGGCGTGTAAAATGATGTCATGACGTCAACTCAAGTGGGAGTTTGTGAAAATATGTCACGACATTTACTCGAGTGGATGCATGTGAAGTGATGCTACGACGCTTACTCAAGTTGGGCGTGTAAAATAATGCCACGGCGTTTACTTACATGGAGGCGCGTGAAATAATGTCACGACATTTACTCGAGTGGACGCATGTGAAATGATGTGAAGAGGAGCGGACTTAAGTTTGTCAGTCTGAACAGATACAGATGTCATTCATCACCTACCGTGTATTAATTGTATTGATTAATATCTGATTTTGGTGAGATTATGAGTTTGGTGATTGAAAATGATGAATCTCATTTCATAACAAAAATAATTCTATTCAGTTTAAGTGACGTTTAATAAAAATTGCACCAATAAATCGGGGGGGGGGGGGGGGTACTAAGTTTATTAATCATATTTATCTACTAGCGCGGACTAGTGTTTAAAGATGAGTTTTTTTCATATTTCGGACGGAAAGATCCACCATTATTTCCCTGTTTGTGTACATTCTCACATAAACTTTAAGCACAGTCAGCAGAAAAAGGTTGTGGTCAGATAAACAAAAGTTTTAATTGAAATGATAATATTATACGTCCCTGACAGTAAAATAGGGTGGTACTTCAGCTGTAAATGGCTTAATAATATATCTTATTTCGTTGATACTAAAAGTTTTATCACAAAAGTTTAAGCAATCAATTTGAAAACTAGCATTTTGAAAAAAAATATGTATTTTGTTCAAAAAGGAAGAAGGGGGTATTAACACAGTAAGGCTAGTTAACATGAAATTCTACGCTATAGCTTTTCAAAGAGATGTAGACAGTACTTCACATCATTTGTCCCTGTTGCAAAATAAAAGGGGCGTTCCCCATTGGATGGAACAGCTGATTCTACTTCCTGTAGATCTGTTTGAGCTTGCCGAGAGGCTAATGTATAAATAGTTACCAATCAACACATTCGTTGTGTCGTTTGTTGGTCGAGCTTCAACACTAAGTCTAGCAATATGTCAGCTCGCGGTGCGAAAAAGAAGAAGGCGACGTCAAAGTCGGCCAAAGCTGGTGTTTTATTCCCGGTGGCGAGAATGAGGAGATACCTGAAAAACATGACACACCACTATCGTATCGGGTCGGGGGCACCTGTTTACATGGCGGCTGTGATAGAATATCTGACCGGTACTTAACATCCACCATTATTTCCCTGTTTGTGTACATTCTCACATAAGCTTTAAGCACAGTCAGCAGAAAAAGGTTGTGGTCAAATAAACAAAAGTGTTGATTTAAATGATAGTATGAGACCAATGACAAATAATTCAGGTTCTTAAAAAATTACTTTCAGTGTATAATATTGATTTACATAAAATGATTACCAAAACGAATTCAAAATGTCAGCACGACCTAGCATTTGACAAGGAAAATGTAGCAGTGTTGCACAATATTTTTGCTGCTGAAGCTTGTGTGTAACTGACAACTGTATGGAGAATGTTATTCTGTTGGTGTTGGGACTAGGGGAAACCCAGGCAGCAACAACATAAAACTAGCAGCTATCCCTATCTCTAATACTTAGTAGATGCCAGATTAGGTAATTATTCTTGATATTGTCGGTTTAAGACCTGATACAATTTATGAATATACATTGAAACCGACAATTGATTGTGACATTAGTCGGCAGTATTTTATTTTGAAAGTGAAAATTTGCATATGAATGAGAACTCTAGTTTTTGTTAATTACAACAAATTTGCAGTTTGATGTGTAATTTTATCAGTATTATTGAATCAAGGTATATTAATCAGTAGGGGATTTAAAGAAGATATTTACCAAATACTTTCTTTACTTGTAAAATATTAGATTTTGCACCTGGTACTGATTTTGAAATGTATGGTAAATAAAGTTACTTAGAAGAGAAATGGCAGATAGCATTATTTATTTAAATCCCAACATGTCACATGAGATGTTTTTAAAATAAAGAAACCTTAAATTTTCAGCGGAGATATTAGAGCTTGCTGGTAATGCAGCACGAGACAACAAGAAGAGCAGAGTCACACCTAGACATATTTTATTGGCAGTGGCCAATGACGAAGAACTCAATCAGGTTTGTAAACACCAAATACCCTTTACATTTTTATTGTATTTGTTTGAAATCAATATATAAATCTCAAGTTCTCTGTGATGCCAGTTCTTACAATTTACTTGTGGTACTGTCCAGAAATACTATGAGTAAGTAAGGGAATAATTCTCGGGCAGAAAGATACTGTTTGGTCAAGGTGTTTTAAGAAATAAAGATTAGAAACAATATATATTTGCTGCTATGCATGTTACATACTGCAAAAAAAAAAAAAAAAAAGAAAAGAAAATGTTTGTGGGGTTTTATTTCTATTGATTTCATGGTCCATGAGATGATAAACGCTAAGAGTACATATAGTCTTAGTACCAGTGGATTTCATGAGTACTCTCTATCTATGAAATCAGATGTCTACAACAAGATATTTTTGTGATTAACCACAAAATTATCATTGCTATTAGGTGTTTAGAAAAATTAAAATTAGAAACACCATACTATTGCCGATGTTCAATGATAGAGATATACATGCTTGTTTTGTTTTCTTTCAGCTACTAAAGCATGTGACCATTGCCAATGGTGGTGTACTTCCTCGAATACTCCCAGAACTTCTCATGAGGAAAAAAGGCTCTAAATTTCAGATGCAGTCGGAGCCACCCAAACTTTCTGTACAAACCAATTCTAATAAAGTTACCAGTAGTACATCAAAACAGAATGATGTTCCAAGTTCAACGAAAAAAGCCAAGGTCAAGGTCACACCCAAGGTTGTAAGAGCTCCTCTTAAACCAGTAACAAAAACAGGAAAGACAGGAAAAATAGCTAAAGTCAAACCATTGAAGGTTAGTCCAGACGCAGAAATAATTCTCTTGTTTTTGTCTCCTAATGAAGATATTATGGTGGTGTTTTGATCTTGTTAAGGGGTGAACTATTGCCAATCAAGTTGAGGGCACTGTTTATCATCAGAAAACTCTATTGGTCCATAAATATTTCAACAAAAGGTGATACCGGTAAATAGATTTACGTCATTTCATGACTTTATTAATAGAGATATACAATTTACAAAAGTGATGGTGCCCACACTTACTGGCTGGTAATGCCTGTTAAGTTACATTATATAATTGGTCCTATCAGTACCAGCAGATTTTTAATAAGATATGTATATTGTACCATCAATAAGCACAAATGATTCATAAGATTTATTTGTTGTCATTTTATTTGTAAATTTAAATTTATATCAAATAAGTTTGCAAAAGTATTTGAATAAGATGTACATGTGATAATTTGGTGTTGGACATGTTTTTAATTCAGAAATAAATCTTAGTATAATAAACTTATGTTTATAGTGTTTTAGATGCATAGATATAGTGCATGATATTTGATTAGAACTAGAACTGCTTCAGACCTTTTAGCAGTAGCCCAATGGATTAGGTTTTATTTGTGTGTTGAAAAATGTAGCTAGTAGACTCTGTGTAAGGTATCATCTGTGTGATTTTTATATCTTTGTGTAAGGTAACACCTGTGTGAATTCTATATCTCTGTGTAAGGTATCACCTGTGTGATTTTTATATCTTTGTGTAAGGTAACACCTGTGTGAATTCTATATCTCTGTGTAAGGTATCACCTGTGTGAATTCTATATCTCTGTGTAAGGTATCACCTGTGTGATTTCTATATCTTTGTGTAAGGTATCAACTGTGTGAATTCTATATCTCTGTGTACGGTATCACCTGTGTGATTTCTATATCTTTGTGTAAGGTAACACCTGTGTGAATTCTATATCTCTGTGTAAGGTATCACCTGTGTGATTTTTATATCTTTGTGTAAGGTAACACCTGTGTGAATTCTATATCTCTGTGTAAGGTATCACCTGTGTGAATTCTATATCTCTGTGTAAGGTATCACCTGTGTGATTTCTATATCTTTGTGTAAGGTATCAACTGTGTGAATTCTATATCTCTGTGTACGGTATCACCTGTGTGATTTCTATATCTCTGTGTAAGGTAACACCTGTGTGAATTCTATATCCCTGTGTAAGGTATCACCTGTGTGATTTTTATATCTTTGTGTAAGGTAACACCTTTGTGAATTCTATATCTCTGTGTAAGGTATCACCTGTGTGAATTCTATATCTCTGTGTAAGGTATCACCTGTGTGATTTTTATATCTTTGTGTAAGGTAACACCTGTGTGAATTCTATATCTCTGTGTAAGGTATCACCTGTGTGAATTCTATATCTCTGTGTAAGGTATCACCTGTGTGATTTCTATATCTTTGTGTAAGGTATCACCTGTGTGAATTCTATATCTCTGTGTAAGGTATCACCTGTGTGATTTCTATATCTCTGTGTAAGGTAACACCTGTGTGAATTCTATATCCCTGTGTAAGGTATCACCTGTGTGATTTTTATATCTTTGTGTAAGGTAACACCTTTGTGAATTCTATATCTCTGTGTAAGGTATCACCTGTGTGAATTCTATATCTCTGTGTAAGGTATCACCTGTGTGATTTCTATATCTTTGTGTAAGGTAACACCTGTGTGAATTCTATATCTCTGTGTAAGGTATCGCCTGTGTGATTTCTATATCTTTGTGTAAGGTAACACCTGTGTGAATTCTATATCTCTGTGTAAGGTATCACCTGTGTGAATTCTATATCTCTGTGTAAGGTATCACCTGTGTGATTTTTATATCTTTGTGTAAGGTAACACCTGTGTGAATTCTATATCTCTGTGTAAGGTATCACCTGTGTGAATTCTATATCTCTGTGTAAGGTATCACCTGTGTGAATTCTATATCTTTGTGTAAGGTAACACCTGTGTGAATTCTATATCTCTGTGTAAGGTATCACCTGTGAGTGATTTCTATATCTCTGTGTAAGGTATCACCTGTGTGAATTCTATATCTCTGTGTAAGGTATCACCTGTGTGATTTTTATATCTCTGTGTAAGGTATCACCTGTGAGATTTCTATATCTCTGTGTAAGGTATCACCTGTGTGATTTTTATATCTCTGTGTAAGGTATCACCTGTGTGATTTCTATATCTCTGTGTAAGGTATCACCGGTGTGATTTCTATATCTCTGTGTCAGGTATCACCTGTGAATTCTGTATCTCTGTGTAAGGTATCACCTGTGAGTGATTTCTATATCTCTGTGTAAGGTATCACCTATGTGATTTCTATATCCTTGTAAGGTATCACCTGTGTGAATTCTATATCTCTGTGTAAGGTATCACCTGTGAGTGATTTCTATATCTCCGTGTAAGGTATCAACTGTGATTTCTATATCTCTGTGTAAGGTATCACCTGTGTGAATTCTATATCTCTGTGTAAGGTATCACCTGTGTGAATTCTATATCTCTGTGTAAGGTATCACCTGTGTGAATTCTATATCTTTGTGTAAGGTAACACCTGTGTGAATTCTATATCTCTGTGTAAGGTATCACCTGTGTGATTTCTATATCTCTGTGTAAGGAAACACCTGTGATTTCTATATCTCTGTAAGGTATCACCTGTGTGATTTCTATATCTCTGTGTAAGGTAACACCTGTGATTTCTATATCTTTGTGTGAGGTAACACCTGTGTGATTTCTGTATCTCTGTGTAAGGTAACACCTGTGTGATTTCTATATCTGTGTAAGGTATCACCTGTGTGATTTCTATATCTCTGTGTAAGGTAACACCTGTGATTTCTATATCTCTGTGTAAGGTATCACCTGTGTGATTTTTATATCTGTGTAAGGTATCACCTGTGTGATTTCTATATCTCTGTGTAAGGTAACACCTGTGATTTCTATATCTCTGTGTAAGGTATCACCTGTGATTTCTATATCTCTGTAAGGTATCACCTGTGATTTCTATATTTCTGTGTAAGGTAACACCTGTGATTTCTATATCTTTGTGTGAGGTAACACCTGTGTGATTTCTATATCTCTGTGTAAGGTAACACCTGTGTGATTTCTATATCTCTGTAAGGTATCACCTGTGTGATTTCTATATCTCTGTGTAAGGTAACACCTGTGATTTCTATATCTCTGTGTAAGGTATCACCTGTGTGATTTTTATATCTCTGTGTAAGGTATCACCTGTGTGATTTCTATATCTCTGTGTAAGGTATCACCTGTGTGATTTTTATATCTCTGTGTAAGGTATCACCTGTGTGATTTCTATATATCTGTAAGGTATCACCTGTGTGATTTCTATATCTCTGTGTAAGGTATCACCTGTGATTTCTATATTTCTGTGTAAGGTATCACCTGTGATTTCTATATCTCTGTGTAAGGTATCACCTGTGTGATTTCTATATCTCTGTGTAAGGTATCACCTGTGTGATTTCTATATCTCTGTGTAAGGTATCACCTGTGTGAATTCTATATCTCTGTGTAAGGTATCACCTGTGAATGATTTCTATATCTCTGTGTAAGGTATCACCTTTGTGAATTCTATATCTCTGTGTGTGTAAGGTATCACCTGTGAATGATTTCTATATCTCTGTGTAAGGTATCACCTGTGTGGTTTCTATATCTCTGTGTAAGGTATCACCTGTGTGATTTCTATATCTCTGTAAGGTAACACCTGTGTGATTTCTATATCTCTGTGTAAGGTATCACCTGTGTGATTTCTATATCTCTGTGTAAGGTATCACCTGTGATTTCTACATCTCTGTGTATGGTATCACCTGTGATTTCTATATTTCTGTGTAAGGTATCACCTGTGTGAATTCTATATCTCTGTAAGGTATCACCTGTGATTTCTATATTTCTGTGTCAGGTATCACCTGTGATTTCTATATTTCTGTGTAAGGTATCACCTGTGTGATTTCTATATCTCAGTGTAAGGTATCACCTGTGTGAATTCTATATCTCTGTGTAAGGTATCACCTGTGTGAATTCTATATCTCTGTGTAAGGTATCACCTGTGTGAATTCTATATCTCTGTAAGGTATCACCTGTGATTTCTATATCTCTGTGTAAGGTATCACCTGTGTGATTTCTATATCTCTGTGTAAGGTATCACCTGTGTGATTTCTATATCTCTGTGTAAGGTATCACCTGTGTGATTTCTATATCTCTGTGTAAGGTATCACCTGTGTGATTTCTATATCTCTGTGTAAGGTATCACCTGTGATTTCTATATCTCTTTATAGGGTATCACCTGTGTGAATTCTACATCTCTTTTTAGGGTATCACTGGATCTGCTGAAGCTGTGGCTGCTACAGCTGCTGGGAGCTTCACCATCCTGTCAGAGAAAAAGCTGTTCCTGGGACAGAAGGTTGGCCGACTATTTTTAGAAATCTTGTTACTGCTTTAAAATAAGAAATTACTGGTTAATACTTAATTTTATGATGAACATAAAGTAAAAAAGACTACATGAAATATTTGGTAAGTTTGTCACTCAGCTTAAGCAGATATTTATATTTCATCTATACAATGTTTTACTAATCAACATTTGATATCCAAATAATTTTTAAAAAATGCAAAATCAGAATGGGCTTATTATTTTTATGTATAGCAATGGATCATAGAAGCTCAGTCTTCATTTAAATTTCCACAATATTTCAGATGACAGTAATACAAGGGGACCTGGTGAAAATCTTGTCTGATGCCATTGTACACCCAACCAGTTCTGCTTTCTACATGGGGGGTGAAGTAGGTAAGTTAAAATACATAAGGCCACCATGGAAACCAAAATCACAGTTGCGTGACTGTCGGTAGCTTTAAAGTGAAACTAATAACTTTATTGATGTCTGACATGAAATAATTTAGGTTACATATTTAATTTATTGAACACCTGAAATGGATGTTGAAATTTAATCCTGTGTAATAGAAGTGGGTTGGTGTGGCTTGTATAAAGTGTTAAATACGGTCTCTGTCACTCAGCTGACGAAGCATGCTTCTTTGGCTCGGTTGGTAGAGCCAGTTGGTTATCACGCCAGAGATTTGGGTTTGATTCCTGGTCAGTACACTCTGCAGGAATGTGTATTTTCCCTGTTCTTTCACACATGCAACTATATGATATCTTCATGAAATTTTTCATGCTAACTGACTTAAGATGTTGGAAAATGATGCTTTAATGTCCAATCATCCATCTTAATAAGCCAAATGATAGACAAATAGATTGATCTTCATTCTAATGGTCATTTGATCTGGTATGTAGATCTTGAATGATCCCAGCTATGAATCACATATAGATATAGTCTTGTTATGATAACTGTTACAACATATTTGCCAAACTTTCAGGGTCTGCAATTGAGAAAGCTGGTGGTAAGGAGTTCCGCAAGGAAGTTGATGAGCTATATAAATCCAATGGTGCTTTGGATACAGCAGGAGGTATGTCATAGTACTCATCTGTCACTTCAGTAAGTCAACATTACTCAAGTACAAGACTGGAAGGAGCAGAAATTTTTATCTAATGAACTTATTAGATGGGGTCATTATTCTCAAATCTTCATTATCATATGCTAACAGATAAATTCATCTTCATACGGGAAATTTAGTGTTGTTCTGTTTCATTAATCTGATAGTTTTAACTCACTGTTGTTTAGAAAACTGTGTGGAATGAATAAAATATTTGAAAATATTTGTCCCCCTGTAAATTTTAAAGAACAATATTTATATGAGTTGGTAACACCAAATTTTCAGCTGCCATTTGTCCTGGTCATAATTTTCCTGCAAAATATGTGATCCACGTGAATGGTCCATCGTGGGGTACTACCAATTCACAACAACTCTTGGAAAAGGCTGTCAAGAATGTATTAACACTGGCGGATGAGAAAAATTTAAAGTCCATAGCTATACCCTCAATAGGTAGTGGAAAGTAAGTCATATATATTGCATTGTTTTATTACATTGTGTTTTGTTACACTGAGGTAATGTGGTGATCTTCAGATAGTTACCAGGCATATAGTCAAGTACTTTCGCTGTGTATGCAAGCAGGTATAAATTAGAGGTTCAAGGATTTTAGTCCTGCACTCAGGATTAAAATATACGAAAGAAATAAGGATATTTTGGCAAATAATTTGATACTTTTTGATGATGTATATGAAGCTGCATATTTATTTAAAGGCAGCAACAGGCCTGGTCACAGTTATAATTCAAACAATTACACACAATTACAAAACAGAAGTTTTATGAATTTTAGGATTGACACACAATTTTGTCTTGAAATAAAAGAGAAGTTTGATTTTGGTATAAGATGTATTGAAAATATGACACAAAAAGTTGTCCTTCAGAAACAGATTGAGATTATATTTTAAGAATACTTCAACGGATGTAATCTTAACATATGTATGTACAAGGGTTTTCCTCCAGCTTCTGAAGTATAACAAGAAGTGTCACTGTTACCTCAGTGTTAAAGCTACATAGCTACACTTGCCTACAGAAAAGAAATCCAACCTCTACCCTGACAATCTATTTGTTGTCACTATAGGTGTTTTGCATGCAATCTTTACATTGCAAATTCTGGGAATGTTACAAGCTTGTAATCAAATATTGCTATGCTTACTTTTAGCTCCTTGTTCTCCTGTCTCCCTCTGTACATCCTTTCATGTCTGTATCTGTTCCTGTGAATGTGTTGAAGGTTGGTTGACCTCTTACTCAGTGACTGTTTTGTAATATAAGAGAATGTATGCAAGGGTCAAGCCTTGGATTTACCTCTGAACAAGTGTGGCTATGTATCATTAGGCTTTACAAAGCATCAAGACAGGAAACTGACCAGAGGTCAGTTGTTCATAGCACTTCTAACAGGAATGCTACTAACTGCTTATTGGTGGTGTTACTTTATCTCGCTATAGCTGCCATATGTCCAGGACATAACTTTCCAGCAAAGTTTGTTATCCACTGCAATGGACCTCAGTGGAGTTCCAGTAACCCACAACAGTTGTTAGAGAAAACAGTCAAGAATTGTCTAACCTTGGCAGATGAAAAGAACCTTAAAAGTATTGCATTCCCCTCAATTGGAAGTGGACGGTAAGACTGCCAGTTAAAAGTTGCAAATATAGAATTCTTATGTGTAGCTAATGTAATAGAATATTCATATTTTAGTCTAGCTCTGTAAATACCACTTGTGTGAAGGGGTGGGAAGTTGTCTCCCTTGCCATGATGTGAAAGGCTCTGACTTACAGTGGTAATTTATCATATATATTTTGATGTATTTCATAGTACCTGTAATGGTTTTGTTTGATTTGTTTCCTATAGGAAGTGATAACTTAATGGTAATGAAGCCTGAATTTAAATTGAATGAACTTAACATAACTGTATCTATTTTGACTTAAATGAGTCACTTTATGCTTAAACTCACTGATTACTTTATGATGACATATAAAATCTCTGTATGCCTTTAGACCAATGAAAAAATTCAAATTACAATTGTGAAAATAGTGCCAAAGTAAAATGACAGGATTAAAGTTATTCAATAACACTCACATATATATTATACGTATGCATGACTGCAATGTTTACTGGTGTTCAAATGCATGGTGTATGTTGTCAGTTGTTAAGTGTTCATAAAAGATGTGCTGATTACACTCGGAATAAATCTTGATGAATGATGTTGTATGTCAAACCTCACCACTGACTTACATCCATAATAATGAGCTACCCAGGACAGGTTGATGATTCTGACGGAGTGGCAACGGACCACCCAGCAGAAATGTCATAACTTGCCCAACAATTGACCACTTTTATTGAGAAAGCAATTGCTAGAAATATTAAACTTTTAGGTCACCTGAAACTTTGTCTCATTGTGACCTATGGCTATCCCCATTTTATCCAGCATTGTGTGTTGTCATAGTGTGTCCTTTTTACATTTTTACTTCTTCTCAAAACTTCAACAACTAATTTCTGTGAGATTTTACAGAAACCCTCCATAGATAAAGGCAAACCAAAATTGGAAATCAGATGGTCAATTTTTGAGGACCCAAAATTTGGAAATGGTGCTCTGTACTCACCTACAAAAATTCCTACAAAAATTACTGAATCTTCAAGGCTTAGAGTCATGTTCTTGTGGGTTCGATTTCACTTTTTACAATGAAACTAAAAAGTTTGACCCCAATGAAATCAAATATGTTTGTAGTGCTTGACATATACATTGTGTTTTTGCTTTTTAGTGCGGGATTCCCCAAACAAACGGCAGCACAGATTATCCTAAAGGCCATCAGTAACTACTTTGTCACCGTCATGAGCAGCTCTCTAAAGCAAGTATACTTTGTACTGTACGACATGGAGAGTATCGGCGTGTACACAAGTGAACTGGCTAAGTTAGACTCCTAGATATAGCTAGAATGGAATTATCAAAATCAACAGGAAGCAAACTTATTTTCCATTCTTTAACTTTTAAGTAGCTGTTCTAAAGCTAAAGCGTATTGTTAGTTTGAAGTAAGCTGATGGCAAAGATATCAGTTTCCTTTATAATATCCAATATTAAAAAAAACCTGTTAACATTCTAATGTATCATATTTTCATAAGTCTTGGTATTTGGCATATTAGCAATTGTAAACACTTACATACAACACATGTTTCTAACCAAAACGAAGGAAATTATTTTTGTTTTAAAGTGAAACATCAAATAGGAGTTTATTAGGTAAAATATTAAATGAAACATGGGGGTCAGAATCCTGTTTTAAAGTTTGCAATATCACTTGAGTACATGACTCCTGGTGGTTGTTAATGAATGTTTGATTGGGGCCATAGAATAAACATTCGAAATATCAAAACATGTTTCTTATCAGTTCAGCAAGAAATTTATAATAGGTACTTGTATCATGATTTTTTGTCCTTTTTTCCTTTTCTTTTTTATTAGAATTTAGTTAGAAATCAGATTATTTTATATCATTTAATTACATTAACATCCTGTTATTCAGTGAACTTGCCCATGTAATGTTTTTGCATGCGTGCCAGTAATGATATCTACCCTGGAGCATCTTTCATTTGCTGCACCAGTCAGAAATCAATTGGGAGTGTCCTCTACATTATTGCTTTAAGATTTGTCAAAATGTTACTTTTCCAAGTTATGTGATAAAAAGTATCAAATTTGTATTTGTAGTTCATGAGGTTTTCTGAATTTCATCTTGGAAGTTTTAATTTTTGTTTGTCAAGTCTTTTAAAAATAAAAAATAAAAGACTTGTTCTAAAAATGTGAAATGAATACTCATTTTTGATCCTGTGTACTACGATCAGTAAACTATATTCACTTTTTGTATTTCACAATATAAAAACTTAATGTGGAAGATTTGTATTGCTACAGTCATGGACATTTCAGTAATTTCTTTTATTTATTTTCAAAACTACATAAGAGTTTCTAGGAAGGTTTTGTAACATTTTTATCAAATATATTTTTAAACCACCAATTCATTTTAAAACAGTTGTTGCTCCTTCTTTTTCTCTTTTTGTGCCATTGCATTACACTTATCCTAGAGTTTTAAATTAAGTTTCCTGGAGTTTTAAATCAAGTCTCATTGTTGGTGACTTTTTATGTTATCAAAACTGATATAACACAATTATCAATACATTGTAGTGTTATTTGTATCCAACATGTAGAGATGACTGTTAAACTATTGTGTGTGTTTGTGTGTCTAAATTATAATAAACAACTATGAGATAGTTATTTATCTAAACAACAAGGGACCCTTGTTGATAGTATATGGTTAACCGTCAGTCTTTATTTAATAGATTATTTTTTTAAAATTCAAAATACTGCAAGAATCTATAAAGGATAAGAAAAAGTATCTTTGGATGAGTGTTAAAGGGTTACTGAATTCCAGTTATGAACTGAATTCATTGTATAAAAATACAATTGCATATCTGTTGCCATTTAATGGGCAATACTCCAGCCTTTGGATTTAAAATCTTAACCCACTAGTTACAGTACATTTATACTATTTGTTAATGTAGTCTCCCCGTCCCTCCCTCCAGATATATTGTGCTTTTATTTTGTGATGATGACTGCACATTTCATTAGTGATGAAGTCTGGTTAGACTGCAATTTTTAAGCTTTCAATTAACTGTGATTTAGCTATAAAATAGATTGTTTTCCTTTATATTATTGTTTGAGTAATATATTAACATTGTTACATCATAATATAAGAGCAAATTTCTAGTATTTTGTTTTGTAGTTTATAGCGTTTAAAGTCTTTCTAAATAGGTTATTTGTTTATACATGTGATAGATTATGATTGAAATCATAAATCTTTGCCCGGTATATTAGTCTTAATTTATTGACTAAAACAGTCAGGTCAACTTGTTGTTTACTTATTTATCCTGAGCAAAATTTCAAAGGTTTGATTTAAGTCATCTAATAATGAGTTTTAAAAATTAAATGTGGCAGTTATATGAAGCGTTGATGTTTACGATAATAAATACATGTATTAGAAATGAGCGATATTTCAACAGCTTTTTCCTAGAGAGTGAAGAGCAGATACGTTTACCCATGAATATATATACCTTAGATGTGACAGAAAATTTGCCCCCAGATGTTGATTGCATTAGTAAAGCTACTTACAGTCCAATTTGAAGCTAGCAATAAATTATTTTCCTTTTTGGTGACAAGTTGATTAAGTAGAATATATTATCCTTGCACCATGACCTTATGAATGTGCATTTGTACCTTCATTTAAATTAGCTGTATCATTAGCATGAGTTAAACATTGCTTCATAATTAAGCTGTTGTTACATGATGTTTTACACTTGAGATTCAGATATCATTGATCCCGATGATGCAATCGTACATTTAACATCGCTTGTGTATAAGTAATCCATCACATATAAAAGTTGTTGTTTAGTATCAGGCAATCATTTGGTTACAATAAGTATTTCAAGCCTACAATATATACCTCTAAAATGGATGTAAATAGAGGTCAACTATGAACAAAGTCATTTTCATGCCACATGTGCTTTTATCAAACTTGTCAAATATCTGGATGAAGAGAGACTAAAAGAATTTTGGTGACTGAACTATCATGTATTTCATTTCATTTCAAACATTGGTCTTTATAATCTAGACCATTCTTGTTTTTAGTTAAAATCAACTTTTTAGAAGTGCTTCATTTGTTTTACAATGTTTTGGATAACAGTATACTGTTTTTCTGTTTTAATATATTATATATATATTTCGTATATATATATATATTTAATATCTATTAGAATACACTTTATTTCAGACTGTTAATTAATAAGCATCTTAGAGGTGGATATATATCCACCTATAACATGCATATCTATCTATATATATATATACACAAACTTCTCAAGTGATATGGTCTTGTCATTGTCTGTCAGTTAAGTCATCTTTTAAATACTTGTAGTGTTTTCTAGTATTTTGAGCACTTAACATGCTTATACTTCTATAGAGAGTAAATTAATCTGTTTCAATCAGGTATTTATTTCCTAAAAATTTGAATGATTGAGATTTTAACTAATAACATTATCTAATGAAATAAGAAATTCTGTTGTTGGTATAACATCCCAGTAAATCAGGCATTTTCCATCGTTTTGTGAATGGTTCTGATATGTATAGTTCTACATGGTCTAGTTGGGTGTGTATGTTGTGTGATATCTATAGGTATGTGTGGTGATGTTATACAACACATTCTGTTGGTGTGATGGAAATTTAGTCCAACAATAAATATTGTACTTTTCTGGCGTTTTTGTTTTCTTCTTTACCACCAATCTATTTAAAATCAGATCTTCTATTCCACCTTGTAACTATTGATGCGAAGCAAGGTAGGAAAAAAAACGTTAAATGAGATATCAGATTTTAATTACATTGGTTACACAAATTTTAAAATGTGAGTTGAGAAAAATTTCGAAAATTGAGAATATTTTTTCCATCAGGTGGTCATTTGGAATCTCCCTAAATGTACTTTCTAACTTAGAATTTCAGGTTAATTTTTCAATAATTTGTGATTAGCTAGTCCAATTTTGAATACCTGGTACATGGGCCTGTATATGAAACAAAAGCCAAAATGGCCTGTATCACAATCTTTGTTTAAAATAATGTAAAGTAATTCATAATTTCAAACATATGGCTTTCCCATTTCAAAATTTTGTGGAGTTTAACAATTAAGTACCACCGTAATAAAGTTATAACACTACATATCCTAAGGCCATGGCTATTGCAGGCCTGGATCCAGTCAGGCATGATCTACATATAAGGTCAAGGTCATGTCTATCAACATACTTGATAGTCACTGAACAAGATATAAGTAAATTGGATGTAACTGAGCAGTGCATCAAAAGATACACTCAATTTCATGTTTATTTGCTGGCAGCAAGCTTGCAGTTGGCATGTTATTTTCTAGAGACATGCTTTTCTGACTCTCCCAACTAGCACTTTTTCTTAAATGGCATGTCCTGATGTACACACTCAAATGAAACACATGTCTCTGCACCCACATCTTGTCCATCACAATCAATATCAGCAACTATTATCTATTCATAGCAAGTTGTGCCTATGCCCTATTGTCCCCCTTTACAAATCAATATCTATCAAGATGGAGCGGCTGTTTAAATTGTCTACCTTTACAGATCAGTATCTATCAAGATGGTGCGGCTGTTTAAATTGTCTACCTTTACAGATCAGTATCTATCAAGATGGTGCGGCTGTTTAAATTGTCTACCTTTACAGATCAGTATCTATCAAGATGGTGCTGCTGTTCAAATTGTCTACCTTTACAGATCAGTATCTATCAAGATGGTGCGGCTGTTCAAATTGTCTACCTTTACAGATCAGTATCTATCAAGATGGTGCGGCTGTTCAAATTGTCTACCTTTACAGATCAGTATCTATCAAGATGGTGCGGCTGTTCAAATTGTCTACCTTTACAGATCAGTATCTATCAAGATGGTGCGGCTGTTCAAATTGTCTACCTTTACAGATCAGTATCTATCAAGATGGTGCGGCTGTTCAAATTGTCTACCTTTACAGATCAGTATCTATCAAGATGGTGCGGCTGTTCAAATTGTCTACCTTTACAGATCAGTATCTATCAAGATGGTGCGGCTGTTCAAATTGTCTACCTTTACAGATCAGTATCTATCAAGATGGTGCGGCTGTTTAAATTGTCTACCTTTACAGATCAGTATCTATCAAGATGGTGCGGCTGTTTAAATTGTCTACCTTTACAGATCAGTATCTATCAAGAAGATGACGATGGTTCAGTATCCTTGTACAAAATCTGTCAAGTAGCATTCCCTACTCCTACAACAAAGACTGCCTCAGTATAACTCGATGATTATAAATGACAGCAAATTTTCTAAATTACAACTTCATAAAATAATTACAAACAACCAGTATCAATATCTGATACATTTAAATTGTGAAGTTTTTCTTATTGCAAAGGGCTATTAAATGCTGTGTCAGGTTCAAATGAACACTACTAAAATACCCTTTCTTCTTTTTCCTACCCAAAATTACACTCGGAATGCTGTACTAAGCAATTCTTAAATGAAGGTCACAATAATCTTGTGAGGGTTGGTAAACAACATGCTGATTTCTGTAGACATGCCTACACACACAAGATCTGTTGAAAAACAACACTAGCGGTATGCCACAAAAACAATTTTGAAAGTCAGTCATAGTATTAGAAATTGCAATTATGAGCATCAAACATGTAACATTTTTCTTGGTCTATTTATTGTAAACGTTTTGTCCACAAGGTAAAGAAAAGCTCCACAGCCTTAAAAATAATCATAAAACTTATGAGCAAGTTTTCTATGCACAATTAATGATTTATCACAAAATGCTGAGGGGAGAGACTTTTATAAAGAAGTCTTTTCACATGTAATTTTGATATCTTTTAATCAATAAAATCACAGAAGTTATCATTTTACAGTCAATATTGTGATATTGCACTCTTTTTGTTTCAATATATACAATTATATAACAAAACCTTAATTGGACTGTATTAACCTTGTCATCAGCACGATAATTGAAATACCATATTAAGCAACTTTTAGTGCTTAAACAATGATGTACATTTTGGCATATATATTTTCTGAGACATAAAGTTTGCATTTTTCCTAACTTAAATACATGATGGTGTAGATTATCTAATTGTAATGTAATTTTATAGTAGTGTATGTTAATTAGTCTTGATCAGAAATATTGTGCAAGAATATAACATATGCTCTATACATCACATTCTGTAGACAGACATTTAGAAATAAACAAGAAGGATCATGGAATGAAATCTGCTGATATCTACTGATTTAAATGATGATAGTGCTAATGTAATACATCCTTGTACAATATTACATAATAAGGAAAGACTAAATGTCTTGCAACCTGACAACAAAAACTAAACCACACTTTACGACAATAAAAACTTGTATCCAATTTTTCCGTATCATATTTGTTATAATAACATGAAAACTGTTTTAAAAGAACTCTGATCAAGTGTAATGCGAAACTGAGAATTCACTGCTCAGAAAAAATACAACTGTAGTACAATAACAGTCTCATTTAAGTCTCAATTACTTCCTACATTATATCATTTAGTAGGTAATATCTAACTTTCAAGTTTTCGGTACTTAAATAAAAATGAAGCTATGTGTTTACAATAAATAACAAAAACAAAACTGGAGAGAAGCAGGAAAACCAATCACTTGAACCAGCAGTCAGGTATGCTCAAGTAAAACATCTATCCTGGCCCAAGACTCATAGTTTTGTTTAGGTCTATACTGACAATTTGCTTAGAAGTAATAGACAGGAAACTGAACTACGGATAGAAGATATCTATGGAATCCTTGGGTCAAGTAGATGTTTTACTGAAATAGCCTTTGGTAGGGTTGGGAGGCAAGAAAAAAGACAAGGAACTACTCGCACATACATGTAATTGATTTCCATGGCAACTGACTCAGTAGACAGCTAATCAGTTAGTTTTGTTTGTGACCAATTTTTGTGATCAGGTCATGTGCAACGAGACAATTTGGCAAATTACAGTCCCACACTGGATGTGAAATTATGAGATCTAAAATGCACAAATGGCAAGATTTTCATTGATGAAGTAACATGTCAAAATGAAGGTCAGAGTGACCTACTTTTAGATAGATGAGTAACCGTCTCACCCAGGTAAACCCATATCCCATGTATGAAGTTCCTGTGATTATTAGTGTGTTAGATAGGGCCAAGATAATCTTTAACTTTAAAGTTGATCAAAGGTCAAAATGTTTGTCAGAGTTACCTACTTTGGATACATGACACACCGTCTCACAAAATTAGTTGTGTTGAAGACAGGGCCCAGACAAGATAGCAGAAAGACTATAATCCCCTCTGGTTCCCATTGGATGAATAATAAATTACATGTTGACATTACATTGACTTTTTGAAACCAACAAAGGTATTATAGTTGAACTCAACAAAAGCAGAATTTGAAATGTCTCATTCAAAATACTAGAACTGTGTCATCTAAAGCCATTTTGTCTAAATCTGATGCCATTTTGTAAACAAGGGTGAGCAATGGAGTAAACTTTCTCAATTATAAATGATCACTTGAATTACTGCACACTGTGGGACAGAACATTAGTGTGCAAGCTATATGAGACTTATTTTTCATCTTATCCAACACACAATGAAAATTCAGGTTTGTCACGTTTTGCACTTTTGTTCTTACTAATTTTATATTGTGTTCTAACATCTTTGATATAACACGGTGCTTATCAATGATCAGTATATCAGAAACATGCACACAGACATAAATAAACACTATGATTTTTAATAATGATTTTGATGGAATGTCAATGTCATAGATTATAACAACCCTCTAGATCTTCTGATCAGTTGTCCATAAAACTCTACACATGTTCAGTCTCAATCATCTTTTCTCCAGGGCCCGAAATTTAGCTTCTGAAACAGATTAAGAGGGAAATTACATTAAGATTACAAATTTTCACATTCAACATAATGTACAAGTTTTAGTACAAAATGTTCAAAGTTCAAATATAATTTCAAACAATGAAAATCATTAGAGTTATCTGACCTTTGACTATAAAGGATTCTGAGTTTATGTGATAGACAGTGACTCACATGGACTTGACAGGAATTCCCCATCCATGGTCCATATACATATATATATATATATATGTGTAAGATTAAACAGGGTATATAGAGCCAACGTCGCTATCTAGGTAAGTGTGTGGTTCAGTGTGGTACTTCACTTGAGGTTGGATACCTAGGGGTATGCAGGGCAACTGACGGAATATCTACATAATAAAGGGTAAGGAGTCAATCGCAACAAACTCAAACGTCGCCGGTTTAGTAGCTGGTTCGACTTTATTGTCGACTAGTATCGCCTCCGGTCGAGCCTTCATCAGGACAATTTTACAAATATTTTCAACCCCTGAAGTACTTTTTAAGGGGTTCAGCATAATTATGACGTAATATCAATGTGTATCGTTGTACGGTCAGATTAGCCTCTGAATTATACTGTTATATCTATAATTGTAGGTAATAGAGTATTGAAATTAATCTTGGAAACTAAATTACATTAAAGCACAGTTCTTTAAATCACTAAATATAGTTCATCATTGTCTTTCATCTAGGCATAAGGTAGTGCTTGACTCTGAGACATAACAGGGATACATGGGTTGAACGGTAAAACAAAGGGTGAGACATTGGTAGCTTTCATCATATTTGGTGTAGCTGGTAGGATATCTCTGGTAGTATTTCTGGCTTTCTCTATGGCTTTAGTGATAATTGTTGGCGGGTATCCTCTCTTTAAAAACCTCTCATGTAGTTTATAGCATTCTAGTGCGACATCAGTCTTGTTGCTGCATATCTTCCTGATTCTCAACGCCTGGGTGGCTACTACTGTAGTGTAGGTATTAAAAGGCATTCGTGGGTTTATTGTATATGCGGCTACCTAGTGTCCCATTTTCGTTGAAGAATACAGTAGTATCCAGGAAGTCCAGTGAGATATCCATGGACTACAAAGCAGGTTTCCTAAAGATCTTATCATTCCTCAATAAGATAATGTGCAGAAAGCATTCCCACAGAGTAATTAAAGAAATCAGCCAATCAGGTCACAGCAGCCTCATTAAATATGCGCCTAATCTGCTGTTAATCAAACTTGGGCAAGGGATTAAGGAAACAAGTGTACCAACCAAGTTTCATCAAAATTCAAGCAGTCCTTCAAAAGATATCATGCAGAAAGCAACATCCGGACAGAGGGATGGTCAGGAGGATGGATGGAATGATGGCCGGGTGCAACCCATTTGAATATCCCTCACCAATTTTGTTGGGTAGGGGATGATTATACATTTAACCTACTCCATACTTACCTAATCTCTTTGAGTATACATCAAGTTTATATGCTGCTTGCTCCAAGTTACTAACATTTTCTTCAATATGGTCAATTTGCTCTAGATAAGGCTGAAGAGTCTTGTCTATAAAACATAAGAACATGTATTAAATGCATGTATATTTTTACAACTGTGTATTGTTTAAATCAATGGACAATTATTTCACACAAATTGGGAAAAAAATGCAAAATTTCAGCAACCAAAACTCAAAACCTAATTCTCTTTCAAGTCATTCTTACAATAAACTAATCCCAAAAATTGTTATTCTGGTGATGTCTGACTACTGTATATTTTTGTTAAATTCGAGGGTATTATATCACTAGCAAATTTTGTAAGCAAGATTTATAAAAAGAAAACCCAGCAAATGTATATTTTTGGAAAACTCTCACATTTGACCATCACAAAAAGATATGATTTATTTTACAGATGGCGGTGTATTTTCCAGAGAACATCTAATCAGGAACTCAGTGTTAAGTAGACCTTGATTTAATTCTACTGGTTATATATGCTATCTTGTTTTTTTTTGTTTTTTTTTTTTTTGAATTTCAAGTTATGATAACATTAATGTCACATTCTCCAGTTCTGTTTGTGTATTTTTGATTTTTTTCAATAACTCACATTTTTCATTCAGCTCTTGAAGTGATGTACTAATATCTTGTGCTAGGTTCTTCATTTCTGAGTACTTTGCAATGGTAATTTTATTCATGTTCTCCAACAATCTGTAATCTTCAATAGTTCCTAAAAACAATCATAATATATAGAAATGAGACTTTCAGACACACTCAAGTTAAATCAAAGGAATTATGTCCCAGTTCAATTTATGGGATAATAGAACTGTTTAATCTAACTCATTTGTTTTACTTCCAGTGTTTGTAAAAAAAAATAATACATCAGGCAAGGAATAGAAACATTGACTTGTACCAGATAAATATATAATGTCTTTCACATCAACATTTACATCTCGTGACCAATACACTGTAACACAACATGAAACAAAATGTGTATGGAGCATCCCTTTGTATTACTTCATAACACAGGATGTAAAATATCATTGACTCCTAGCTATGATCTTGAAAAGATTAAACATTATGTACAAAGTCCTTTATACCTAACCTTTGGATATATCCTCAGTTACTCTGAAAACATATCTAACCCATCACCTACAACTTACTTAATAGCTCTAATCATATTGAGGATGTAATGGTTCTGGATCATTTAATAGAGATTAAGAAAAAATAATTGAAAATTACTTCACCCCACTGCCCGACCCACCATTTAGATCATATGGGATGCTGAATTGTCTCTTTAAATATTTGTTAATCTATTAAAATTTAGTTACCCTCCATTTCTCCTCGCAAATATTCTGCTGTTTTCTGGAATGTCTCTCTACACAGCTGCACAACATCTGGGGGTGGAGGTTCCCTTGCTTCCGTAGCAGTTTCTATCATTGGTTCCTGTTCATTACTGATACCTACAATAATACATATTACATGCATTCATTAACTTGTCTTTAACAATTTTCAGTAAAACTATGTGCTAACAGAGGGAATCTTTATATGAAATATGAGAAAGGTCCAGTACTTCTGAAGAGACACTGTAACAAACTTTCATTGTCAAAACCCAAGATGACAGCCTGTCAGCCATTTTGTTTTTTCTAACCAGTCCTAGAATTAAAAGACCAAAATTTGGGACCAAGAAAAACTGATATATGAAGTCTTAGAGAGATTCATCAACTACTTTTAAAAAAATAGTGATTATAAGCTTTCATAGTTAAAATGCAAGATGTCAGCCATTTTGTCTTTCCTGATCAGTTCCAAAATCAAAAGAGCGCAACTAGGGGCTAAGGAGAATCTTTATACCAGGTATGGAATGTGAGAAAGATCCATCTAGTACTTCCGAGAAATACAGATAACCAATATTTACTGTCAAAAAGTCAAAATCCAAGATGCCTTCTGTCAATCAGCTTGTTTTTCTGATCAGTTTCAAAACCAAGATGGCACAACAATGGATAAAAAAGAACCTACCAATGAAATTTGAAAATGATCCATCAGAAACTACTTAAGAAATAGAGATAACCACTTTTATGGATCTGATCCATCCCAAAATCAACGAATCACAGGGAACCTACATATGAAACTTGAAAATTTGATTGGTCCAACACATCTCAAGAGCTAGCAATAAAAGAAATTAATTAAAGACAGAGAAAGGAAACACAGATGCTGGACCACAGACAAAGTACGATTTGAACAGCCCACCATCTGATGATGCTGGGTCAAAAGCCAAAACATGATTAAAATAGGGGTGGAATAATATGCACTTTTAAGTTTAATTGATCTCTTTTTAAAGTACTCTTTGATCTGGTTAAAGTGTATAAGTGTATCTGAATAGTCATGTGAGAGGACACATGAAATGCATCAATAAGATCTGTTGTGTGTATCTGGAATTACAAATGTTTGGATGCATACAAATATTCAACTACAAACATACTTAATAATATAATACACAAGCAACAATACCACCCACATGATAATATTGCTTTAATCATTGTGTGGACTGCTGAATTTCATCAATTTTAAAAGTTCATTTGTGTACGTGACAAGAGTTGGAATTATTGTATGCCCTAAATAGACTCTGACCCATTTTATACATATTCTTAGGCCACTATGCATTAGCAGTTGAACTAGCTAAACCTGTAAGAGAAAAGTAAGGTACAGATCGGGACCTGCGGGATATTTGGTACATGCGGTCAGAGGGTTCTAGTTGTACTTTTTAGAAACTAACTAGCTAAATAATGTTCTTCTGATGAACTTCACCATTAGCTTGGTAGTTGCACGTACATATTTCCAGAAATGTTATGCTATTTGGTACAAGTTTTCTTTAGGTTCATTGTTTAAAATTTGACAGGAAATTCTGTCATTGTACATTTAAGCCTAACATACTCCAGTTCCAACATCCGGTACATGTGCGTTCGTTTATCACGGAATAATTCTAAACCACCTGAATCGTTTTTAACCGGGTTACATGGAAGTGGCCTAAATTTCCGTTAAACTTACGTGTTTAAAGTCTTGAGTGCTTTTTTTTATGACAATCGGGATACTGTTGTTTCTCACGATCATTCATTATGTGAACCCTACTTCCCAACCGCACATCCGAAACACGACGGATGATAGAATTTGTCACAAGCAGTCAAAATATATCTTAACATGTAATGTTTACATTAGAACAACCTTAGAATAATAAACACGCCATATTAGCTATGATATAACAACACTAATAATTTTCTTACGTTTATCATCACCTGATTTACTCCCACTTTCATCAACACCACCACCACCTCTTTCTGCCATGATTTCTCAGTGTCGCTAACATCATTAAAAATATGTTACTTTCACTTTCACATTTGGTATTTAATTAATAAAAATGCCTGATGCTACTTCATACGGTAAGAAAATTAAATTTAAATAGTATCGCTTTAACAATATTAAGTTGATTCCTATAATTAAAAATTTAATCATATTAAATTTGCTACGATATAAGCGGACCCATTCTACTCTGATGCTTTCTGACTTCGGTGACATCACAGAGACTGCTGATTCTGAGTTACATGGGAGGAAGTAGTTGATTGCCTTGGTGTCGTAGTTACACGACGAGTGTAATAACATTGATATTTCAAGAAATAATATGAAATATGCAAGTATGCGGGTATTTTGGAAACGTCACATGATAAGCAACATAATCGGAGTTGTTTTCGTGTGTGTGATAGTGGGTATCTATATCAGTCTGTTGCGCTATAACAAAGCTAGTACTACCAGTTTTAACCTGGTACCGAAAAGTGTTGGTGCCTTACCAGGAGCATACAGATACAAATCCCAGAAGGGACCGTTGTTTCACTTCACTAACCTCGGGAAAAAGTCTTTAAAACACGGGAAGTTGCCTGTCTTCATTGTGGAGGAGCATCATGAAGGTAAGATATGGTGTCGAGAATCTGGTATTTATCACCCTCAGTTAAAGTCTGGAAAAGTCCTAAATTCACTATGAACTCAATTCATTTCACAACAGCTTGAAAGGTATCACTCTTGATTACTCAGAGCTCCTTAATCTTGTGAAAGAATGGGAAAATATACACTTTTGCTAGGTGCCCAGACAGGAATCAAACCCAGGTCTCCAGTGTGATAATCCATGGCGATGCCAACTGAGCCAATGCAAATGAAGGTGTCCATCAGCTGAGTGACAGAGACTGTATTAGGTTCAAGTCACACCAACTAGCACCTTTAACAAAAATATGATTTCCCCTTTTATAGTCCATTTCACAAAGTAAATGTTCTCATTATGTAACAGAGGTCATTTGTCATCTCAATGCTTCCACTAGGAATCAAACTCGGGACCCCTGGCTTACTAGTCTGACGCTCAACCAATCAAGCTAAAGAGAAGTTCTCTCTAGCCGAGTGGTATATTGCGGCTAGTATTTTACCAGGGTTACATACTCCCCCTCCAGGAAATAACTCGTCCTCGAGTTTCCAGGGGTTACAGCGATGCTGGTGGGGCATGGCTAAGTACTATTCCTGGGTCCCTACATGGGCGCCAATGTAACAGAGGTCATTATATATTTTAATGCCTCCGCTAGGAATCGAACCCGGGACCCCTGGCTTACTAGTCTGACGCTCAACCAATCGAGCTAAAGAGAAGTTCTCTCTAGCCGAGTGGTATATTGCGGCTAGTAATTTACCAGGGTTACATACTCCCCCTCCAGGAAATAACTCGTCCTCGAGTTTCCAGGGGTTACAGCGATGCTGATAGGGCATGGCTAAGTACTATTCCCAGGTCCCTACATGGGTGCCAATGTAACAGAGGTCATTTTTAATCTCAATGCCTCCGCAAGGAATCGAACCCGGGACCCCTGGCTTACTAGTCTGACGCTCAACCAATCGAGCTAAAGAGAAATTCTCTCTAGCCGAGTGGTATATTGTGGCTAGTATTTTACAAGGGTTACAATTAAGACATTGTTCAACAAAACATGCAACATGTTCACCAAAACCTGCAACAATATACTCAACATATGTGTTTCTGTGAAAAATTGCTATTTCTTCCTCAGACTTGCTCGTGCAAATTCAGTATCTTGCTTTAATACAGAATTCAAATAGAACCCTTTTAAAACTTAAGTTTGCAATAAATTGACTGCTGTCAACTTCGGGTAGAGAGCATTAAATATGGGAACATCAATACAGCAATTCTTTCTTTCATTTATCTTGGTGACTTTACCATGACCTTTCTTCTTTGATCTGATGTTCACCACATACGTCGAACTAAAGCAAGAAGCGAAGTGTGAAGTATCCAGTTCATGTGGCATTAGACAATATAGATTGCTTATAAGGAAGAAGTTGCTGCTTTCAGGGCAAAGTGCATTAAATTTAACCACTTTACCATATTACTAAACATAGGATGAGTAAGTAAGGAGTTAGGAAGGTTATAAATCAGGATTGGGTTGTGACTTGTTTTATGCTTTTCCTTGAGACCCTTAAAATTTATGAACTGTAAGTCTGGGGACTCGCTTCTTATATGAAACAGAGTAAAACTATATTTATTTTAGGAACCTTTGTCAACGTATGGAGTCAAAATGAATGTTTTTGAGGACAAGGGAAAATCATTTTTGTTTGTTTTCCAGTAGGATATAAAGCACAGTGCACCTTCTCATGCAAATACCTGAATTTTGAAATGGCAAGTTATGTGTATTCCTAGATATGAAAGAGGTCAAATCCACCGTTCATTAGGTTTATTAAAAAGTTTCCTTTTGATAGGTATATGAATACCTGACAACAAAAAAGTTCAACTGCTGTTTACGTATCGTCAAACTTCAAGGGTTGTGCTCACTTTTGCTTTCTTCATACATGGAACCATCCTTGATACTTTCGTGATTACCCACACTTTCGCTCTCAATACTCCTGGAACCATCTTCGATACTCAAGTGCTTACCCTCACTATCACTCTCTACACCCTGGAACATTTCATAGCAAAATGGAAGGCAAATGCAAAGTAATTTGATAGGTCTAGAGCAGGTTTCAGGAGAAAAAACTGACCAATTACAGACTGATAAACTCCTTCGAAGATTACAAAGGAGCGACACCCAATTTCAAAGCCAGTAAATGACAGATGATATGCTGCTTCGAAGATTACAAAGGAGCGAAACCCAGTTTCAAAGCCAGTACAACATACTGTTATGCTACCTAGAGATTTATTTAATTTACGTCAAAGGATTGAAATAGTCCTCTTATCTTATCCACGAGATGGAACCTTCAATTTTGTCATGAAATAATCCAGGGGTGCTATTATATCGATAAGCATTCTCAGTATAAGGAGTGCATCCTTGGGTGAGGGATTTTGGAGGTTTACATTGACACTCCTTTAGGCAAAGGGATGTGACCCAATGTGGAAAATAGAAGTAAATGTTTATAATCCTTATGCTTCATTTTCAATATCAAGATATAGAATAAGTTCAACCAAAATCAATTTTAGTGTTAGCATTTATGGATTAATAGGATCTGAGCTCAGTGAATAGGCAAATAGAGGTGTGATCACAGCCAAGATTTCAAAATCCTTCTTTTGAAATATTTATTTCACTTAATCCTTGCATGCCTAAGAAAAATGCTTTGATCTTTTAATACAAACTTTTTCTAGCAGATCTGTTACATATGCCTCAGTATATCTTGGTATATAGCTAAAGGCTGCTTATTCTTCTCATACTTAAACAATACTTTTATGATCAGTGTCCTGTGTTTGCTTCATGCATCATTTACATCATCACTTGTTTGACTTGTGATATAGTGAATGTGCCACAGAGATATACACCTATGTCTGCTCAAACATCAAACAGCATGCAGCCAACTGTAAGAGTTCTTAATTTAGAGATACAATTGTGTGGGAATATCATTTATCCAAGCAAAAAGCTATCAATTCTTCAGAAAAAATGACAGAACATTTATCTCATACTTGTTATTACCTGGCTATGTCAATGATAATTCTGACTCCAATAGCCACATCAGGGTTATTATCATTCTTTTAAATGAAATTGTCAATCTAGGGTATACTTGTGTAAAAGTCTTCAAAAAGTTTACTGTCAGAAGTTCAGGATGTGTTTTTTTAACACAGAGGTGGTAGTTAGTATCAATGATGAGAAATTATTCATGTATGAAATTTACATTGAACATTTGTTTTCAAAGTTGAAATTAATTGATAATACAACAGATATAAATGTCCTTGATAAAAGAACAAACAGAGAGGAGAAACAATTTGACATCTCTCATTGTCTTTTATTTATCTTATACTGTACATATGTGAATACGTACCAAAATCTTTGCCCACCATCATCGAATGAGGAGCTGTCTTTAAGTTTATCTGCCTGTTCATCTTTCTTTATGAAGCAATTCTTGTTATCACTATTACTTGAAAAGTGCTTGATGAACCTTTTCTCAAAGTTCATGTATGGATTCCCCATGGTTTCAAGTGGTGGCACCGAATTCTCAGACTGATATGACAAAACAAAAGGACCAAAATGGCCAATGGGAGCCATCCTGGACTTTGAAAGTTTACAAGTTTTTTCACTATCCTTTGAAAAAAGCTGGCCATTGTTGGATCTTTATGCTAACTTGTTAAGATTGATCTGAAAAATGAAATCCTTGATAGTGACAGGAGTCATCTTAAAATTAAAGTTTGCTGTCACTATTTCTTGAGAATTACTGGATGAAATTACCTTTAATATCATATGTAGGTTCTCACTGGTCCATATAGCTGTACCTGTTAAATTTTGTGATTGATCAAAAATTAAGATGGCGAGATAGTATTTTGACTGATAGCCATTGTCTATAGCTCTTTTCTGAAAAGTACTGGATGGATGTTTCTCATATTTCGTATGAATTTCCTTTTTCTCCGGTTGTGTTTTTTTCCCCAAGATTGGTGAAAATACAACAAAATTGTAGTTTCATTGTATATGTGAAAAAAGCAGGTCAGTGTGGCTTGTGCATGATGTTAAATATGGTCTCTGTCACTCACCTGAGGGAGCATGCTTTTTTGGCTCCATTGAGTTGTGTATTATCACACTGAAGACCTAGGTTTGTTTCCTACTGGGTGCACTCAGCAGGAATGCATATTTTTCCACGGTCTTTTACATATTATCTTAGAGAGCATGTCTGGAAGAAAGAAATATTTTACATACTATATTGTAGGTTTACCCAACTGTATGACATATGCTACCAATTGATTAATTTAAACTAGGGGCCACAGTGGCCAAGTGGTTAAGAAGTCTGTCCTTATCACTAGCCCTTCCACCTGAGTCACGACTTCAAGGCCTACGTTAGGCAGTGTCAGGTATTGGCCACACGTCAGTGTTTTTTCTCTGGGAAATCCGGTTTTCTTCCACTACCCTAACCTTGCATGTCCTTTTATGACCTTGGCTGTTATCAAGGCATAAAGTTACAATATACAAAACATTCAAACTAAAGGAGCAAAGAAGAGAAAAAGAAGGAAATGAGAGAGAAAGATAAAACCTAAAAATTACCAATATCAGTAGTATAATTATAAAATCCATCTGGGATCTGTTGCATCGACTAAATTTTACAAGTGTTTTATATATTTAAATGAATCTATATATGGATGTATAGCAGTTATATAATAACAAAACTTTACCTTGTATTTCAGTGCTTCCTGTTTGGTTTGAAGCAGCTAAAAATGGATACATGCCTCAACATGGCAATACCTTGGTAAATGTGAAAAAACAAATAATAATAAAGATGAATATGTTTAAAGTCAGAAAATGTGTGAGATTTTCATGGTTGTATAAAATCTACTAGCCTACAAATATATTCCATTACGAAGTTGGAGAATAAGTTGTTAAGCAACTGAGATTAAGAGAAAGTTTGCAATGTATTATTAATATTAAACAATTTTGAATCCATTTATTTCATCATTTCAACTAGAATTTTTTTTTAATCTTCTAATGTATTTTGTGTGTTATAATGGGTCATAAATAGAGATGTTGTTTACTTATAGATCCATGTAGATGGTCACAGTGACATGGCACCGCCCTTTTTTCTGAGCCGCTACCCAGCTTGGCGCCCACCAAGGGACAACAAGGAGCTACATACTATGATGCAGAGAAACGATGCATTCATTGTGGTAAGTATGAATAGATTGACTTTTTTGTACAGCAGTTTCTGTAATGTTTTCATGCAAGACAAGCACCCTCAACATAAAAAGATGTAATGTTATCAGTTATTCATGTATCAACATAAAAAATTGAAAAGTTTCCTTTCGGTAAAGATTTCAAATTTGATGTCATTTTAGGAAGCGGCAATGGCTGGGTTGATCAGAAAGGTAATCTGGATTTGGCCTAAGTGGACAGAACACACACATGAGGGTATTGAACAGTCTGGGGAGGTGGAGGTAGGCTGGGCTCAGGTGGATGGTCCACACAAAGACAAAATCAAGGTGTTCTGTTTATGCTTCCACAATACAACAAAAAATGCACAAAGCTGTATATATTTACCTTTACACAAGGCAACAGAGATGAGTGTTTCCATTAACCCTCATCTTTGTCATGTCAAAAAGTCATTCTTCTACAAAGAAATCAGAGAAGATGTTGCAGTCCAAAAATTGAGCAAAAATAAATTAGTGACTTCCAGTGAATCTGTATTACTTGATATAGATGAGGATTTTTATGGTTGTGCTTATGCCTCTAAGCCTTTGCTGGATGCTAATATCACTCTGGAAAATATCCACAAATTAGATAGTCTTATACAAAAATTGTTTTGTCCCCAAGGGGCAATCCAAGAACAAGATGCTGACCGGTTACTTGTCGGTGTGCTAGCAATTTTGAGAAAGGCATCTTCCTGTGCTGACAGTACTTTCAACAAGGCTAAAAATGTCTTGCCGTCCAAAAGTAATAATGGTCAGTCCCAAGGTCATGGAGGTAAGGTGAGCTTTAACAAAAGTACAGAAGATGCTAATAGAATATCTGGCAAGAAGAACCAAAACTCAGGCAGTGGAAAATGTAAGGAGGAAGCTCTCTTCCTCACTAAAGAAGCAGAATCAGCAGTTAGGAAATATTTGTGGCAAACAAAGAACTCTGTTGCATGTACCAGGAAGACACAACATAGTGAGAAGATTTTAAAAGAATTGATAAACAACTTCAAACAGCATAGCCTAAGACAACTTAGATCTTTACAATATGTTGGCTTTTGTTCGACAACATCACCCAGATCTAGTAAACTTGTCAACAAATTAAATTTCCACATATGTCATGGTGTAAACCACCCTGGTCATTCTGCAGTAGATGTGTATATACCACGCATGTCCGAGATCAACCACAGAACAAAACTTCTACAGGAATTGATGTCCACTGTTAGAAATAAGAAAACATCAATGGCCACTGTGTGCCGATCTGTGAGGGATGGCTACACCCCACGTCGCTACTTTACTAAGATAGAAGGTGATGTGCTGAAGGTACTCAATGTCACCTTTGGTAATATTCAGCTGCATTATGATTCTAATTTACTTGGTGGAAGGAAAGGTTGGCCAAGCCGTCATAAAGTGTCTCCTAAATGATGCTATGTAGCTAGAAGAAAATGTTGGCCATGTTGAAAGATGCTGCCAGTAGGTAGCCAAAATGAAAGGATAACAAAGTTTACATACAGGTCTGGGAAGTGGTGACAGCTAAAGATGCTTTAATGAAGATGTTTGTGACAGTTAAAATATTAAACCCATACAAATACAATTACAACTGCATTTCTGCAACACTATGTAGGTCTGTTCTCTAGGTTACGTGGATAGCAGAGCTTAATGGTGATGGCTAAGTATATGTAATTTATGATATTATGTATAAACTGCTGCAAAGGTAATGATGCTATGATTGTGTCATAGTTGTATTCAAGTGATGCATATAGTGCTGTTGATTTTGGATTGAATGTTTATTTTGTTAGCCTACTTTTCTCAGATAGTGGGCAGTACAAACTGCACCATGTCCAGTATTCAGCAGTCAGTGTCCATCCCTCAACAATTTTTTTATCATCATTTCATGAGAAGTAAAGGGTGGATCTTTCTCGCATTTTATATATAGGTTATGCATAGTAACTAGTTGTGCCCTTTTGATTTTGGGACTGATCAGGAAAACAAAATGGCTGACATCTTCGATTTTGGCAGTGAAAGTCTGTAATCACAATTCCTTGAGGATGTGGATTTTCACATTGAATGTTTGTAAACTTATCACTTTTTCTTGAGAAATACTGGATGGATGTTTCTAAGATTTAATGGGTAGGTTACTTTAATACTCCCTAGTTATTCACTTCTGATTTTGGGACTGATCAGAACAGAATATGGTCATTGATCTGACTGTCAAAAACTATCATAGCTACATTTTAAGAGGAAATTTCATGTAATTAGGAGCAAAAGCAGAGGAAAGAAGAGAAAAAAGGGAACAGATCAAGCCATTAAGGAACAAATAAGACCAATGTTTTGTGAAGTTTCTATAATATGGTTACAATACACAAGTAAAAGTAATATTATTAGAAGAAACACTCATTTACCAATTTTGGCTTATAATTATCATAAGTGATTTTTCTCATTGGCATTTTAAATGTGTCATATTCCAATCTTTCTGTTACAATCGCCTGTTGTCATTCATTCATCACCACATACCAGAATCACTACATGTATTGAAGGGATGTTTATGGACATTGTAAAGGTTATGGAGTATATTGCAATGAATATATATTTCAATGGATAAATTAAAGTTCAGTTGTCAAGTTTCATGTTTCATACAGACTTTTAGTACATAAAATGTATTAGAGGTATAAGAACTATGTACTATTGAGAATTATGGAGGCATCAAGTTCTTGTTAAAACTGTAGAAATGTTAACTAACAAATAAAACATACTTTGCAGTTTTATTAACTGTGAAGGTTTACTAATAAACACACTGTGAATCAATCATTTTAATCGTCGAATGTACGTGGGAAAATTTGCAATTAATTTTATGAAAATTCTGTGGAATATTGTATACTTAGGGCCAACATTGCTGAAAGCAAGAGCATGAAGATCTGTGATTTAGTGTTCAATACCAAAACAGACTTACAAATTTTATTTTTATAAGATTACATATTTTTGAATTTAATGCCACATTATTTTGTAAAATATACAAAAAAAAAAAGAAAAAAGAAAAACAGAATGTGTATGAAATTATATGAATGATTTCCTTTCCATCTATTGTTTTTTTTTTTTTTTAGCTCACTTGGCCCAAAGGTATCTGTCGTCTGTAAACTTTATCTAAATAATGCTAATAGTCATAAATGACTGAGGAGGTTTTGGCCAAATTTGGTCAGAAGCATCCTTAAGGGAAGGGAAGATTTTTTGTATTAATTTTGTGTCTCAGCCTGCCAGGGCATGAGGAAAGGGGCCCAAAAGGGGAAATTTGGCAAGTCCTTTAAAATCCTACTCCACTTGTAGGAATGATTGGATTTTGCTTGCATTTGATCTGAAGCATCTTAAAGGAGATTGAAGTGTGTATAAAGGGTGGATCTTGGCCTACTAGGGTGGGAGGGGAGAGGCGGGGCCCAATAGGAAAAATAGAACAAATTCTTTGAAATCCTACTACTCCTGTTGGAATGATTGGATTTTGCTTAAATTTGACCTGAAGCATCTCTAATTGAATGGGAATCAATTTTGTGTAAATGATGAATCTCTGCTCCCTAGGGCAGGAAGGGAGGGGCTTAATAAGGAAAATTAGTTTGAAAACAGTTTAGATTCCTGTCCCATAACCATGTATAACATTGCTGGGCATAAAGAGATAAACACAACTGTGATGTAAGAATTGGCCCGGAGGTTTGGCCCGAAAACAGTTTAGATTCCTGTCCCATAAACATGTATAACATTGCTGGGCATAAAGAGATAAACACAACTGTGATGTAAGAATTGGCCCGGAGGTTTGGCCCGAAAACAGTTTAGATTCCTGTCCCATAACCATGTATAACATTGCTGGGCATAAAGAGATAAACACAACTGTGATGTAAGAATTGGCCCGGAGGTTTGGCCCCACTCTTAGGGACTCAATTTCATTGTAAAGTCTTTGAAACAGTTGAGATCCTGGACATCAAGAGATAAACACATTTTCAATGTAAGAACTGGCCCTTGAGTGTGGCCTCAACCGTCTGGATGATTTCTTGGTGATATCTTTGAAACAATTGAAATCCCCATCTCATAACCATATATATATATAGAATTGCTTGGCATCTAGAAACACCAAAAGGGATATTATTTCTGGGTCATATTTTTGATATAGTTGAGATACCAACCCAATAACTGTATAAACTCTTACTGAGAATATAAAGAGAAAGACAGTAATGATATAAGAATTAACCTATTGGTCTTGCCTCATCAATGAGGTTAAGTGACTGAGATTTTATTGGAACTATTTGAAATACCCAACATATAGGAATGTAGATCCAGGTGAAGGATACAGGCCCAATGGGCCTCTTCTTTTTATTGGGAAATACACATTGTACTTATTGATTAAATATGAGTTTTGTCCATGACAACAAATATTCTATCAGGTATTCTAATTCTGGAAAGCCGGCCATTTCAAATGTACCAATTGTCTCAGTTTGTACATTTTATATCTGTACTGTCACAAGATCTGCACTAGTGTAATCATATATTTGAGCTGAAGCCTCTTAGTATAGTTAAATTGTATTTGTGTCACTTTGAATTCAGGCTATATAAAGATAATAACCTACCTTTATTCATCCCTGTCTGCAAGATATTAGCCGTTGTTGTTGTACATAAAGACAAGAATTGCTAGGGCATCTTTATATTTTGTATATTAAAGAGGACCATTTTGTCCTAAAAAATACAAGATAATAAGACATCAGATTAGATGTATTAGATAACATGATTTTTTGAATTTCAGTATGATATTAAGATTTTTATTTCTTAATTTGTTCTAATAACAAATATATCTGTCAGTATTTTATCATGCTTTTTACATGCTTATGCATGTACTGTACCCATTAATATGATTATGTTGCTCTGTTTATGTTGTATATATATAAACATACTGTATACTGTTGCTTGTAATGATGAAAATGTCTGTGATAATTGTATATACATATATACTTCAAGTGTTGTTAATAACCTGGTAACCATGGTGTATGTACAGTATCAGTTCTAACATACACCTGGCAACCATGGTGTGTGTACAGTATCAGTTCTAACATACACCTGGTTACCATAGTGTGTGTACATTGTCAGTTCCTACATACACACGGTGACCATGGTGTACACTCAGTGTCAGTTCTGACATACACCTGGTTACCATGGTGTGTGTACAGTATCAGCTCTAACATAAACCTGGTAGCCATGGTGTGTGTACAGTATCAGTTCTAACATACACCTGGTTACCATGGTGTGTGTACAGTATCAGCTCTAACATACACCTGGTTACCATGGTGTGTGTACAGTATCAGTTTTAACATACACCTGGTTACCATGGTGTGTGTACAGTATCAGTTCTAACATACACCTGGTTACCATGGTGTGTTTACAGTATCAGTTCTAACATACACCTGGTTACCATAGTGTGTGTACATTGTCAGTTCCTACATACACACGGTGACCATGGTGTACGCTCAGTGTCAGTTCTGACATACACCTGGCAACCATGGTGTGTGTACAGTATCAGCTCTAACATACACCTGGTTACCATGGTGTGTGTACAGTGTCAGTTCTAACATAAACCTGGTAACCATAGTGTGTGTACATTGTCAGTTCTAACATACACACGGTGACCATGGTGTATGCTCAGTGTCAGTTCTGACATACACCTGGTTACTAGGTGTGAGTACAGTATCTGTTCTAATATACACCTGGTTACCATGGTGTGTGTACAGTATCTGTTCTAACATACACCCGGTAAACATGGTGTGTGTTCACTATCTGTTCTTACATACACCCGGTAACCATAGTATGTTTACAGTATCTGTTCTGACATAAACCTTGTAACCATGATATTATGACATGAAATTTGGAAAAATAATGGATTTGTGAGAGGGAAAAGGATACTAAGATGTGAACTTAACAATAATTAAATTCCAAAAGTCATTAAACAAGCTGAGCCAATGAAGAGAACGATCTTGATATTGGGAAGATTTGTTACTTTTTACTTCACATGATAGGTGTCCTTACACAGATGTTCATATAGACAACAGTGCTATGCATAGACATTACATCAATTGGAGTATTCTTTACATACTACTGATATTGCAAAAATGTGAAGCTGTCTTGAAGAATAATTTCACTGTCAAGATGTCATTTTATTAAGAGTTGTGTAATGTGTAGTATGATATTCCAGTTGTGGTGGTAAGGGCACCTTGTATTCTGTTTATGCTGCATCGCTTTATTTTGTAAAGATTTATTGTTTACAAAAAGTATTCTGTAGATTTACATATGTATATATGTAGTCCGAGTTTCCTATGGCCCCAGCTGCAACACCAGACGTTGTGATTGATAGATGTGAAAATGTCTAATGGCTGGTGAAGGGGCTAAAGGAAACTTGGGCTAATATTTGTTTGCACAATTATTTTATGTATCAAAGTAGCAAGACTGTACTGAATGTTTTTTCACTGGTGTATTGTCTAGATCTGTGTATAATGACATTACTTAGATTGAAGATAAATGCTAATAGACTTGTTTCAAATTTTAGAAGATCTCATCTGCAGTACCAGCTTTAAGTTATACCTGAATGTTATACAGTTGTTGACTGAGTTTGAGGTCAACATAGCGTTCGGCCTCAGGCAACAGTTTAGTCCTCTGGTTCAACATAACACATGTTAACCAAAAATCCAGTATACAAATATTTTGTTATGCCTTCTACTGTTGATAATATAAAAAAAGTCATTATAAATGAATATAAATGGTAAGTGGCATCATTTTAACTATTTTTTTTATTCTGAAATAAATTTTAAACAACAACAGGGACTTGTACAATTGCTTAATGGCGGAAATTGTCGAGTAATGCCCGGGAAGTACCATACAGTAATGAGCTTTGACGTAAGCCATCAACATGGAGATGTTGACAAGTTATCATTTTTCTGGGGCAAACATCTGGAATTTCAGACTTTATTCACTGTAGAGAGAATAAATAGGAAAAGTATAACAAATAAATGTTATTCATTCAGAGATTATTGTTAAAAATGAAACGTAAGGTTTCAGTTTTTAACATTTCCTTCAAAAGAATCTGGCAGTGTCATTGATTTGATAATTAGAACCGTGTACATTGAGAATATTGTGCACATGGTACATCTTGTCTCTGTTATGTGGGTCATGTCTGGTCTGTTACATATGTGTGTCATCTGTATTACTTGTGTCAGATCTCATCTGTAAAATATGTGTATCGTCTAAATTACATATGTGAAATCTCATCTGATAAATTGGTGTATTTATTTCGGATAAATTTATCAGTATGTGTATATGGTATCAATAATGTTTAACATGTTGAGTGCCAGTAAATGTATCTTAATCATAAGATGTGCACGTCTTTTGAGTGTAATCAATGGTTTCTTTGTTATTCCTTATACAGAAGATGCTTTCGGAATTTATTAAAAGTGGGTGCTGGTTTTATTTTAATTTTAATTATTTGAGGATTGTGCTAGATGACAATGTCTTCTTTCAATTTATAAACTGATGGCAACTTATGTTCAGAATTAATTCTGGTTGTTTTTTTGAAGATAGAACTTTCATTGTCAGTCTGTAGCTTGGATTGATAGACCTGTTCTTTATCTATCTTATAATTTAATTTTTAAAGTGAAAAGAAAAACCTCCCAAACAATATTGTTTTAGAGTAATTTATCTACAATGAAAGCATTAGTTAGTGCATTGATTTTTTATTTCAACAAGTCAAATGCTGTTTCTAATTTTTTGCTTCCCAAGTTGCATAAATGAGCTCATCTCACTGTACATTTTTGGAAATGTTCACCTATCCAATGTCTAATCACACCTGGGATTTTGGTAAGATTAAAGCAGGTGATCAACTGATAGTAGGAAAGTATTGTTGTCAAACACATTAAAATATGTTTGTTTCTTGCCAGATTAAGCAAGTCAGTGGTAAATTATATTACAAACAAAATTCAATAAAATATACATGACCTCTGAAACGTTATGTCATTTATGGAAATAAAAGAAAGGACTACAAAGCAAAGTTTTGGTTTTGAATTTCAAGTTGAGAAAACAGTTTTATTTTGAAACTCAGATATTACTCTTGAATCTAAGCTAAGTCATATAAAACAATAGTTAACTCACATTTATACAGATCACAACTTTCCATAGAGACAATAAGAGTGCTAGAAACCCTCATCTCACTGTGATATTGTATTGTGTGTATTAATAGCACCATGCAACTATTACAAATTGAAGAGTTAGATACAGTGATGCCAAATGTATTAACCTGTATAATACAACTCTTTCCTACCAAACTGATTAGTACTACATGAAAAATAAAAATGATCCCTTTATTACAAATTACGTTATCTCGATCTCTATTACGACTGAAGTTATTTCGTTATTATGAATTAAGCTATCTGGTTATTACGACTTAAGTGATCTCGTTATTACATGTTAGGTTATCTCGTTATTACAACTTATCTCATCTCGTTATTACAAGTTAATCATCTGTTATTGCGACTTGCATTATCTCGTATGACTTACGTTATCTCGTTATTAGTTCAGTTATCTCGTTATTATGACTTACCATAGAATGCTTACAGTATGTTCTATCTATATCCCTGCAAACTCTGATTTTACGAATAACCGACTAGACGAGTTTCTTTCGCAACTGCCTCCCCCATTTATACTTTTCGCTGACTTTAATGGTCATAACAGCCTTTGGGGTTCACCCGACACTAATGAGAGGAGTGAAAAATGAAAAAAAAAATATATTGGAAAATAGCCATTGCGTTTACAATAATAAATCTATTTTATTGGCATCCCTTTTCCTGAACATTCTCGCACCTTTATTTAACTTTATGTCACCCATCGTTGTTACTCAATTTCGAATACAGTGCATGACGATCTCTGTGGAAGCGACCACCTACCAATATTTCTAAGGAATTTTGGACCCACAGAGAGCGTTCATGTACCCCATTGGAAATCATATAAAGCAGATTGGAGTAAATTTGAACATCTCAGTACCAAAATTCTCAACACCATTGTTTTCCTGAATTTAGAAGACCCGATGGAATAATTTACTACCGAACTTCTTCAGATAGCCGAATAATGTTGACCAAACTCCAAAAGAAAACACAACAAAAGACCTTGGATTAATGAAATTTTTATAAAGCTATTAGCAATAGGAAAATCGCTTTGAGGCAACTCAAACAAACCCCACAAGCGATAGCTTACACAACTATAAAATTATGAGGACAAAAGCCCGTTGTGCTATACGCTTACCCAAAAAAATGTCTCGGATATCTTGTGTGTGTCCAAATAAAATTCTAATACATCCACCAAAAAGGTATGGATATGATTAAACGAAACAGCTGTAAAACATTCAAAACGATGGGAAATCTCAAAACAAATAATTAGCCACATCGAAATTTGATATTACAAATGCTTTAGGATCTTCTTTTTCCAAAAGTCCGTTTGTCAATAATCATTCCAATACATTTCAAAAATTTAGGACCACACGAGAAAAAAACGAAGTTGAAATTCTCTTCCGAAAACAATGAAACTTAGAATCAACCTTTCTCCATGTTAGAACTTCGAGAATCGTTCAAAAATCGCATGACTCTACAACAGGACCTGATGATATTCACAATAAGGTCCTAAAATATCTATCAGAGTCATCATTAGAAAAACTTATTATTTCTAATTCTATTTTTTGATCGGGAAATGTCCCAAAATCATGGTAAAAGGCAACTGTGATTCCTATCCACAAACAGGTTAAAGATACGATAGATTCCTCCAGTGACCGCCCAATATCACTCAAGAGTTGCGATTGTAAACTCTGGAGCGAATGATAAATTCAAGATTAATTTTGATATCTGAATCCAATCATAATATCACCCCTACAAAGCGTTTTTATATCTAAGCGAGGTACCAACGATCATATGTTTACACTTGAAACCTTTGTGCATGAGGCTTTTCTAAAGAAGGAGTACTTGGTTGCTGTTTTCTTCGATTTGGAAAAGGCTTACGACACAACGTAAACATACGGCATAATGAAAGATCTGCACGGTATAGGTGTTAGAGGTAATCTACCAAATATTGTTTCAAATTTCCTATCAGATAGAGTATTTGAATTCTGTAATGGAACGACCCTTTCCGGTGTTCATCATTAGGAAATGGTTGTACCACAAGGTAGCATTCTCTCGGTTACATTTTCTAGACTTAAAATTAACAGTATTGTCAAAATATTATCCCTTCAATGCAGGGCGCTCTATATGTCGATGACTTCATTATATGTTATCGATCAAGGAATATGAATACCATCGAAAGACAACTACAACACTGTTTGAATCGACTCCAAATTTGGAAAGATGAAAATGGATTGAAATTTTCACAATCAAAAACAGTTAGTAAGCATTTTTGTCAAATGCGGAAACAACACGACAATCCAAGTCTCCGGTTGTTGAGCAAACCAACTTCCTCGGACAACTCCGACAGTAAATTGTCGTTCCTTCCGCATAGAAAATACCTTAAAGCTAAATGCTTTAAGGTACTGAATATTCTAAAGGTGGCGCCCCACAGTGGTTGGGGAGCTGATAGAAAAGTGTTGCTAAGACTTTATGGAGCTCTTATAAGATCAAAATTGGACTACGGTTCCATATATAACTGGAAAATCTTCCAGCTCTTGTCTATTTCATCAACTTTTTCTGGTGCATTTGGATATTTTTTCTTTTTGCAACGATACCAGTTAATGTCTTTACAGAGAGATACCTTAAACGAAGTATTATAATAATGAATCATTGTGTGCTGATGAAATGATGTTACTGGTGGGTGGGGGTTGCCAAGGAGAGAGACGCCATCTTAGATCCGTTGCTATATTTCATCTTGACCGAGAAATACATGACTACATCCGATTAAGCAGGAGACACTTTGACGCATCACTCATGTAGAATGCAGACAAACCTCGGGCTATTACAAGGTGTTTACGATTTTGCAAATCAAATGGAATGACCGATTTATGTCAATTGGAACTGGCATCTAGCGACATTTAATCTATTTTCAGTAAATATTGTAAAACGTTAATCCTATATTCAGCCAGATCTAGTTCTGAAGCTATGAAATTGGATCATGACCTTTTTCGTCATGGTTTCTACATTTCAATTTTTAACTTCTTTTAATACTTCGTAAATAACCATAATGTAGTTTAAACGTCTCAGATTGCTTAAACCACGGTCTAAACTAAACGTGAGCATTTTGAATCGGCGTTCAACCGACTGACTGAACCATTCCATATACAATATCAGACCATTTAAACTTCTTTTCGAAATGGACGTTTCCAGTCAATCAAGTTAAAGCGATATTGCTTTATCAGCATAGACCAATCAATCGACATCAGCAATTTTGATTGCTGTTGAGCATGCGTGAAATCATGAAATCACTCATGTTGAAAGGGAAAATAATGAAAACAGGACGAGTTAAAAAGCAAACGACATTCTCGAAATTTTGTAAATTACTCTTTAACATTGTTGAATGGATCAGGGACAATGATAATACATACGAATACTAAAAACTATGAATTTGTTTCACAAAACTTTTATTCAACATAATTTGGTCCATGTGGATCTAAATCTACAATTGTAAGGAAGGGAAGCAACCCTGACAAATAATCCGGCGAAACCACTATCTTTATTTACGAACACAAGATATATAAACTATCGTTGTCTAATATAATAAACCAAATATCGCTGAATTGGAAGAGTTCACCCAATGAATAATCACTCTATGGACATACCAAGTAACCTGATACCCTTAAACGATGTCAGTGTGTCGCTTAAGTCTTTTGTAGGCGTACTGATAATGGGCACATGGGTCACGCTCTCATTCGGTGTGCATTCCTCTTCCTCCGGGATCTTGTCAAATTCAGAAAGTACTTCTTGTGTGAGTATTCTTCTCAAATTTTTCTGCGAAGTTTGACGAGTCTTTGCAGATGATGGAGAAAAGGGTTCGTTCTGCTGAACCGGTTCAACTCTGGTGGACGCGTCATTATCTGAATAACCATTATCTGTAACGTGGATTCCTATGTCGAATTTTCTTTGGCCAGCTGAAATCCGCGGAGGTCCAAGTATTTTGTAGTACTTCAATATAGGGGCTAAAAGCAAAGATGATGTAACTATGTTCATATATATTATGTTCATTCTATTTATCAACCAACTCGTTGTGAAATGTATTCAGCATTATATCTTAATTTTAAGAGAGTTCCCTTATTTCAAGCTGAAGTCCAATCCTGTCTGCATAATCATGATATTGGAATGTCGATAATGATAAGAAAGACGGCGTTTGAACGACTTGAAGTGTTTCTTTTAAAGCATTGTAAAACATTCCTTACTACACTATCGAAAACTAATAGTCTTTATGTTTACCTGCAAAGATAAACAATAAATATCGGCATATCAGAGTTCATTGTGACGTTACGTCTAATAGAAACTGGCAAGCGGTTTCATGTAATAACGACGTCAAATCAAAGTCCCGATTAAATGTGAGGGCTGGTACAGATATGTAAGAAAATGTATGTTTATAGCCTCTAAACAGAAACAAAGTCGAAACTGTTTAACTCTAGATATTGATTTGTGTAACAGATCTCTGTAACAGGTTATGAGAGATAAATTACTTTGTGTTGTTATTGATAAATCTTTGACAAGGTCAGAGCACGTTTCATTTATTTTTGGCAAAATAAGGCAAAGATTAAGCCTATTGCGTCGTATAAGTCCATATCTACCCACGGAAGGAAAACTCAGTTTTTTTCCATGCTTGCATTTTGCCACATTTTGTAAAGTGTAGTACGGTATAGCCAGAGTGGAAATATAATGGGCAAGCTCCTGATTGCTCAGAAACAAGCAGCCAGAATGATTCTTAATGTAACACTAGATACTCCTTCCAAATACATTTTTGATTTTTTACGGAGGACGCCACATTAAACTAGGATGTACTACACATTAAACTCCATTAGGTGTACAAACTAGGATGTACTACACATTAAACTCCATTAGGTTTACAAACTAGGATGTACTACACATTAAACTCCATTAGGTGTACAAACTAGGATGTACTACACTCTAACTACATTAGGTTTACAAACTAGGATGTACTGTTGTCTGTTGACTTTACTACATCATTAATTAAGCTGTCAATGCAACATATGATTAAGAGCCAAAAGAGGATAGACTAAAAAAGAAAGAAAAATATTTAACTATATAATTGATCAAGATAATTAGTAACCATTATTGTAGCTCAATTTTATTAACTTGGTGAAGTTAAACTCACCTATTGGCTGTCTTGGGTGTATTGGGTTTGCCGTCTACGATAATGAAATAGAAACAATCAATTAAAGCCTAATAACCTAAAGATTGTATAGTTATCGTTGTTAACAACTATGTTATTCATGAGATGGCGTTGTAAGTTGCTGCTGTTTCGTAAATTCAATAAATGGAACTGCACGTGCCGAATAGGTAGTTGAATTAGAAGAACTTTCACTAAACTGCTATTGAAAATGTTCTAGAAATATAGTCTTAACTGTAAGTATTATTGTAAAATGAAAAATCATAGGTAAACTGAAACCAAGTTTAAAACAAAAACTCAAACGTCTGTCGAACTGGAGTTATAATTGAAAACTTTACCTTACCTTACATTTATCGTGGACACTGTGTGCAATATCAACGTTTACTGAAAAACAAAGAGATATAGATAACATACAGTTATGTTCCGAGATACAGGATGTTGAGGGTGGAGATAGGGATTTAAACGTACTCGTTTTCAAATTTCCATCCTTTTCTTCTCCAGTGTTTGATCTTCCAGAGATAGGTGATCGGGTCTGTTCCAAACAGAAATTTAAATTCTTAATAAATGGTGTATATATCGTAGTTTACCTTGCCAGAAACCAGAGCATAACATATAGTCATGATTATATATTCACGGACCAAGCCAGTTATATATATTATATATATGTATGATATTTTGATGATTTAGGCCTATATTGAATGTCGTCCCAGTCAAAATAATATTGAGTCTTACCTTTGGAATTACACTGAAGGTCCTTTCGTCTGGCGAATCAGGTATAGAAACTGAAATTCGATCAATTTTACAGACTATTTATTGGATTTATATCATTAACAAATAATTATGATAATAAAATTTTGAATATAACAATATGCCACAGTTTACAGGCTTCAGCGAGGTTAAATACAAATCTAATTTGTTCTGGTTATCTCCCTTCCCTACACCGGCCTAAATGCTTCGTTGACATTACTAAGTTAAGGTTAGGAAGTGCACACAGTTAGATAAAATTGACCAACCACTCTTTTGCTTTAATTACATTATGATATATTTGAAACATGTTACAATCTTGATTAAGTTATATGTAGATTTACATTAAAATGTCAAATATGAAAACGGATGGATAAACGTTATCATTCATTCGTTCATAACTTACATATATTTTACTTACTGTTTGAAATATCCCAAATATTCGAAGTGTCTTCATTGATGTCAGTGTCGTCAATACTGACGTCCGAAAAGTAATCTCCCATCATCTTGAAGTTTGTAGCGATGTGTCATTGAAACTTTCTTATGGTAGAAAATACATGTCTTTGATTGGCTAAAATACATACGATTGTAATTGCTAAAAAAGACTGTGGATATAAATACGGATTGCATTATCTCAAGTAATGTAATATAGCACTTAGGGAAACTTCTCCAATTTTAACGAAATAAATACAAGTGTCCAAATTATTATTCATTTTGGTCGGAAATGGTGCGTTACCCAAAGTATCTATTTTCCTGATGTTCTGGTATCTGATAGCGGACATATTTCCAGATATTTTTTTTTTATTTCATCTCGTCACGGTATATACATACACAAGCCTACTATTTATATTATGGTTGAGCTCCGGTTTTTGTTTCAACTCTTTTTAATTAGAAATTTGTAATGAAAATAGTTTATGTGCCATGTGCCACTAATTATGCACTGTATGATAGTACGTGACGAGGAAATCCATTGAACTGCCGGGATTATTATGTCTTGTTTCTGTAGAATTAAACGTAGTAAATAAACCACCACCCCAACAGTTTCATAAAATATTTGTTTTATTAAAAAGTAGAAATATAATAAATATGAATAATTATGATATGACAACAGAATTACAAGGTTACCATGCAAATGATAAAACATAGCATAGCAATAACACAAAATATCATACATACATAGAATAGAAATGATACACCATTATACACAATTACCATAGCAATAACACAAAATATCATACACACTTAGAATAGAAATGATACACCATTATACACAATTACCATAGCAATAACACAAAATATACACACATACACACAATAATAACACATAACACAAATAGCAAGAAATGATACACCATTATACACAATTACCATAGCAATAACACAAAATATCATACACATACATAGAATACAAATGATACACCATTATACACAATTACCATAGCAATAACACAAAATATCATACACACTTATAATAAAATGATACACCATTATACACACTTACCATAGCAATAACACAAAATATCATACACACTTAGAATAGAAATGATACACCATTACCATAGCAATAACACAAAATATCATACACACTTAGAATAAAATGATACACCATTATACACAATTACCATAGCAATAACACAAAATATCATACACACTTAGAATAGAAATGATACACCATTATACACAATTACCATAGCAATAACACAAAATATCATACACACTTAGAATAGAAATGATACACCATTATACACAATTACCATAGCAATAACACAAAATATCATACACACTTAGAATAGAAATGATACACCATTATACACAATTACCATAGCAATAACACAAAATATCATACACACTTAGAATAGAAATGATACACCATTATACACAATTACCATAGCAATAACACAAAATATCATACACACTTAGAATAGAAATGATACACCATTATACACAATTACCATAGCAATAACACAAAATATCATACACACTTAGAATAAAATGATACACCATCATATACACACTTGGAATAGAAATGATATATTATCATACACACTTCCAGTAGAAGGTGTAGTGTAAACGCACTTGTCTTTCACCCAGGCAACAGGTTTTTGTGATATGTGCCTAAGTTGATAAATAACATCTATTATAGAACATGACACAAACTTAGCATAAAACAGAATATTGTAAACTCTAAGCATTAAATGGAAAATTATAGATATCATCATACTCAGGCGGCATAGCACACTTAGCATAGAAATAGAATGCGACCTCAACAGGACAAACATTACCATACATACATAGCATAGACATAGATCATACACGCTTAGCATAGAAACAAAATATTATATCACACACAAGAAATATACTTTGGAACTTCATCAATCCAGAAACACAAGGGTGTTCAAATTAGCAAACGCACAGGAATAATTCCTTTTTAATGAGCTAGGATTTTCAAATGACATTTTATATCAACATAGCCATTGTTCATCTGTTCCATTGTAGACTAACTTAAGATGTACTTTCAAATAAATAAATTATGTCCTCGTTATCGATGGGTAAAAGCACTAAAGTACATTAATGTAAGTTTGAAAATTATTTGACTAACATATTCTGATATTTTCCAAACTGAAATGAGCTCTTACATAGATTTCATGTGAAGGATATACCTTCTATATCTTCTCGAGAACACATAAAATTGTATAGGTTCATCATCATTCAAATGGAATCTCACTTTATACAAAATAATAACTGTCAAACAGCATTTCATTGTGAACACGAGTTAACACAGTTATTCAGCTACTATCACATGAGGTTTAGCACAAAGTTGGAGCACTTTTTTAGATTCAAACGACATCGTTCACAAATTGTCATTTTTTCTTCAGGAGACTTGTCCAGCAAGTCTAAAATTAAACGTGTTTATCTTCAGATTTATTGAGAATCACCCAAAAAGTTTCTCTTCCTTTCTCGAAAGGACAATTGTCCAGCAACTCTACGAGACATTCTGAGCAATAATTGTCAGCAACTCCGTGTGTAAAATTTGTCGGTGTATTTGAACATAACCTTTACTGAAATTATCTAGAGTGTGCAATGATCCAAAATAGTCTGATAAAAACGTACTGTCTCAGCAAGTCTCCAATGTTCATTGACACGAAGCAAAATTTACATTTTAGTATGTTCAGCAGCTCTCAAAGGAACACTCCGGGGCGCCATATACATTAAAACAGGAACATTTGTTACCACATTTGTCCACAATAACTGTCTTTCCAAACGGTATGAAAGTGTTCTGATGACGACAACCTTTTTAAAATAGAAAAAAAGATACTTACATGTAAATAGTACATAGAATCATATTAATCATAAAGTAAGATTTAATGACTGATGTGAATTTTTCTTTCTTTCTTTCTTTTTCGGAAATATTAACGTCTTCGTTAAATCTTCGAGAAGTGAAATGTTTTAATATCAACTGTGTTAGAATTATTTGAAATTGTCATAAGGACTTGTTGGTGAGTGACTTACCTTGTCGACACTGGCATTTAAGGTTGGGGATCCAGTCTGGACACTGCCAATTGTCAGCGAAAACACACTCTTCACCAGAGGCACAGCCACGGCTGTAAACAGGAGTAACATATTGTCAATTTGATACAGAATTATAAAATGCCAAACAGATTCAAGCACGGCTGTATCCAAAATTCAATATCAACCGCTAAGATTAATTACCTTGTACGGCATCGGGACACTGAAGCAGGAACGCGCTGTACCGCATTAGGCTGTGTCTGCCAGAACTCTCCTGTCATTGGTCGTACAGTTTGCTGCTGGGACGAAATGGCGGGAATCTGTGGAATTGTAGGAAACTGTGACGTGTACGTATTTGGGAAGAGCTGCTGTCCTGGCAACAAGACGCTGGATGTACTTGGGTAAATTATGTTTGGAAGCTTTGAAATGATCATCGGCCCACTTCCTGGTCTAAATTGATGATACCGGTGAGCACTTATTGGGGCTACCGCCAGAACCAAAGTGACGAGAAACAATAATTCAGTTGATGTACACATCTTGTTTCTGAGCTTTAACGAAATATTTGCTACTGCCGTGAAATTAACTCTACAATTGAACTTATTTGTAGAACTTTAAGGTATAGATTCTCAAATAAAGTTGATGTGAGCCGGTGAAGTGTTGAGACAGGTGTGATGAGATCCGGATTTATTCCATCCATATATATAGGAAATTTCCATTTTGTTTACTTTCGTCATGCTTTCACTAGGTATGACAGTCTGGTAATCTCAGGTCATCCACACATGGCCTACGTACATGAAAACCGACATCTATCAATCATCTGTCACGACCGGTCATCGGAGGATAGTCCTCGACACGTTATTGGCTTAAATTGACCTTTGATATAAATGTTTGTGACGTCGAAACGTACGCTTGTACTTCGACCATTGAAGATTTTTCCCAAATAAGGCAAACGTGACCTTTGACACGTGTACCATTTGGCTTCATTGAGATTTAGTTCCAAATATGGTCTTGTAGTACAATGTACTATGAATGACGCATACCGAAGTAATGATTTTCGAAATTTTAGCTGGAAAAAGACAGATTTCCCATTCCAAACTCCCAAAAAAAATATGGCATAAGTGATTAAAAACCCCATGAAATGGATATTAAAAATACTTAACACTTGTAGATGATGTTCTTGTTTTGTTCTTGACGCACAGGCTATTGTTCGTAATTATGGTCACAAAATGTTGTAGGACTAAGCTATATTCTCAGCTCAGTTTTTCCAATATAACTGATGTAATATATGATGGCTTCTTATATCATTTATTAGAAACAAACAACAATAGCGACCAAAATGTGATTTTATTTTCACAAGTCAATACCCTGATACTGAATTAATCGATATATACCAACAAAGTATGGACATGGCGTTACCTAATGCGAAGGGTTTTGACTGTCTAACCGCGATTTTATGTTTTCATATTGGTTGCGTCGATGGCCTAAACCCCCCTCTGTATGAAAAAACAGGAATTTAGCAACTCATAGAAGGATTGGTAGTTATAACTTTTTTCAACTTACTTGCATACAGCTCGAAGCAATTACATGTTGTAAACTAACGACATTTCCACTCATTTCTTTCTAAACACTTTTCAGTTTAATTCTGTAATGACTGTCACTACGGAATCTCTTTAACATTGTCCTTGTAAACATTCAAAAAAGTAAACTCTCGCGTGTTTGAGAGAAATAGTAGATTTACAAAATTAAGTCCAGAGAGATTTCGTAATGGCGACCATAGCAAAATATGCTGGAAATTGATCGTTAGGGAAAATGGTGTTTTGTATTTAACTGTCGCCTAAGTGACCCGAACTGTGAACGCAAGGAGGGCAACGGAAATGAATGCTTCAAGGTTCACCCCATATAATATTTCGTGACTTTAAACATCCTTTCCCCTTTTATAATATTGACTACTCCGTGTCTAGTTTTGACAACACGCCAGAAAATGAATAGAATTCATGAAATGATTGATGATGTTTCTGACAACAAGCAGCCCTATTTAGCTCCAATTAAGCTCGACTTTGAAATCCTCTGATGCAACGAACTTCAAATAACAATTTCTAAAATAAAATATGTAAATAAAACGGATGTCGTGTAATATGTGCTTTGTTACTGTTTAAAATCCTCGCTATGATCAAATTAGTGAACTTAGAAAAGTCGTAATGACGATAATGTCAATATCATTACCTGGATACACTATATACCAATGAATGAAAATGACGTTATCATTGGTTTATTTTTTATTAACAAATACGCTCGTTGCTCGTGGTTGGAGTATTCCTACTCATTTCAGAAATTGCAACCACAAGCTAAACTCGAAACGAAAATTAAAGGATATAAAAAATATTACAAGGTTTGACATGCTTGATAATTATGCATTGAAAATATCAACAACGTTAACATGCCTATGAGACATGCCTAGCTCCATGTTTACTGGTCACGAATGCGAGTGGTCAGCTAAGGTCAAAGATGACAAATGCCATGCTAATCAATTAAAGCTAGATCATTATTCAGACACACTGAATCACGAGATTGTGAAATAAACACATTGATGTCGTGTTTTCCTGTCAGATGAAACCAACCACTACGATACCGATCAGTCTTTACTGTTTACCCCAGAAATATTCCAATTGTCAACTCAACACAACATCAACTCTTAAAAGTACGTGATTGATCAGTCCAATCATCCACATTGTTCTTGGCTTTATATGAAGCAGATTTATGATTTTACATGATTTATTTTTTATTCTATATGAGATTTGATTAAATGAGTCTTAGATTTTTCACTTACCTGCCTTAACGGATCGTGCAATGGAAATTATGTATAATGATATGTTAATGATTACGATGTTCAGTGACATTCCAGTGATTAGGCAAGGATAGCAATCTCTCGACCTTATTTATTGCTTAATTTTCGAGATAACCGGGCACGCAGTTTTGTGTTAATATAGATTTCTATATGAAATACAACATACGTAACACTTGATTAATTAAATAAAGCAGGGTCGTGCTCAGTAAGTTACAGTGACCAACTTTTTATTAAATGAAACGCGTAGTCACAAACTAGTGAAGTATTAACAATTGTGCATTGAATGAAAGAAAATAGTGCTAATACCGCTGTCTTTGACGCAACTTTCACAGATCAGGAATCTCAACAAACAGTTTTGAGCAAATTCTTACATCGGAGTGGGAACACCATATGCCATGTCATTTGTAGTGTTAGATATTGTAAAGCATCAACTTATGATACCAGCTGATTCTGATATAGCTGAAGGTTCATATAAGTGTAATTTAATTCACTCTCTAAGAATATTCTGACGTACCCTAGCCTTCACAGACCCGACGTTTCAATTAGTTAAAAACAGTACCATCCCAAAGCGGTGGTTTTACCGTCCAATGACGTAGAATGTCACCACTGCCAAAAAAGGAACAGAACTTTCAAAAATATATCTAGCCAATTCCATCATGTGATTGTAGGTAGGTTTTACCCATTTAATCCATTTGGAGACCGGGGTGTAGAAGGAATTCATGAAATAGATATGTTTTCTTCTTCTTTCTTAAATGTTCTTCGTTTTTAATTATCTAATTGTAGATTTAAAGGAACAGGCACCAAGCGAATATCAATGTGTGTTCTAGATGTATTTTATAATCTGCTGGACATGAACACCATTAATTGTTAACCGAGAAACGTTTCGATGTCGCAACGCTAGTTGGTGAAAAGAATAAGCATACCATAACAGGCAAGATTTCCTTTCACAGCACGTGCGCAACTTTCGTGCCTAATTGAACTGCATCAGATACTGACGAAACCAATCGTGTTCTGTAACGTTTTAATTAACAAGACTCGTTGAAAAAAAAAATCGCTTGCAAAGTATCACGGCAGTGTCCTATTGGGATCAGAAGCATTGGAAAGATTCAAAGTTAAACATATGAAAAGTATTTCAACGTTCTTTCACACTGTCGTAAATTTCGGCGGAGATCTTTTTGAATATTTTACTTGTAAATTTAGTGAAGCAAGGCGTTAGAAAAAACATTTAAACAGTGTGAAGAAGATTGACATTCGAGAATTATCAACCTTCTTAGGAATTTAATGTGATAAAATTGCTATTTTTTTTTTTTATAAATAACTCCCGATCTGTAGAAGATTAGAGTGTGACGTTTCGATGACAACACAAACACCTTCATCTCATAGTACAATCAGTAGAAGATCAGAGTGTGACGTTTCGATGACTACACGGTCACTTTCATCAGATAAATGGCCAGTGTGACTCGTACTAGCACTGACGTATAGATTACATACTGGTCATTTGTCTGATGAAGGCGACAGTGGTGTCATCAAAAGTAACTCATTAATCTTCCACTGGTTGTGTTATAAGTACCTCTATTAACTTTCGACCTGATTTTCTTTTTCCTGAAGTTTTTCGTAAATGTCCCTTTCTTGCTACATCATCTTTGGCCTCTAAGTAGAACAATCCGAAGGTTATGAGTTCTTTCTACAAACTGTGATAACTAAAGTCATTGAAATGGAGCTGTGTGCGCAGTGTCTGGTGCTAAATGTGCCCGCTGACAATGTATTATGTCCGTTACCGGTAGGGTGTCCTGCTACCCTTTCCAGATTATGACATCTCAGTGTGATGACACAGTGGCCCATCCTGTGATGGACTGAAATGAATTTCAATCAAACACCCACATAAACACAAATGTCATACTCATCCAACACTGTTCAGCATTTCAGTATTACCAGGATGAACTGGAAGAGGGACACGAATCACCTGGATCATACTATGTAATAATGGAATAAAAACCCTGTTTCATATTTATGAAGCATTTTATTATAAAAAGCAATAATTTAATACAGAAATTGATATACAATGGTATAAGGATTTCATATACATGATATATCTTAAAGGTGTCATTACATTGACATAAATACGTAAATTAATGGGGACACAACGCTATGATAATTGAGCACAATAGGTAGCACATATTAGGATTCCATGATTAACAGGGACACATTATGTAAAAGACATGAAACTTATGTCCAGTTTCTGCCTTTTATGTTTAATGAATTAGTAACCACGCATCCTACAGTCGCCCTCGCTTTCAATTTTTCTTTTCTCACTTCACACGTCGATGCTTTCATAAACTTGTTTTGAAAACTAAACATCCAGAACTAGTGACACTACCAGACCTCTTTTCAATGTTACAAACAGTCAAAATTAACTCATTCCGTGTCTAGTTGAATATCTGTTGCTACCATTAACTTTTTTAAAAATATTTTGCTGCATTTACCGTGCATTTCTAAAATTGTTATATGTTAAATAAATTAAAGTTCTTCGCTCTCCGTCCGAAATCTCACGTCAATATTCAATTGTAGCAGTTCACATACTAATATTCAATATTTTTACTCTCTATTCTTGAGTTTAATTTCCATTGTGCGGTGAGTTTCTGTTCTATTTGAATTTCAGGACTATATAGTATTTACGACATTTTTCGTTTCAACCAAACTTGTTAACACATTTGATTAATAAGGAAAGTTTGTGGTTAACAGTATAAATAATGTCAAATAGTTTTAACCTCAGACCGTATCTTTGAATCGTCCCTTTTCATGTTAGATAATAATGTTTTCTTCCTTGTTTTTTTTCTAACAACCGACATCGTTTGAAGATTAAACCAAAGGAGATTCTGTCGAAAGTTCTCTAGTTGTAGTAACGTCTGTATTTGAAATTCCGGTAACGTTGTTTAGTTCATCCCCAGGTTTTTGAGAGACAGTTTCTGGTAATGAAGAATCGTTTACAATTTTTTCCACCACATTCATAGGTTCGATAAATTGTTGCAATTCCGGGACTGTGACACGATTTGAGGAACTAGCTGAAATTTCAAATCCGCTGTCGATCTTTGCTGTAGGAAGGCTATCGAATGCGCCTTGGAACCCTCCGAGATCAGCATCTGATGAAACTGTTCCCGTAATGGAAATTGTTGGATCTTCTGGTTTACACATGCGTTGTGTACATTCAGCCTAAAAATGAAACAGAAAATGACATGAATAGCTTAAGTATAATCAATGATAATTTCATAAAGTGAAGGTATGCTACGAAAATGCAACGTATACCAGTTAACCTTAAGTACCATTTTTAGTTGTCATGTTCATCATCTAATAAATATACACGGAGAACCTTTGTGAAGTAGGTCATTCATATTATGAAATTCGATATACTTCACGACTTTAAAAATTACAATTTGATTTGTTATCATTTTGATATGCAAATGATGGAGTTTATAACTTACCGCGCCATACATGTTATTACAGGAGCACGTGTTTCCGCAAACGTCGATCGTGATAGATCCACCCAGAGGGATAAAGGTATAGTCGAGGCGACATCCCAGGCGACACTCGCACGCAACGGAGGGAATGTAGCTAGGACAAATGTATTCCTCCGCAAATACACACTCAGCTCCAGTATCACAACCACTGAAGACAAGAGAAATAGAACATGTCAACTGGCATATCTTTAAACATGCTGTAATGTAAGCAGTTTCATTCAATACTTAATGAGTACATAATAATAGTCTCACTAAAAGCATTTACTGGCAAATAGTAGGAGTGATTGTTGGTTTGTTTTTTAACATAAAATACTTACGTCTGATGGCAGCTCGAGTTCTGTTTTTCTCCTTCGACTCCGGGGAAAATTTTGTTAGTGTCAGGTAATCCTATTTCAGGAAATGTCATGTCGGGAAGTCCCGTGTCAGGGAGGTTGGAATCGGATGCATCAGTAATGATCACTGGAGTTATAATTGGGAGCTCCTCTCCATTACCGGGATCTGTAACGACTATGGAACTGATTCCTGTGTCAGATGATGGAGAGTCTGGTGTTGTTGCTTGATCTCCGTTTTTGTTTTGTTCTTGAACGACTGGTTTCCCATCAGCATCCACATCTTTGGTCTTAAAGCCTATACCGGTCTCGACTCCCGAAATCAGTATTTTGTCTCCAGTATCAAACATGGAGTTGATGCCAAGATTTGGGAATGTTGGTACGGAACTAGCAAAATCTGGTGTCCCAACAACATTCACATCACTAGGGATAACTCCAGCTTCTCGGGGAACAACGAATCCCGTATTTACGATACCGCTGTTTTCATGGTTGATGGTACCGCCAGTAGTGGGGAAAACATACCTCTTATTCAACCCAAGGTCACTTGAAGGGACTATAAAGTTTGGTGTTACCGTCGCTTGCGGATGAAATGTATTTATGTTAGCAGGAAAGCTTGGTCTGTAGAAAGGTCCATGGCCTTTTGTTGGGTAGATAGTCCCCATACCTTTTCGGACCATATAGGTGGGATACCTGTGAATATAAATTCGATGAGGAATGACAACACGACGGTGGATGAGCGGTGATACAATTTTCCTTCGATGATATATGATATGTCCACAACAGTCGGAAAGGATTCCAAGTACTGCTACAGCGAACAACAGAATGGTATTCATTGTCTTTTACAGTTTATACTTCAGATTGATACGTAAAAAAATCCTGTATAGATATAAAGTCCTCTTGGATTGTATAGAACTAATGCTTTAGTCAATGGCTGTGTTATTTCTGGTTTGGACATTATTCTGTGGATCTATATATACAGACAATGTCTACTTGATGACGTACGTATTGGTCATAACATGTGCATCTTATTGTCACGGAAAGCAGGTTGTTGTGGTCTGTCGGATGTGCAACGGCATGAAACGATGACGCATACACATGTTTCCCCTACAATTGTACGCGATCCCGGTGACGTAGAGCGGCACTTCCTACGTGAGACAGCATCAAACTGTCAACATGGACAATAAAAGTGTCCGAATGGTGGCAGGTCATAGAGGAAATGACCACTGTCATCAGATTACAATTAGCGTGGAATGCCGTGAAGTAATTAACAGTCGATAAACAAACAAACTTCGAAAACATTCCAACGTGATGCCATTGACTAAGAATACCAAAAAGAACAATAAGGGACTTCCCGAGTATACAATAAACTCTTAGCGCATGTCAGGTGACAAAGTATTGCTGTGTAATGTACTCAGACATATGGATACCTTCTGGCCTTGTTGGAGCTAAATCAAAAGAAACCTTCATAGGATGTTGTTTAGTGCATCTTTAATTCAAACAATTAAATACAGACTTAACAGACATCTGCTTAAATTACGTCAATTTTATTCGTCAAGATTCGGTTGACCTTCCAGTTGCTCTTGTAAGTAAATTATGCTGATCTTCAAGAACATTTATTATTTCAGTCTTGTAGTTAAAGTTAATTAACCAACAATTTGATTTTAAAAAGCAACAAAAAGGAAATTATAAGCGAGTTCAGACAAAAAATGAATATCAGACTAGAATGCGGTATGGTCCTAAAATGGTTTGAAGGTGACACTAATTACAAAAATTGTATATAAGTGATTTTCATAGATCGGTATCGAAAACAGGCGATAGTGTAAACACGAATCAATCACAATCGAGGATAAACACTATCGAGATGACGTGTTTGCCTGGGGACTGTCTGAGAGCAGGAGTATATTTTCCGGTGATATGATGCCGTGCAGTATTCCCAGATGATGGAATACAAGAATGAAACCTCAATCTGAGGTATGATAAATTCAATTTTTGGTTTTTCTCTTCCGTTACAACCAGGATCCAATATGTAACTGCTATACATATATTTACTATGGTCACATATTCTAAACTTTGCAAATTGTTTTCCTTTTAAGCTGTAGTTTATGACTACTAGATAAGTTTGGAAATTTGTCTCATTTTCTCAATCTAATACTGGTCATTTCACATATTTTATATTTAAGTCTCAGAGGAGACTATTTTCATCACTAAATTCACTTGTATTTTTGCCTTATTTTTATGACAGTGATTACAAGAAGCAGCTTCGTATATACGACGGCTATGTGGTCACTTCAGTTTGGTGTAATGTTGATTCATGTAAAGTTTTATTAGTTGAAACTTCCTCTATAATCAAAGGGTTGGATTTAGAATGCAAAATTCTGGACACATTGCTGGACGCTTGTGAATATATGATTAATTTGGACATTGGCCTGCCCTGTAGGCAATATTGACATTTTTATCTAACTTGTTGAAATAATATGAATAATAGATTACAGATACTCTGTAAATACAAATCGATCGAACGCCCTTTTTTCTTGTCATTATAAGACTTTTGATATCGATCTATGTACCGAATTTCAATATTCAATTTAATTAACTTTATTCCGTATGCAAATATCATATAGGATTACATGTTAAGTACATACATATTATAACAAAACTTTGTATAAGATAAAGGAGAACATTTGCCACTATATATATATAAACATATACACATGTATATATATACAAAAAAAACATGAATAAAGCATCACGCACTACGTCATAACATTATGATGTCATCATGAAAAATTAATAACAAGCAACCTGAACAGCAAGAGGGCTAATAAAATACCAGAAGTCAACATTTTTTCTATTTGTACCAATGTAGAAATTGATGTGCACTGTTTTACCTCATAACTTTATGAAAAGAGCACGAGAACCGATATACAACCATGTGTTAATTTCATCTTCATATTACATATTAGATACCTACCAAAATTACGAAGAGTTTTCACATTATTGTTTGAAAACGATTGAAATAATTTGAAAACAAATGGTCGATGATAAAAGTTTGGTTTGATATGTAATGATATTACTTCTAAATATGCTGGACATAATAGTATGAAATGAGTTTTATCCTCAACTTCGTTTTCGTCACTCAGCGTGCACAGTCTTTGATTTATATGAAGGCCATGAAATCTTCCAGTCTCAATATACATGTATTTATCTTTAAAGTAAGTGGCTTGATGAGATAGGATTGTGTAGCAAACTGGTCTTCGATATGTTTATACATGAATATAATACACTTTGAAGAATTATCGAAACCATTTCTTAATACTTGAATAAATTAATTATGTGTCCGTTGTTTATAGGAAGAAATCTTTTTCATTAAGTACCTGCCAATCATACGTCCCTAAAACCCAACCTATAAAGCTCCTGTTTTATATTAAAGACCCAGCTTGTCTGACAATTGGGCTTCTTTGTATTTAGTTCTAACGATTCAACATGACACTTCCTCAATATTCAGCTATCAGTCTTAAAAGTTTCGACCAATATTTTATATTATATATTAATAAATATATAGGTATATTAGTATCGGCATAACAAGTGCTTGAAACAGTTTACAGTGAGCCAAACATAAACATTTTTACTTTATGTGTATGGTTTTAAAGCAGACAGTACGTTTAAGCTATTTAGAGACAGCTCCGTCATCGAATGTGTCAGTTTGTCTTACCAGTTGAAATTTCTTTCCTTTTTATATAACTTGATTGCCTTCGAATATGTTCAGTTGGTCATTTGATTAGAATATCATAGACTACTTTTATAATGTTATTATTATTCAACAATATCAGAAATAGGAGCACTATATGACACTCTTTGATAAACACGAAATCACTCATGCATTTCCAACGTAGAGACTGTCGATGTTACGAAAGTTGTTTGTATGTTTACTATTGTCAACAACAATATATCATCATACGGGAATTGATCAACTGTAAACATTGTCTAGACAACAACAATAAAAACTGATTGACCAACAAGTCATAAATCAAGGCCATATTTCAAGTTATCACCCGATTGCCTTGTCATATGTTCGCGTTTTATACGTGTTATATAGCTAATTGTGACATCACCTTAGATTATGAAATGACGTCATATATACACAGATGTCATTGTGACGTTACAACTGAGATCATAGATAAAGAGCGAACATGACTTAAAGTTTGACGTAAAAATGTCCGTTTTCTATCGTAAGTGTTTGAGAAGTCGATCGTGTGATAAAATGGATCTCAGATTCGTTTCCATATGATATGTGATTTATGACAGGCATATTAAATCCTGTATGTCTCTCCTCATATTACATATAAGAAATGCCAGCTTATCTTATAAGACATATTTAATTATCTTGTACTACATATATAGTAACAAAACATAATTGATACATAGCACATTACAGGGTTTATTATAGACTGTTTCAGAAATGTTCATGTAGGTATGAAACTACTTTGTTGTGGTCGTTATCACAGAACTTTGCAAGAAAACAAACTGCAGCGCAATGTGTTGTTGATCAGCAGAAATTGTTGGTTACACCATAAATTTTAGACCATAAATTCAATAAAACGACACTCCAATACTGACATTGATATTCGGAATCCCTACACACTGAGCTGTTTGGTGAAGTTTTGAACTTACATTAGCTAATCTTAAAATCTTATATTTACATTTGATAATGACGTATTTCCATCAAACATTTGAAAAACACAAATATACACAAAACATACACACATTGCTAAAAACCCGTGAGTTCAATGCCATATACTCTGGCGTTATTGACAACACAAACAGAAATAAATTAGTTCTAAGAGCAAATAATCAACCTGGAGCTTTATTTACTTTAAGCAAATATATACACATATGAATCTCAACGATACAATTGCTGACATCTACTACCAATTTCTTATATATAGTGTGACCGAAATGTACCGACAGCCACTTTCTATTGGTGTGTGATCATGTATATATAATCAGAGACGTATATATATGTTATATATGTCTCTGATATAATCACCTTAACATGGCTCTCCGCTCTCTCTAAAAGGACTTCAGCATCCAACTCGCCGATTGATTTTTGGAAACTTTCATATCATTGATCTCGATTGTAGTTTCTAACTTTTGTTTTCTGCGATTTGTGTGCTTTTGATGCATGTTTTTGTGATGTAACTTGTGAACTAGTTTGTATCTTGATAAAGTGACGGATTTGACAATTGACTTGTCGGTTCTATTGTTATTACTTCATTGGGTCGGTAAGCTTCATCTGGGGTCTAACTGTCTGTGTACTGAATGAAGTGTCGTTACTTAGTTCAATGTTTAGGATTACTATAGCCATAATACTACATCCCGGCCTATAACATGTAAGGACAACAAATTATCCATGTTCCAGTGTGTGAATGTGGTAACGAATGTGAAAATTACTTTTTATAGTATATCATATAAAGCAGCTTGATATTTTATAAGACGTCCCATTATTGTAATGTCACAAGTAATGTTCTTCTCTGTGGCTCTCTAAACCTGTCGGATGAGCAAAATACAAATATTTTTCAGTTCGTTTACACTTTTATCAAAAACAGTAAGGTCATCTGTAAAAATCTTCCATGGTACACTAGTAGTACATATTTCTTTCTCCTTCGTTTCCGTACTTCTGTACTGAGAAATATTCAATTTCTGTTCTACTTTTCATCTCTTCTCTTCTAAAATATGCATATGTAGCAAATCAGATTTGATGAAAGTGTTTACTATTGTAGATATATTAGATCTGTGTGCACTGTAATTTTTTGGAGAAGGCGTCTTTAAGTTGTGATGATTTGTGCCTAATCCCATTTGTTATATTGAACAAATAAGATATGTTTTATCAAAATCCAATCAACAAACTGAGAGTCTTCCGGTACATAATGTTGCTATCACCAGTCCGTACCTTCTTCACACTCTGTACAATCTGCCTGTATTGTACGAGTCAAGAATAACCCAAAACGATCTTGCAAGACTCTGCGGAAAAACAACCCAAGGTCAACGAGATAAAAAATCTTGAAAACTCAATCAAATTTGTATTTTGAGATAAAGGAGACAGAAAATTATCCCAAAACGTTTCATAAAATTATCTTCTATACATCTGATAGTGTTTTTGATGTACATATAAGTTTCTAAGACTCGGCAGGATTCCGTTGAATACTTATACTCTGGCAGCTATGTACTGGTCATCACTTCCTGAATGACCACAGGGGACTGTGAGTGATGGATATGGGCCGCGTTACGTCACGAAACACTGACCAATAGCGAGTATATTCTGCATGGTCACGGCTTATTAAACACAAGGTAATTCCTCTTCTCTGACCACTACCGTAAACACATGAGACACTCGGACCATACTGGTCATTCAACAGTCTTACTATTTAGTCATACTGTACGCATGGTCAGTGTACTTACCGGCTGTAATGAAGGTAATAAAGAGTGGTCAGTTCTTGTGGTCATTGATAATTAATGACGAATAACAAAGCGACCGACGGGAACTATAGATTGATAATCATATCTTCTAAATAAGTCTGAATGTTCGCTTTTCATTTTATACATGCACAGAATATTGATGAATCATGCCTTGTCACTACTTAAATATCATTTAATAAAAGGATTGAATGTGTTAAAGACTTGTCATGGTTTTTATTTTGGTTCTCGATAAAACACTTACGCTTAACTCAATAATGTTTTAATGACACCGCCAAAACCCATGGGCAACATTACAAATGTGGAGGTTACAAAGTTGAAATTTAAGCGATTGTTTCTGGTGAACAATTTCTCGAAACGCCTGATGTGGACCCATTCTCATTCTGTCCTTCTCAACTTTTTAGCTTCTCTTTTCTGTAGGCTATAGTTCTTAACTCGACACAAAAACTAGTATTTTGGGCGCTGTACTGAAAAATCCCAATAAAACCGTCAAATCTTCGCTCCGTTATAGAAAATAGAGGCTCATTACTATAACATAATTCTATCAACGACCAGTCTTGCCCAATAAAAACCTTCCAAATATGCCCTGTAGGTAATGAATATGTTAGGGGTCTCTACGAGCGAACAGAGTAGAGGCGATTCTTACTCCTGTGAACCCTTTTTACGACCGTTAACACCTTCAGAATCGGATTGAAAAGTAATGTGTCATTACAGTATACGAGAATGCTGGTATGAACCAAATCTGCAATAATTGTATCTTTGAATGTCTTTGTTACAATATAAAAAATATACATGTTTTACAAATGTCAGCGTTTCTTATCACAACAGCAACATCCATATTTATCTTAACATTGTCAGATAACATAAAACTGCAGCGGAACATAACGCTGACAAAATTACTTCCTTGTAAAATTACATGACTCGACTTGATTTTTCGTTAACAATTCACATCCAAAAATAATTTAAGTATGACCGAAACGAGCTGTCGTCCTTAATTCTGTCCATCACACTTGAATGTCTCGGTATGAATATGTTTCAATAGTCATTTAGCTAACGAGGGAAACAGAAGGGATGTTAATCCCTGGAAGTGTTAGAGAAGTTCAACAAGAGGAAACTGGTATGTTTTTACTTGGGGTTAGATAACTAATCAAAGGGAGGCTTGTCTTTTGCTTGTTAGAAAATCACAGTCAAGGGGCGTATTGATATTTAATTTTATACTGAAGTGAACTGTTTTACAAGAACTTCAATTTATAATACATTCTCCGTGGTGTTTTATTATAACGTTTAGTATTACATTGGTTTCATTTCAAAGAAAGTTTTAGAAAAAAAGTATAAACTATCTTATGACGAATAATCTTAATCACTAGGAAGTATTCCTATTATTTAAAGTCTTATATAAATTAGACTGTCAGTGTGTCATCAATTCAACATGCCTCTGTATGACCAATCACTGATCAAAGGAATCGTGAATGAAACATCACCTTATGTCGTTTACGTCATGTTGAGTCCAAGAATTCCACAGATGTTTCGTTCATTGATTGGTCAAATATTATATTTTTCATAAACCTACGAAAGGTGTGTGTAGTGTGTTTGACCCGGGGTCAATATCACCACTGATACTGGTCCGTGAAAATCCTCAGGTACGTCCTTAGATCAATCTTATCTGTCATCACTGTGTGACGTGTGGAGGGAGATTCCAACTAAATCGTCACATCTGAGTGACGGCATACAGCGGCGGTGACAGGAGAGACAACATCAGGTATAAAAGTTTTGCACAACCGTTTCCGCAGTCACTTGAATTCTGTATCGAAGTGTTGAAGGACTACACCATGCTATTCCGTGTTGGACGTTCGCTGTTTGTCGGATTCATATTAAGTGTATCTATTGCATTGGTGCATGCACAAGGAACTACAACAGGACAACAAAATGGCGTCTCGTTTCCGTCCCAACCAATGTTCTTAGGTCAAGAAACTGGCGCTAATTCCGGACAAACAGGTTCCAATGGAATGCAAACTCCTAATCTCTTTACTGCTTTCAGTGGTCAATCTCCGGTCACCGTACCAGAAACGACCAATCAGTCTCAATTTGGACTTGCAACAGTGCCTGTAACAAGCGCCGGAACAACCAATGGTCAGATGACCAACTCTATAGTTCCAAGCACAACGACGGGTACAACTGTCAATACTGGATTCACTGGTCAGGCTCAAGGAGTAAACGGCTTTCCACCTGCTCCTCCAGCCATAAACTCCGTTTTTCCGACACAAACTGGTGTTCAACCATTTCCAGGACAGCAAAACAGACCCACCGGGTTCCCAGGACAACCTGCCGTTCAGTCAATGTTTCCTGGTCAGACAGGCCAGGCAACATCAGGACAAATTCCACTATTTCTAGGACAGCAACCAGGTATGCAGACAGGTTTTCCCGGACAACCAGGCGTACAACCCGGATTTCCAGGGCAACCTCGTCCATCCGTTTTTCCCACAACCGTTTTTCCCGGACAAGCACAGCCATTTACACCTCAGAACACAGCTGCTTTTCCAGGACAAATAGGAGTTCCGGTCCAAGCCGGAAGTACTGACCAACAAGGAGCGACCCAGCAGACCGGAAATGCAATTAGTGGAACGAGTCAAATTGCGACAACCAATGGTGGTCAACAACAATCTGGAATTATTACTGGTCAAGGCCAAACGTTCATCAATGGACAGACAGGACAACAGCCGGGACAATTACCAGGACAGCAAATCCCTGGTGGTCAGTTTGGACCTCAACCTGGACAATTTGGACCACAAACCGGACAATTTGGACCCCAGACCGGCCAATTCGGACCTCAAGCTGGACAATTTGGACCAAATGGACAGTTCAGACCCCAGACCGGACAGTTTGGTCCTAATAATCAGTTTGGTCCAAATCCATTTAACCCCTTCGGACAAAGGCCGGGCCAGTGCCATACAACGTAAGTATTTAAAAATAATTAAATTATATTAACACGCAATGTGCGGCACAGGACTGATGTAATTAAACAACATCAGACGTAAAACACTGTATTATTTAAAATCACGAAGCATTTATAGTCTTGATTAAAAGGCTAAACAAAGGCTATGTTGTGTTTCAAGTTGTATTCTATAGGGACGTAGTAAAGTTTAATTACCCTCCCGCTGTTTCATGGTTATTAGGAACATTCTGATAGAGTGGCCAACCTTTAACTTGGTCATAAGTATTCATAAATTCAAGACCTGCAGAAATTAAAACAAAATGTACACAGAATAAACTGATAAAGCTAACTGAAAAGTAAAACAAAGATTTAAGAGACTGAAACATTCATTTAAAAGTGATTCAGCTAAAGAATATTATATTGAAATACATTATTTATGAATTTTAGAAATAGATTTGGGAATTGCTTTATATATGTCGGAAACTTGTGCCCAGATTCATGGTATAGACATACAGAGGTCCAAAAACGATGCGAGTGTTTTTTCTTAAAGTTTGTCCATTCAAAACATGTTAAAAGAACGACGATATATGTTGTAGCTTCATTAAACAAGATTAATGGTAATCATTGGTCATTGTATTTCTAAATACAACACGAGTTGTTCATTGTTCTCAGAATAATAAAACAAGGTAAATGATTGATTCGTTTGTTTATTATAAGAATGTTCATGAATGTTTGTATTGCCTTAACGAGTTATAAAAACAAAATATGACAAATTACTTTGAAATTTCAATATTATCCTATATTTGTCGTTTCAGAGGTTGCCCAGGTGGATCTCAGTGTGTTTTCGCACCAACTGGTGCCCACATGTGTCCAACTTGGATCCCAATTCTGCCCTGCACTTGCCGCCAGGGATGCCAGGCACAGAACCTGTTTATCCCTCTAGGCCAGTCCCGTCAAATCGACAGGTGTGGAAACACGTGTACCTGTAATAGTCCCGATGGAACGGTAAGTTAAACTTATATAAAGCCGTAATATATCTGATTTTTTCATAAATTGTTTTCTGTTAATGTGAGTGTATTACGATGGTTTATTTCCATACCAAAATTTCAAATCTGCTAATATTTTAACTTGCACGTGTATCTTTGTGTACGTTATCATAAAATGGTTTTGACGCCCAACAATGAACAATTAATCATTACTAGCCGTCTCTATCTTTTATCTGGTACTAATATACACACGAGTGATCATTAAACACCATTTACCTAAGTCTTAGCCATATTTCATGTTTCCTGACGGATCATAACGTCTCAGCACTTACAGGTGTACAGCGGTATGACCCCTGGCACTACAAACGTTTCGTAACTCCTTCCGGGCATGCGCGATACTAATTTCTTTAATGTCTTCCTCTTGTAGCCTGCGTGTACGATGATGGCATGCCCTTCTCCACAACAACAACAGCAACAGCAAGGACAACAAGGACAGCAACAACAGCAACCGCAACAACAGGGAAAATAGGTCAATATGCAACCTTATTAACGTCACGTGTTCTGCAGTAAACTTCATTAACGATCTTCAGCTACAGAGAACCAAAATACCAATAAAGATGTAACTAGCCTTCACAAATGATAGTGTGTGCTTTTTCCACACACAAGAGAAAAAAAGAGTTCAACATTCGGGTCAGTACTTTGCCAAAGACTACAAATGACAAAGTGAAGAACATTACCCGGCTGTAGTGTTTGTTTTCTGTATGGTTGATCTGTATATTTTATAATGAAGGAGTCAAAGTCCCAAGTAACAGTCCAATTTCGTAACTGCAAACCTAAGACCTAAGAAATGTTTTGTTCAGATGAACAAGTCGAATTCAATAATAAACCCCAAGAATTGAAGTGTTCCGATTGGACTGGTCGGTCATGATCATTTTATTTTCTATAGTTTTAAGTCCAACTGAGGATTTTTCATTCTATAAAAAGGACCAATGTGACTTTGTGTGAAAATGTGAGTGTAGCACGCGAATTCGGAAAGTAAGCGGGAGAAAGTCGTGTTAGGAACCGAGAGAGATAATAGTGTGACGACACACATGGAATGGGGAGTTTTTGAATGTGTGTCTTTTATAACAACTATCCCATATTTCATGTATTTTAGTAACTAAATAAATTGTTACGTTATTTGTTGTTTTGTCGTGTTTTATTTCAATATTGCTGACAAGTATAATCACCTTCAAAATCAGAATCCTTCTTATCAACATGCTGCGAAATATGCATAAAATCCCATCAGTCAATTGGACTTGGATTAAAAACCTTGAAGGCCCGTGTTTAAATGTTACTGATTTACAATGGACACCCCGTATCAGCACACGATGAATTATTTCGTCATTTGGTGGTATCATCACAAGTGAACATCGTTTAGAAAACATTGATTAAATATCGGAGAAAATATGTAAATTTTATACGTAATGTCTATCAATATGAACGTATTCGTGTGTATGATATGCTTTCTCCATTCAGGAAATTAAAATTTTACTTCAATGGTAAAACTATGAACAGAGAGTATCGACATGTACAAGATATATCGTGTTTGTGGGGAAAATGTGTACAATAACATGACGAATTCTATGTGTCGAAATTGGTTGATTGGGTACAACTTTAAAACAATACTTTATTGGAAACGAACATATATCTATTCGATTGTACCATTGTTGTGCTGCTTGTGGTACTTTGTGCTCATAGACAGATACCTGAATCGGCGCCGACATTTTGGTTTAGTCACGTGTGTGCTACTTAAAAGTCACGTGGTATTCCTACCCTGATAATCAAACATATCTTTCAAAGTAATGTGAATGGGGAAACAGACTAGGAAAAGCACACAAAAGAAAAGAACGGATTGAAATCCTTGTTGCATTACTTTCTAACAGACACTTGTTGACATACACAAAGGCAATGAACCATTTGGGTCGATTTGTTGCTTTGACTTTTGTCTTTTAAGAACTTCAAACCTACAATGTACATGATCAAATCGCCCACAGAGATATCCTCATTTCGATGACGTAGAGATGAAAATATCGAAATCCTTGATCTTTTGCCTTTTGGGAAACTGTTTGCAGTAAGTGTTAGCGCAAAGATCCGGTTTTTACCACGATGTTTTGGTAAGACAGTCTGAACTATCTTTACTGTATCTTTACGTGTTAGTAACTGTTTACCACTCTAGAGTAACACAACACAAACCTTTTCGGGGTTTAGATCTATATAAGGAATAATCTGATTCAATCCGCTCGTAGTGTCTTACAATAAAACAGTATCTACATACATTGCTATCATTAAATGGGGTAGGTCGCCTATTAATTACGAATTGAACCTTGACCAGTTGGGTGTCGGAGAACTGACCGTTAAGTGATAAATAGGTCCTATCAGATTGAACCAATCACAGAACGCCGTATGTTAAGTGATAGTGATGTTCTCACAGATTGAACCAATCACGGAGCAAAGATTGTTAAGTGATAGATAGGTCCTATCAGATTGAACCAATCACGGAGCGCCGACTGTTAAGTGATAGAGATGTACTATCAGATTGAACCAATCACGGATCACCGAGTGTCAAGTGATAGAGATATACTATCAGGTTGAACCAATCAAGGAGCACCGAGTGTCAAGTGATAGAGATGTACTTTCCGATTGAACCAATCACGGATCACCGACTGCTAAGTGATAGAGAGATCCTATCAGACTGAACCAATCACGGAGCGCCGACTGCTAAGTAATAGAGAGGTCCTATCAGAATGAACCAATCGCGGAGCACCAACTGTTAAGTGATAGAGATGTACTATCAGATTGAACCAATCACGGAGCACCGACTGTTCAGAAATAGAGAGGTCCAAACAGATTGGTTCTAGCTTAATGTCTAGTTATGTCTAAGAGTGCCGGCTAAAACTGTTCAACGCTTAGATTTTTTATTTTCATTTCTCATTTTGTCCTACATTACTTGCAATATTCCTCCGCCGATTTGACAGTAGATGAGCTGGTGATAGACAGCTGTCTTCGGTAAGGTAACATCATAACAATGGTAAACATTTATACATAAAACGTAAAAGATTGCAGTAATTCAGAGTTTTTTTAAAATGAACATCAGGATTAGACGTTGTTAGATTTGATAGACCTACTTCAGATGTTATGTATATATAGAACAGTTCGGTTGACAACATAGTCTCCACCTTTATATTGTTTTACCATGATTTATCTACAAACTCTGGTGTAGCTAGTCCACAAAAGGATAAAGAATACGAGATTACAAAAAGTACAATTAATTTCGTAAACATCTAAATAAGCAAAACAGACTGATAGCATTGTTAAACGAATATTATGCATTACAAAATAAACAGCTCAAACAAAATCAACAGACATGGATACAAAACAAATGGTAACCAATTCAAAAAGAATGAATACAAAACGGTCAGTCACTATCCGAATTTTATAATTAAATCAATATCGTTTGTTTGATCACAAATTTCATGGAAAATATGCTATGTACAGAATACAACAAAATGATGTACAATCATAGTTATCATATTGTCTTTGACTGTTATGGAAGTCTGCCCTGAGCTGGGGAATTCTCGAATCGTGTATAATAGATTGCTTGTTTTACTGATACATTCATATTGACTTATAATATATCATATGTATAGGAACTTAGGTCTCTGAAGGATCAAACTTACTAACAAAACGTTTGAGTTATCTCCCATCCAACCTAAGTATTGTAAATTACAGCCGCACGGTGATAGCTTTCCAATTGTCTTGGCTTCCGGGTACGAAAAAACATAACATCTTGTTACAGAAATGTTATACAGATTCACTGACCTGACAATAACCAAACACAGAAGCAGGCACGCACGACTTTGTCAAGGAAAAGTATCTGTACGTAGAAATCGCCCAACGTTAAATATTATAAAATATGGAATTAAGGGCTTCGGTATCCAGAACTCGATCATTTATAGCCATCGATTTTAATTTTTTTCAGTCGACGTACAGTAGGATAGTAATATTGAAATGATCTTCATCATTAGCTATTGAAAACACTAGGTTGTACGTACAGTGTATTTCACTAAATACAACACTATACACATTTGCTATCGTCAGCAGTTTTACACTTGATTCTACTTCGTGCTGTTATTTTCTGGACTTTGAAAAATGTATTTACATGTATATTTAAAATCAGAACTTTGACAACAAAGTTCGTACAAGAATTAATTAAGGCTGAGTTTTTCGTCTTTTTTAACGGACTGCTCCCGTAAGGATTATCCCCCTTCTTGTATTATAAACAACAAGTTACAACCCTGACCCGTTATGTAAACATTGTTTTGACGCCGCAAGTTTCCGTGATTATTTGGTCTCCCTTATACCAGAACTAACGTATGTTATTCGACGTCATCCGCTTTTTGTCATCATAGTGTTGCGTTTTCTGTCTCAAATACGATCACCTTCAAAATTCCAGCTCTTAACAACAGAATAGAAATTGGGTTTGTGTAATAAAATTATTCACTGTTGATTGAACACAAGTTTTATTATATTTATTGACTCTCTAGTTTCCATTTTTACTGAAAAAAAAACAAACTTTCTCTGACACTGAAATAGTTCAGCTAGTGTAAGATAGGTATTAAAACGAATTTTGTCATTTAACTTCTAAATGACAGCCATTGATGCTTAAAGCACTCTCAACAATCACTGTGATGTTATTGAAGTCACACATGGATCAGTTCTTATATAGTCCTTTTTTTGCCGAAAAATAGAAATTCATATTGTATAAGTTCATATTACTGTTTGATTCAGCAGTGAAAAAGCATTTTATTCATGATTGTTGTTTAGGGTTATCAGACAAATTTTCTACCAGAGTTGTCGTTCCATACAGTACCTCGATACCACATTTGTATTTCCTAGAAATTGCGTATATCGCCCTGCCGAACGTGTTTCAGACGTGTCGTCACCATATCTGCCGCACTGTCAAGTTCTATCACATAATCAGCCTTATATCCGGTGAATTCACTTCATTCGTGGGTTTTTTTATTATATGTTACTGGTGTAAGATACACTGGGGCGTTTTTCATTGGCTAGGTCAGAAATCAATTATGATGTCACAAACAAGAAGGACAATGATGTTATGTCATGAATTGAAAATGACATAACTAAATGGTTACTCCTTTTCAAAAACAGTCTCCAAGTTTCAATTTCTGCTCGCCATGGATCGCCAAGGATATCATATTAAATGGAAACGTACACTGTTTCATTTCACGGTAATTGTCTACGGTCGTTATCCTTTCCGACAACTCTCTTTCGAATTTCAACTTTTTGCATATCTTTTGTAAATGATCTCCTCCTTCTCTATCAAATGTTACAATCGAGAAGGATGGTTATTTTTTTTCAGATTTTAAGTTCATATCTACAGGGCCATTGCCGATTCGTGGTGATACCTCCTATTTCTATTGCGACTGTGAATTCTCCCAACAACCTACTGTATTTTATGACTTCAAT